AACGGTGATTGTGCGCATAGTTCGTTGAGCTGCAGGCCCATGCAGTTTGCGTGTGCGCCAATCACAAGGAACCTTTGTCCTCATTGTTTTGAGGAGGATCGACTGCCTTCTCGGTGTGATCAGGATGGTGAGGACAGGGTTTTGTGGTTTACGCGCTCAGCTCAGTGCGTCCATTTGACCAGGAGCTGCCCAGCTCTAGATGAAAACGAGGAGTGTCAGGGACGTAAGCTGTGCAGGTGCTGCAAGTGGCCCTAGCGCGTTTACTGGAGGCTGTATGCTTCCTTGGGCAGTGGTCTGCGCACTGCTGTGGGTGTCCTGTTGTACACAGGGGGAGTGACTGTGCAGCACACTGTGCGTTGTCCACTCGCTGTCGCCGCAGGCCATGTGGGCCGGAGGTCAAGGGGAAAGGGCGAGGTGCTCATGTAGGACCCAGGTTCCCATGTCGGCCTAGGTAATCACACTTTCGATTGAGTCACTTGTGTAAAGCTGTAGAGCACTTAGTCTGAGAGTCTTTAGTGTACAGCTCAGGTGTTCACGAACTGATTCGTTTGTTGTGCGTGGTAAAAAGGGCGTAAGCTCGCTTGGTGCTCGTTTCCTGCTTCACGCAGTTTTAAACCGTGTCCACACTCTCAGTGTGAACTCCGTTCAATTTCCACAAATTCATTTTGTTTTCTTTGCTTTTGCCCTCTGAAGCGATATCGTGCTTCTTCTTCCTGTGAAAACGTTGGAAAAAAAATTTGGTTTCGATGACACATTTTGATTTCTTTCGTTCGCTCCTCCTCGAAAGCGATTTTGTGCTTCTTGTGTGTTTGAGAAGATGTTGGTCTGAAGATAATATGGTTCAGTTAGTTTTGTTCCATTTGCGTTGCAAAAATTCAATTGTAGCGCTTTGTTGTGTTGTTTGATTTGTCATGTGTGCGTGTCTTTATTTTTGGAAAAAAAATGGATGTTGGAAAAAAGACATGCCGGGGTCGAAATCAAGATGGATCAAGCGCGTGGTCTGAAAAAAAACATTTCGGGCCGTTCGGGGTCGAAAAAAAGAGCAGCCCGGGGTTCATCCATGTCCAGTTCGGGTTAATCCAACTGCAACCCAGAACCGCCAAGGTTGGGTTCGTTGGGTTGGAGTTGGAGTTGAATTGAACCCTAACCTCGACGCCAGGGTTCGGGTTGGGTTTAACGAGAACAACAACCTCAGATTAAGACTTGGGGTTAGCCTCAGATCAACCCACACTCCCGGGGTATGCTCCTTCATGCTGGCCTTTGTCAATGAAGACTGCACGGGTAAACTGCAGAAAATGTTTTATTTCGGATTCAGCCTGGTACATCATCTGGGTTGGACGGATCCCGAGCCTTGTTTGTGTGCGCAGAAACATGCTTAAATGGAGTTGAGGTCGGTTTGTACACCACGGCTCCAAAGCTGGGCAAAACTAAGGTCATTTCGGAACGGCTCAGTGGCGTTGCCCGACTGAAGGCGCCGCTTCGATCCTATCAGGGCGCCTGTATGTTCACGTTGCTCCTTTGGCTCTCCACTTTCCATTGCCTGAACTTGGATTTCGGTGCAAAAGCGCTTTGACTGTGCAGTCAGCCGCTTGTGCGTCCACCATGTTTCACCGTGTACAATTTTTTTTTGTATTCGCCATGTTTGCTTGTCGACCTTCGACCGGGCGCAGCTGCGCTGGCATAGAGGCCGAGACACGCCAAAAATGCATCACATTGCGCAGAGTCAACCCGCAGGAACGCAAGCTGTGACAACGGAGCGCAAGTGAAGTGGCATTCATGGATTTGAGTTTTCGACACGTGGTGGATGGTTCGACCATGAAAGCGACGTTGCGGGTCCACCTCGACTTTGTGCTCATCAAACAGACAACGCTTGGGAGCCGAACAAAGAACCTCGTGGGGCTCATCCGGGTGGGGAGCGAACATATTGCCAGGCCCTGGCAAAAACATGGGTGGCGAAAAAGCAGAGGCCCAAAACGAAACAAAACATCGAGGTGCCGTGTCAGGTTTAATACACGTCCAGGTCAACCACAAAAAAACTTTAGGCACGCCAAAGACTGGATTGTTGTCGTTGCAGAAAGCCAGATAAGGTTTTGTGTTGGGGTTGAGAAACGGCAGTTGGAAAGATGCGCCAGAGGTTAACACAAGACATACTAAGACAGAGATGGGCAAAATATTCTGGTACAGAAACGACGTGACCGTTTTTGTGTTGTACTGATACGAGAAGCGGTTTGGCAACGAATCACCTGGCAACCTTCCAGCCAGGAGGTCTTCTGCTGGCGCCATGAAGCTGCATGATGCCCCTTCTTCACACAGTGGATTCCGTTTACACAGCTTCACCTCATCCCTTGTAAACAAGTCTTTCGTATTCCAGGTTTGTGTCCTGGCAAGGAGGACTGGCTAGTCGGCAACGTCATGGCTGTGATATGCTTTCACTGACAGCCACAACCTTTGCTTGCGACTTGACGCAGCCACTTCTTCGGCATTTTGTGTGTTAGGTGGTATCGAAGTAACATCGAAAAAACTTTCGCACTGCTTCCCTATATCGTATTGAAATGTGACTGAAATCAAAAGCTGCTGAGGTTTCGCAGCACTGTCATGGAGATTGGCCCAAAATTTGACGTGACGTTTTGGTTGCCGGGCTGAGTTCGTGCGGTGTGGAATGCTCATACAGGCCAGTCAGGAGCGTTTTTTCAATTCAACAACAAAGTACGCGGATGCATTTTTTCCTTGAAGAACTGAGCAGGCGGGGGTCTGGCGCCAAACGAGTTTCTACCTACGGGATTCTTTGCCAGCCGGCAATCCGGCCTTCGCACAAAGCGAAAATTTCATCTTGAACGGCTTGAACTCGGCAAACACGTGGTTCTGTGAAATGCACGGCCTGTGCGTGCTTGCATCCTTCGGGTTTGTGAGCAGTGATTTTCCTCCGTGCGCGGCCTTTGCAAGTCGACCTCTTTCAGGCAGGGCCGTTGGAAGGCATGTTGTAAGTTATAATAGCAGCAAGGCTGTCAGACCTCATGTTTAAGAGATTAAGAGATTGAAACTGGTTGAATAGTCAGCGAGCTTGGATGTGGTCCCGTGGAGGCATTTGGTGATGGCGCGGTCTGTGCTGCTCCCCGTCGCATCGCCCTCGCAAGTTAAAACATAAGCAGCTGCAGCTTCGTGGGCGAGCAAAATGCATGCGTGCTTTCCAGGCCCTGTGAAAGTCTCCCTTCCTAGAGCCCCGCCTCTAGCGAAACAACTATTGTCCGGATACAGCAGTTGATCGCACAATGTAGCCGTAGGCCGCATGAGGGCAGCAAGCTGACGGGATAATACAAGCCACCGAAGAGACAGGTGCCCATGTTCTGAAGAGTTTGCACACATGTGCATGGCAAGCAAGTATTTGATGCTCCAGTAGGATGCACATGAAGTTGCCAACGCTGACGTGCCCTTAAGGCTGCGTGTGTCCTTGCAGAAACAGATTAAAGAAATCGAATGTCCTCGTAAGTCCGAGGCACTTCTCAGCCTGGCCGTGGCAGCGGCATGGAGATCGCTTTCCCAGCAATGCTTCGTCCAGGCCACGCAAGAACTGCACGGACGTTGCGGAGTTCTGAGCAAGGGTTATCTGTGATGTGCTGGGCCATGCGAGAAAGGCACCGGCACGGACAGTGGAGGCGGATCTTTGCACTTCGCATCTGGCTGCCAGACGATAGGGATGTGCTTCATTCGGCCCGATCGCGCAGCTCTGGCAGGGAGTGCAGTCGTTGAGGGTGTTGGAGACAGCTGCCCTGTCCACTGGGCTCTCCATGGCAGGCCGGTTTAATTCAAACATGTGACATGTAGGCAAAGGTCCGAGTCACGGCTTGAGTTACGCTGACAGGATCTCTCCCAGCTTTCGCGACGTGGGGCGAAGGCTCTGAGGCCGGCCAGAACATCGACCCTGCGCCTTGGCCCAGAGAGAGATGAGATGTGTCGTGCCTGTCGTGCCTCTTCTTCAGCTTTCTTCACATGCTCCTCCTCTGAGGATTCGACAGAGGCATACAACAGAAAGGCCGCGAGCTCAACATGTGCTCATCATTCCTTATATTTTTTTATGAGGCGAATACATGCTGTGGTGATGTTCGTTCGGCAGGAGGTCTTGCACAGGGCTTTTTCCCATGCCCTGCCGGGCAAACTGGCTGCTCAAGCTGTACCGGAAACTGTGTAACAATCACGGATGTGCAACTAGCGGTAACTAGCGCGATGCAACTTATGAATTCCAGCAACATCTCGGTAGTCTGACCCAATGACCAACACTCAGCCTGAGCCTCCGCAGATGATCGGCATTGCAAACAGCACTGTGCACTACAAGCCGTAAGAGTTTCCTTGTCCTTTGTGGCTGGGCATCCCTTTCATGGCCTTGCGCTTTCAAGGCTTGAGCGGGATCCTGAAGCTGCGAATCCGTCATGCTTCCACGGTCAGCTTGGTCGCCCAGAGTGTGCGAACGCCGCGGGCTTCACTGCTGGACTTGGAGCTCCAGCGCTGCGTGGATGGAGCGGCCGTGCTCCGCGTGGGTGCGCAGACCCAGATGCAGCTCACCTTTGCGGACCTCTCCTCCTGCCTTGCCCGCTTGCGAGAACTCAAGAAGATGCCTGCATCGGGAAGCGACCTTCGGCAGTTCCTCGAGAAGGTGCGGACACCAAACATATCAAGAATTTAGTCGACTAGTAGAGAGACCTCGAACCTGAGAAGGTCGATGCAGTACTGCCGAGCTTTGGCCCCGAGGGCGCGCACATGGCACTCACAGCGTTTGCGGAGCTGCGCTGCCGCCAGGACTGAAGCATAGGGAATGGCCGATTGACGCATCTTTCCATGCCCCCCTGCAGGGTGCTATTTCTTCGTGGCCGCTCTTGATGAAGCACCGAAACGAACTTCCCCCGTCCTGCCTTGCAGAAGGCGTCTGGGCAGCATCTGGCATCCCAAGCCCTCCTCGAGAGGTCGTTTATGAGGCCGTGGGCTTGGCTCGTGAGGTTGGTCCACACATGAAGAAGCTGCCCGACGAGGCGCTGTATCGCTGCATTTATGGCCTCGCTCGTATTCACACCGGCCGGGGCTCAAAGGAACTCCTGCGACGTGCTGAAGACTCGGTGACGCAGGCGTTGGGAAGAAGGCCTTGCCCCTTTGCCCCGCGGCAGTTGGTGAGACTTTGCTGGGCCATGGCTCGTTTGGGCTGTCGAGACAACCGGATCTTTGAAGGGATTGAAAGTCGCATCGCGGACGTCCTCAATCACTTGCAGGTGAAGGAGCTGGAGGCCCTCTATGGGATCCTTACAGAGCTGAGCCGGGTACGGCAATGGAAGCTGATCCACGATGTTGAGCGGGCCTTGGAGTGCCGCGAGGACGAGGCGGCCTCCTCCAACAAATCTGCAAGACGAAAGCCTTTCCGTCGCCGCTGGACACGGGCTGACCTTATGCATTCGGTGCTGCAGCGCAAGTAGTGACCGCAAGTCAGTGTTCTGCAATCTCCAGCGCCCAACGAGTCGCACCACGACAAGATGAAGCACACCTAGAAGAGAACACATTGGAGTGCGGTGCATTCGAAGCAGACCGGCGCCGTCACACTGCAGACAGGAAAGTCGGAGCTGGCTTGTTTCGAACGACAACTAATTGGAATACAGGCTGCATTGTGCCCCATGCTACATCCGACTGTCTGAAGACGTTCGCGTCACAGTGGTTTTAGCAAGACTGCAGAAGCAGCAATGACAATTCGAGGGATAAGTCTCTTGTTCTGAAGCCACTGCAAAAAGACCTCGGTTGCGGGTTTTCAGGGAAATTGAAGCTTTGATTGCGGATGTTTGAGGAGCTTCTCAAAAGCCGTCCTGGCAGACTTCACGCCCTCCCACAGGAACACCCTGACAACGCATGATCATTGCACATGCAGGGACAAGGTATACCGTGAAATTGTGTGTGCTTCTGCTTATGGATTGTGGATGCTCGTAGGGTGCTTTGAGCGCTGCAGCGGCCAGATCCTCAACGCGACCGCCATCTGCCTGACCTTCGCAGTGTTCCTGGTCGGCCTGGTGGTTAGCCAGGCGGCCTGAGACGCCCTCGCCTCTCTGCACCTCTTCTCTTTGTACTAATTGCTAGGACAGGAGGGAAAAAGCTTGTTCCTGCCAGTGCATGCCAGGCCAGGAAACTTGTGGAGAACCGGTGGCTGAACTGAGCGCTTGTCCGGCGCAGCATGTGCAGCTGACAAGACAAAGACTGTATAGCTTCAGAGACTGCGCGTGGTTGGAATGAACCCGAGCTGTTATCTTGTCTAAAGCACAGTTGCTTGCACCGCTCCAAAGCGGTAGCATCATGGCAACAGAGATTGGTCACCGGATTGTTTTTAAAAGAAGCTGCTTTCAGAGGGATGTGTTGTTGTGTCTGCTTCAAAGAACAGTTTCTGGATTCCGGCCACTGGAAGCTTATGATTGCTACTGCGGAGCCTGGTCCCACGCAGATTGCGGCTCAAGACCCTGCCCAGAAGGACCACATTGGTCCACAAGCCGATCTGCACCAAACTGCGAGTCTCCCAGTCTGTTGCCGAATTTGGCGGAACCACGGCTTTCTGTTTTGCCTAGGCCTAGCGTCAGAATCGTTGCCCAAAAACTCTGTAGAGCGACCGTCTCAGGAACAATGGCAGTCGCTGCGGCCCCATATGTTTCAGAGTTTGCAGAGAGCGGAGCCTTCACGGCTTGCACCGGGCATGGCTCAGGGCACCCGGCACCCCCTTCTTTCGGCTCAAGCCTCGCAAAGTGGGGGGCAGCCATACCGCTCGTTTGGGAAACCTATGAGAAGGCCCTGCGCACTTGCTGGTGCATGTGATGTGCACGGACCAAGCCCAGTCTGCATCACAGGTCCATTCCATAGCCGGCCACGTATGCGATGCACCTCGCAGTTGCACATCTCATCTGCTTTTCGGAAACATGTGCGACAGCCAAGGTCAGCACTGCAGCTTGGCCTTATGGTTCCTCGGCTCAGTGGTTCTGCCTTCGCAGGCTCGGTCTACGAAGATCCGTGACGGCCTCTCTGGATGCTCTGTGACAGCTACTCACACTCACATTGCTTGCAGGCCAAGAACATCATGCGGAACCTTGGATGCGCAAGCAACCGCAGGTAGCTCCCACTGCGCGTGTGGCGTTAGCAAGTGGTTGATGCGAGAACCAACTGGGTTTCGCCCAGAGAATACCACGAGCCATTTCTGATATCCTGAGGCGATCGCAGTCTCTTGTGTCACGGCATCGACTAGTCATCCAATAGACTCACCAACACGGCATTTGTGAATAGCTAACAATTTGGCGTCGGTTGCCATCCAAGATTGCCAGTGACGGAGCCATTCTTCAGCAAATTCTAGCATCGTCGGAAACTGATGCTGCTATGCCCGTTTACAAGAAACTTGCCTGCACTTATCGATCGACCTTGGGAGGATGCCAATTTCGCGGGTGGTGAGAGTCAATGAGTCGACAGGGAACGCTGCCAACAGAGGATTTACTTCAACCTCCGAGGGAAGCACATGTGTTGGCAGAGAGAGTCCGAAGGCTGTCGTGACTGGGCAGCAGTTTAACTTCTGGCATAGATCCAGAAAGAGTCTCGCTTGGGGGGGTGTCGGTTCTGCAGGAGCGTGAGTTTCAGACATGAAGGAAGTGACAAGCTTCTGAGAAGGTTCGTCTGCAGCTGAATGCAATGTGGAGTATTGCCATGCCGACGAAGCTTAACAGCACCTGCATGAAGCTTGTGGCTTTGTCTCGGTGGGTTGCAGATGCTGCTTGTGCATGCGCCAGATGCCAGGCCCATTCGACAGCTCGCTTGAAATGCAAGCAAAGAGTGAGATCATGTTGAAATGTCACAGCTCAGGATCCTGGCTGTGATTGTATGAAAGTGGGATTTCGGAATTGCAGTCAAAGCAGGTGCCGCTCAAAGACTCTGCCCGTGTCAAATCTGCAGCTAAACCGTAAGAGTTATCTGCATGTGCAGACCGCGCTGCAGGCTGGCAGCGTTGCAGCTGTTTGTGGAGACGATGAGGCAACCAGCCGCGACCCTAATCGCTGCATGCTTAGCAGGTCGAGGAATGCAAGGGCGAATGCCTCCTGTGTGGCCATGCCTGAGTTGGCGTGGAGCTCCGGACATTTGAGGATGGGAAGTTTCCAAACCACACCTATTACTGGCGCCAGCTCCGGGTGAAGTATTACGACTCCTCAGTCGCTTTGTGGCAGTGTCCATAAAGCAGCATCGGCGCCGTTTGGGGCACCAGTGTCATAAGCTGTAGCTTGGGCAAGGCCTAACGGCTTCTCATGTCTCTTAGCCCAGGATTGGGGCGACCGCGCCCATGATTTCGGAAAGGCCGGTTGACGGATATGCCGAGTGCAGTGCAGATGACAGCCCTTGTCGTAGCAAAAACTTCGTGTCTGCCGTTGGCCGGAGGCCTTGGAGTCCTTTCTGGCTTGCAACGCAGAGCCCTGCGAGTGCCGAAGTGGGAGTGTCTTCGGTTTTGCTGCTCGGCAAGCCGAGTCGAAGCGGCTCGAAGCTTCCGGCGTAGAAGTTGGACACCTCCCAGGCCTGGGATGGGAGCAGGCTGGTAAACGTGGAGGAGGAGACGCGCCGCAGCATCGGCCGCCGGTCTCAGTACAGGGCAGATGCAGCTGGAAATCAAGCCGCAAGCGGTGACGGTTTGAGGTCCATCTCCTTTTCATGTCAAAACTGGCGACACGACGTTGACTTTGCGTGAATACAACATGCGATTGAAGGCAGGGATGTGGAAGGGGCAGGCAGTCGTGACAGCCTCTCCGATCCTTGTTCTTGTCAGGACAGCAAGATGCAAGCTGAAGCCTCCCTCACCTACCACGATCCTATATCTTCATCGACTCAAAGTACATCCACGACCACTCACATGCATTCACTCTCGACCACTCGCACACCTTCGCGAGCCACCAGCACCAGCAGCACGACCACTACCAGACCACCCAGGACGACCACTGCTGTCACCACTTCGGCCTCAGATGACATCGAGGAGGACAGTTCCGAGGAGGACTCCACAACCGACATCAGCACCACCACAGGCCCCCGGCTCTGCTGAGTTGAACTGTTGACCCAGTGTTGACTGTGCTCTGGGACCCTGCGAGCCGCTGGGAAGGAGCGGATGACTGGGATGAGGAAGATCCGGCCGGCGAGGAGCAGGAGAACCCTGCGCCTCTGCTGCCCTACGTTGTCTACTTTGCAGCTGGGTAATCCAGGCACCTCAAACATAGAGCCTATGTAGAAGCCCAGGTGGTCACTTCCAGCGCCCGTGCTTCAGTTTCTGCTTTGGCACGGATGGGGACAAATGAGCTGAAAGTTCGTTGGTTTGCTTCCCAGGCCATGCTGACATCGACAGAGCAGACGTCGACCCAGCAAGGTGTGAGCGTGTGCGAATTCTGCGAGATTTTCGTGCCAACCTCGGAAGTCTACCAGGCACGTCGCGCGAGTCGCAACCTCCGAGCACAAGCCCTCCCACTACGACAACTCCCTCGCCGGCAGGGCCTGGCTCCGACAAAGGTGGCAAGACAGGGAGTGACGACGGTCAGGGCGGCGGCGGTGACGGCGATGGCAGCGATGACAATGCTGGCGATGATGGTGGTGACAGCACTGACAGCAGTGACGGTGCCGAAGAAGATGATCGAGATGAGGCGAACGGTGATGATGAGGAGTCTGAAGGGGATGGTCAGACAGCCAAGCCAGGGCCTCGTAAAGACAACATCAACATGCACTAGGTTGTGGTCGAACCAGCACCCTGTCTGCGATGCCGGAAGGTCGAGAACCTCGGCGACTTCGACCACAACTGCTGCTTCTGAAATTATCACCACTTCCGAGTCCACTTCAACAACTTCCACAACTACTTCCACGTTAACAGTGACGAGCACCACAACATCTCTGACAAAGACAACTACGACAACGACGACACAGTTCTGCCATTGCTGCTCTGTCTACACATAGCCCAGAAGTCCCAGTGGGAGTGGGTAGGGTGGAATGTTCATCCAAACTCCTAGTGCCTGCAGCCCCAAGGCTTTTCCAACGTGTCATGGCGGAAGGAGGCGCGACCGGATGGATGCTGGTCACTGTCTGCTCTGGCTGAAGCTTCACCCTTTCCATTTCTCGCTGTCTTGTGTGCTTTTGCCAGACCCCGGGCCGTTTGCCGTCGTCTCCCGGTGGCTCAGCACGTCTGCGACGCACGGTGGCTACAGCGGCTGTGACGGCAGCGGTGGGAGGCATCAGACTTGAGTTCCTTTGGTTGTAACGTATATATATATATATATATATATATATATATATATACATACATACATACATACATACATACATACATATACACACATAAGGTGTGTGTATATATATGTCTATGTATGTATGTAAACAGAAATGTGTATATATATATATATATATATATATACAGAAAGCGTCGCACTGCAGGCCCGAGTTTTGGAGCTTTCCCTTTCTCCATATTGTAAGCTAGGATTGTGCAAGAGTGTTGCATTTATTTGTTTACAGGAAAAATTACTGAACAAAGAAAAATGTTATCTGATTGAAAGCTCCTATGGGAATAACGGGCCTGGATAGTGTCTGCAACATTAGATAGCCTAAACCAAAGAGCCAAAAGGCCTGGAGTCCGTGGCCCTGGCCCTGGCCTTGCAGCTGGGGGGGGGGGGGGAAAAAAAACTAAAGAATATGGTTTTTTTATTTTTATTTTTTTTTTTTCCCCCCCCCCTCCCCAGTCCAGCCCAGAGACCTCAAAACCTCAAAGTGCAGCCCTTCTGAGGCTAGAGCCAGGCCTACGGACCAAGCCAGCGAATTTCAGTAATTATACAAATCTGTAAAGCCTTCAGGCCTTAGGCCAAGAAACAAGATCATAAATCCACCTAGACTCAGGACCGAGGAGAAACCTCATAAAGATCTTCATCTCTATCATCCACCCCTATGAGACATATCAAGATTGCAACATAAGGTTATAGGATATTTTAATAGATATCACCTCTTGCATGATCCATATGTAGAGCTTGTCCATGCATTCCTGGGTATGTTTGTAGATACATGTGTCTATGTGATCATTCAACTTGACAAGTCGCATGACATCGCATATGTGTTTGTATACATATATATGTATAAACAGAGGAACCATGCATTTAACAGTCGTGAATGTGTGCGTATATATATATAGTTACACTTAGCATGTATGTCTAAGTATGTTTTTCCTATGAATATCATACAACAATGATTAGAACCAGGTCGTTGAAAACTACATTGTTGATGCCATTGTCGGTTCATGTCTAAATACATATGTGTTATCATGTCAGATGTACAATTTATATATAATATATACATGTATCGATCGGTCGAAAACATGTACGATAGTGACAGATGTGCAAGTTGATAGGGATATCTCAACCATCGATTTGGTTTATATATATATATATATACACACACGCGAATTTGTTGCGGCCTTAGGGTTTAGAAAGTTGAAGGCTTATGCAACCCCATCACAATGTTGTGCTTTTGGGTGAAACACTCGGTTTTATCATGTTTTTTACTGGGTGATTGAAAATTGCACTATCAGACATGATGCATGCATTCCCCAAAAGATGCATAAGCCCTGATACGAGATGATAGATCACAATCCCAATCGTTCGTTCAGATAACCACGGTTGAAACTGCGGAGCGGATAGGCGGGACCCCCCCCCCATCCTATCAGGGATTGCCTTATGCTTTCGAAACCACAGCCTTAGCAGGATATGAATAAGAGCAACGGACAGGTGGCCAAATCTTCATCGTTATGACTAAAGATGATGGACCCAAATTGCGCAGACACAGACAAGATGACAGCAATCAATGAAATAAATGACTCGGAAGACTGGCAAAAGTTCAAAAAGGGCTAGAATGGAGGAGTGGTTCGCAGTGGTTCGAGAAACGAAACTTTCCAAATACAAGTGGACATAGTGGAAGGCTGTCCAAACGGCTAATAATGATTAGATATGATGCAGTTTATGTAAAAATGTTTAACAGATATGTATAAATACATATAGCTCTTAAATTAAGATATGGGAGACAGATGATGCGTCTCAAACACTAACATCACGATTGGGTTCCAGCAATCCACCATATTGGACAAGTTGGGTGGCAAGCCCAAAAAAAAATCAGGGAGGTGATGGAATTCAGTTCATCATCCCGAAGAAGGGTAGCAAGTTTGAATGCATGATATATTCTGATCAGGATACATGGGTGGCATGTCCAATATGTTCATCCTTGGCGGCAGACTGCGGGTAAAAATCCATAGTCAACCCCACTAGGTCAGAAACACTTTAAACTCCAACAAAAGATGATATGTGGAAATTCAGCAACTTAACACAAACATGGTGGAGAGCCAAGACTAACATCTAATTGAGGCATTTCTGTCCCAACTAACAAGGCATAACTGATGTTACACTAGAACCCTGAAAGATACAGTGAATGCCAAGATCCAGAAATAGGTCATAACATCTGACATGTTCCTCAAGCATACCTACTGGGTCTAAAGAAAAATGGAAGGGGTGGCAAACCCGAATATTTCGAATAGGTAACTTAACAGCACAAAATCAAATGTCTGTTGCATAACTGTGTTGGTCAGTTACCATTCAGCATGTTTGTAAACTTGCAGGAGGTTTTGCCATTGTGTTCGATTTTGCTACAGATGAGCCAAAAGTCTTGAGAAGCATGAAGAATGTACTGAAACTCGCTTATTTCGACTGAAAAACACGGGCCTGCATTCCGACGCACTCTCTCTATATATATATATATATATATTATTCGGTCCAGTTCATTCGAATGCATAAATCCGAATGCAGTCCGTGCATGCTGGATCTCTAAGCTAGAAGAGGACTCGCAATGGTAGTGAGCTTAACGTCAAAGCCAGCACACCTCTACACTCAAGCCCTACAGTCCCGTCGCATTTTTCTGGGGGTGCAAAGCTGCATTCCTTTCGGAGGTTGCAAGAAGTTCTGCCTCCAGGCTGGGTACCGCCTTCTCTTGCTATGCATGCCGACACATCGTTGAGCCCAAGCTATTCTTGTTCGGTGGTTTCAGCGGTGTGGACAATATGTTGGTTCAGCACCTCAAGGACAGACCCCGTGTAGGCACACGAGCTCCCATCCAGACCTACAGGCACAAGATGTGCGGGCCAACACAGTGAACACGTCTAGTTCTTGGTAAGCTACCGGCAGTAGAATAGTCACTCCACGATTCCAAGGGTGGCATTTCTGGCCGCTCAAGTCTCAGGCCTGACTCTGCAAGGTCCCGAAACCCTTTGCTGATGCGGGAAAGTAGGTTCCATAGCCTCGGATCTACGTGCTGGCAGCATTACGCTACTGCTCACTGCTCACTGCGGCACGAGGACGACTTTGTGAATGCCATCGCCAGACAGAAGGGCAGCGATGACTATTGCAACATGGCTTCAGGCTATTTCTCTGTACTTCAAGATTGCTGAAATACATCAAGCGCCCAATACCTGAGGCACCTGCTACACGAAAGAAACCAGCAATCCAGTGTATGATGCGACGACCAGGCACATGCAAAATCAGTGCATGCTTGAGATGTTCTTTCTCAGCCCTTCAGCACTTCAACTGACGAGGTTCGAGGAGAACCAGTCCCTCATCGGAGAATGGAACCTGGAGGCCCCAGATGGTGTCCGAGGCTACACCAAGCTGGTGGTCCCAAAGACCAGCTCCGACAAGATCAAGGCCGGATTTGCGGCGGCAGAAAGTCGGGGCTGAAATCTGGGTGTGAAGTCTATGACACGACTCCGACACCGGAGAAGATGCCCTAACGGTTCTTGGGATGGCTGCTCCTGCTCCACTCCGTGCTTGATTGATGCAGCGTGCGATGTGCATGTACTTCAGCTCGCATGCCGAGAAACTTCGCGATGCTTCGTCCTACCAGTTCCTACCTCTTGTGTCTCTGTCTCGCACGTGCCGGTTCTGCTGTGGACGACTCTGGAAGGCGCACGCAGGATGCCCGGAGGACGGGCAGCGACTGGAACTGTCTGGGGAAGGTGTGATGTGAAAGAGCAGCATGTCAAGCGAGACATGGCGACAAGCGGGATTCTGGAAGCCACTGGCGTCTTTGAAGGACAGTTCTGACTGCTCTGCACTCTTCGGCCTTGGCTGCCACTGCCTTGGTATGGGATGCTTTCGAACCAAGCAGCAGCTTCCAAATAGTGCTGACGTTTCAGATTCCGGAGCCATTAAGGGAGGCATGAAAACGACCTCTTAAGGTCACTTGCCTGTGTGCCGGGATTGAAAATGCAACGTGCGATTGTGTTTTCACGGTACCTCGGTGTAGCAGCTAAGGCTGAATGGTCACTGCAGTTGCGGTACAGTTTGATAATGCTGCATTTCATTTGCACCGCGCACATGTGTTGGGTTGTCGAGTGGCTTGTCAGGCTCTTGGGAGCATGCTGTGTTTCGTACTTGACATATGTTGTGATTTCGTTCGAGCGGTCAGTGCAGATATTCCTTTTGTGATGGTGTCCTGTCAAGGGAAGAGCTAAGGTGGGGACAAGCCGCCTTTGCTGTGCCCCAACACTCACGAGCACCTTGGTTTGACGGGAAGCAGAGGGAGGTGCTGCAAGCGCTTTGTGTCCCGCAGATTGCCCACCCCCACAGCATGGGAATTAGGCACAGTCCCTTCGTGACAACACTGCCTCCGAACGTTCGGCCTTCGGACAGCTTCTTTCTGAGTGAGGCCAGCAGACATGGTGTTGCTCCATGATGTGCATATGGGGTTTGCATACAATACGAGTTGCATGATCAGCCGCGCGAGGCTTGTACAGGTGCTTCGGTCTCCAATGCTTCGGAGTCCCACGCCAGCCGGTGCAGCAATGCGTGGCTGGTTTTTGACCTGGAGGAGAAGTTCACTGTCACGAAAGTACGAAGCTTGACTGCAAGGACAACTCGACAGCCCATGGGTGTTGTAGGGCGGATCCGTGTCTACCCCTTCGCTTGAGGTTTAATTAGGGTGTTGGGTTTTCAGGGAGTAGTGTTTGGAGTTTAGGGTTTAGGGAGGTTAAGGGCTTGCGTTTTTGAGCTTGGGCATCTGGGCTTTGGGTTTGGGTCCGGGTGTTTGGGCTTTTCAGGGGTACGCATGAGGACATAATATGAGGACTTGAGTGGTTTAGGGGTTTAGGGTTTTAGGGTTTTCGCCGCACTCCTGATCGTTTGGGATGTGAGCCACTGCTCAAAGCTCAGGATTCCACAACTACGTCACTCAGGATGCAGTCCGCAAGGTCACCTTCAGTGGCAGCAGCAGTGTGGGAGACTGGGTTCCGGCGCAAGCCATTGACCTGCCGAACGCAGCCACGGAGCGGTCGCCTTCAGTGCCTTGGCTTGTGACTGCCGCGGTGTTTCGTTGATGTCTCGCCTCGCGCAGCTGCATTTCTGGAAAGGCTCTGGGCTTCGGTGGTTTTTCAGGTTACTGAAGGCACAGAAAATGTGTATCTGGGCGATGTTCCAGGCAGAGAAGCATTCCGTCTCTGACCACGTCTTGGACGTTCCGATCAGCGAGAGGTTTCTAAAGATGGACATTCTTGAGAACTACGGCAGCAGAGGCAGCATTTTAACACCATCCTCTTGTGGGGGACTACTACCTGTTGGGTCGTCACATTGTCTCGAAGTGCTGCGTGAGCCAGAACAACAGGTGTAGGGTTCTTTCGCATCGAGTTCCATGGGTTCAGGCCTTGAGCTCAGTGCTGGAGGTTGCTCAGGCTTTCCACCGTCCAGTGCAGGTAGAGGAGAGTGAAGCAGAAAGGTACTTCTTCACGGACTTTACCAAGTACGCTGGCAAGGCCTGTGGAGGTGTCCTGGAGCAAACTCTGCGCCATCCTCTCTCCTCTCTCTTCCACGCTCTGGCGAGTGCGCTTTTGCACGGCTCTTAGGCTACGAGCTCGAGGACATGGCCGGGGCTCGCGGCTCCGAGCAGCGCTGCCGGGCTCAGTGCGCCGCGCGCTTGGACTGCGCTGCCGTCGAGGCCCCCAGCCGCAATATGCCGCCATGCAGAGACGCCTGCGACCAAGCGGGAGTAGAGTGCTTCGGAAGGTCATCCACTCCGGGGCATCTGCTGGCAGCTGCATCTTCCACAGCAACATCTGGATCCCCACCAGGCACGGACCTGGTGTGCACAGACCTTCGATTCAGCCTGCTGACTGCCATGCAGGTCTCTGGAAGACGAGCGTGATTGCTTTGTCCGGGAGGGTCAGGCCCAAGCTTGCGCCCACTCTCACATCCCTTATAGAATCTCTGTGACTCTGTGGCGGCATATGTGATTCTCAACACAAACAGCCTCGTTGAAGCGTTGTGCAGCATCCCTGTGCTGCTTTGCAGACGGTCTTCTGCCAGCGCGGCCTTCCGTTGCACGACGTCTGCTGCAGCCCAGAGTGCGGCACCTGCGGAGGCGACAAGTGTTCTTACCGCCCCGGGGGTCGATGCTGGGCTTAAACCTGTAGCTAGAACGGACAGGCGGGCCAAGCTTTCACAGCGTTGCAGACGCGGCTTCCTATAGGCTTCCTAGGGCTGTGGGCAGCCGAGGATCCAAGTGCTGCGCCGGCTCCATCAGAGTCATGCGGCACCTCTGCGCCAACACGACAGCAGCTCTGCTGATTCGTGGGCTCTTAGGATGTCATGAAACCGGAAATCGCTGTTGCAGGATGTGGCTTGCCGAATTCCACGGCCTCGACGCGCTGGAATTCCGACACTCCGCCTGACGTTCGAGAGTCTTGGCCGGACGGGTACAAAGCCATCCAGCCAGCTACCGCCAAGTCTGTCGTATGCTGCTCAGCTTAGGAACGAAACCGGAGGCATGCTGTATTTGTTGGATATCACCCGACCCGGATCTTTGTGCCGAGCAAGGCTAGTATTGGCCCGTGTCTCCTTCTGACAGGCTCCAATGCAAGCGAAGACCTTCGGCCTTCGAAGACTGTCAAGGCCGTGTTTAGCAATCAGTTTGGCATGCAAGGCTTGAAGGCCGGACTCAGTCCACGCGGATTTCACAGCGAGAGACTGAAGGTCAGCGGGTTTCAGCCATCGACGACGCTGTCACGGGCAGGCGGAACAGCTGCCGACCTCACAGGTGTAACGTGGCGGCAAAGATCGCAGCTGTGGGCAAGTTTGGAGCTGGCGCTTGCTGCAACGGAGTTCCCAGACTTTCCATATCTGGTTCAAGATACAGAAATGTTGTGTTCTGGCTAGCGGAACCAAAATGCACGCGACAATGACGGAGATCGTGTGAAGCACGCAGTCGCCAAGGAAGACTACAGAACAGTAATCTTGCCTGAATGCCTGTCTGTTTGTGTAGATGGTGTTATCTCTGGGAACCGTCGGAAGGGTATTCTCGCTGTTTGCTCACCCAGCCCCCATTGATTGATCTAGTATGAGCCTTATCCAGGTGAATACCGGCATCGAGATCCGCAACTACGGGCGGTGGTTCACAGCCACCTCGACTTACATGTGCTGGATCCGGCCAACCTTCGTGAGGTGTCGCACCTGCAGCATGGACATGTCTCACTCACTTCGCTCCACCCCTCCACTCCACTCCACTCCACCTCACTCCCTCACCACGGCCAGACTGGGCCACTGAGCTTCTGTAGGGAAGGTGTTGCAAACGTTTAGATGCACACAGAGGTCTCTCACTCAGAGAGGTAAGGGTGTTTCTGTCGGTCGGTCGGTCGGCCTCGGCTCTCGACAAGCTGAAACGAGCCTCAGCCTCTCTCTGAGGGATCAAAGCTGGTATTTCATCTTCCGCAGCAGCGGCTACACCATGCACAATCCCGAGGCCGGCAAACAATATAAAACTGACTGGAGAACTTGAACCCCCGCGATAGGACGGAAGTTGGGCCGTGGAGTTCCAGTGCAAGGGTGACAAGGCAGGGGCCATGCATTGTGACAGAATGTGACAGACATCCGATCGGCTGAGTGGCCCGGGAGGCGCGGCTGATGATCTGGACTCGGCAGCCCGCCGGTCTCGGTGCCGTCAGCACGGAGTTCAAGGCAAAAGCTCGCTGGGCTGACCGGTGGATCCTCGGCCCGTTGGATTTGCATCGGGATCTGTGGATGCACTGCTGATCCAAGGACTCATGTCGCCTGGAGCTTAGCCTGAGAATTGAAGCGTGGGCGAGATGATCAGACGCGTGCCGAGCGCTTCGAGGCAGTGGTGATGCGAGTGGGAGGTGCTTTCCCACAGCTCTACTTGAATGGCCTTCCCGAGGAAGTGGAGGACAGACTCTTCTGCACTTCAGGCTTTTCAGGGGGCTCCTTCGAACATTTCTTTCCTGTGACAGTGCATCAGGACAGCTCTGCTCCTTGGTCTGAGTTGGAAGACATCGTCTACAATGAGAACCAGTACCTGATCATCGGAAAGGCAGGGCCCGCCGGTGCCCGCCAGCCCACCGCTCGCCAGCCCGGCCTCTCAATCCCGAGCCATCGTCGATCAGAGCATTAACCGCTTCGGCCGCCCCGGAACCGGCTCCCAAGCAACAGTTGGCAACGGTCAATTTGTACATTGGGCCAGCATGGCATGGTAAGTTCTCCAACCTGCATGCCAGGCAGCAGAAACTGACCAGCAGTTTGAATCTTGGCTGCATGCAGCGGTCCATCTCCATGGAAAGTATGCGCGTGAATGTTGGTCCATTGCCAGGACGGCTTCATCGATCACTTCGAGATTTACGAGGAGACCCTTACCCCGCAGTTCATGCGCAAGCACTACAACACAATCGAAGCCGCAAAGGATGAAGGAGCTCCGATTGTCTATGACTGTGTGCATAAACCACGTCTTTTGCAGTTGCCGCTTCCGCCGACCAGGAGAGGAAGCCACAATAATTCGCCAAATATGCCTGCCACCGACCGACACTACAGGCAGCGTTTTCATGACTCCTCTTTCGTTGCTGTTTCATGTCACGTGCAGATTTTCAACACCATGCAGTCGACAAGCGCCCAAGGCTACATCATCCAGGGAGGCAGTGCAGCACGAAACAGCTTCGATGTGTCAGCAAGCTGTGATGATGCAATGGGGCAGCCCGTCTGCCAATAGATATGTGGCAGCCGAACCTTGCGGCACAACAGCTGTCGTTCTCAGCCCGGCTGCACGAAAATTCATGAAAAGCGAGGCATCGAGCTGAGCCACGTTCATCTGAAGGCTACAGACACATGCTCAACAGCCCTGTCAGGTATGGAGGGATGGCTGTCGTTACTCGGTGTTCCATGACCTCCAAGCGGTATGCTCTTAGTGGCTGCCTGCTGAAGGAGCAGCGCCTTGGCGGAAGCTTCAGGTGAGGTCGCGGCGGGCACCCGTTGATCCTGACCTCCCAGGTGCTCTGCAGAACGCTGCCTCGTGAAAAGTTGAGCCTAGCTCCGGGTGCCTCCGGCCTCGCAAACCTAGGACGAATGCACGATGCAATTGGGCGGATGCCGCTGTCGTTGCCAGTTCCGGTTTGGCCATTTATTCTAGTCTGTGCAGTCATTTGATGCGCAACGGCAGGGGCAGGGAGTGATGCATCGAAGTCAGGTGCAAAGCTCTGCAACACGAGCGAAAATACACACGGCATGCGACTGCATGGATCTACAAATATCTACATATTGTGAGCCTTCCCCTGTAAGTCCCGAGGTCGCCGCTCGCCGTTCCGTCCTGGCCCCCGTCGCCAGGGACCGAAGACCCGCAGCGATATGGAGCACTACAGCGTAGAAAGCGCACAAAGCGCGCAGTGCATGCAGAACTGTGTTTCGGTTATGGTAGCCACTCCCTGCTTGCGCAGTGCCGCAGTGCTGAAAGAACCGAGACTCTGCGAGGACCACAGTCTGACAAGGCGAAGACATCCGGTAGAATCAACATGCAGATACAGGAAAGGACAGGTGTCCCAGAAGGAGAGGTGTTTACCAGTGAACATCAGTTAACCCCTGTGCAAAATTCTCAGAGCTTTGCGGTGCTCACGATTCGAGGTGCTCTGCGTGGCGCTTTGCGTTGTCGTGCAGCGATTCAGCGCAGCCTTCCTCCCGGCAGAGACGCTCAGGGGTGACGCAGGTCGAATCAACCTAAGCTTTAGCTGGTCGTGCACATCGCATTGAGTGGGATTTCTTCCAGCGTGGCGTAGCAGTTGCCTTTGCTGCATCCCGAGTCGCCTGCCGCTGCGCCACGATTCCAGCCACAGCTTCGTGCGGTTGAGGCAAGCTTTGCATCTTTGGATATCTTTGATCCGGCTTCTCCGGCTCACCCAGTCCGTGGGGCTAGCCGTGCTACTGCTAGCCGTTTCTCGCAGGCTGCCGCCATCTCGACTGGGTTGACGCTCGCTGGAGCGACTCCTGCCCTGGCCACCTGGGGCGAGGGATCGGAGGCCGGGCAGAACATCGACCCGGCGCGGGGGCCCAGCTTTTTCAACAGCCTGCCTTCTGCCTTCGCTCTCCGTTCGCTGAGGACTCCACTGAGGCCTACAACCGCAAGGCGTGAGCTTTTTGTTTAAGGACCCTTGGCAAGTCTTCGTTGAAGCTTCGATGAAACTGCTGTCGGCAGATCCTGAATGCGACGGCCATCTGCTTGACCTTCGCCGTCTTCCTAGTAGGTCTCGTGGTCAGCCAGGCTGGTTCTCAAGTCGCAAGGACTCGTCTGGAAATCCACCGCGCGTGAAGCGAGGGTGAGCTTGCACCGGTGCAGGCACGCAAGCTGGTCGAGAACAGGTGGCTGAACTGAGCACCTCACCTGAAATTCTTTGCCGGGCTGTGTAGCAGTTCTGCTGCAGTCCGTGGTGCATGTTTCAGATCCTGGAAAACGTCCAACTACTAGAAACCAGTAGGTCTCTACATGTGATGGAGAGAAAACCACTTCTGAAAGTATGATAGTCAATCATGCCAACTCCGACCATGCCGGGCGACCTTCGTTCCCAACACTCCGCGGCTGGCAGACTGATGATTTGTCCAGACCTTTCCGAACTTGAATGATGCTCAACCGCGAGGACTCCGAAATGTCGGAGGGGCAGGTGAAGGTTCCTAGAAAGCCGTGCAGCTTCCAGGGGCTTGGAGCCCGAATTCCTTGGCTCTGTTCCGACATAACCGAGATGAAGACTCTTCCCGTTTCCCGTGCCTCGCAAGCCGGTCAATTTCAAGAAGAGCTTGCAGCGCAATGACGAGCGCAGACTTCCAAGAAGAGTGAAACGATATGCGCAGCATCCAAAGATGTGCCGTGGCCCGAGGCGTGCGATCCGACACATGCCGAGACCTTCCTCCAAAGCTAATTCTGAAGAAACAGGTCCATGAAAACCTAGAGTGGTCTCACTCGGCACATTTCCCCGAGTTGCAATGCTAGCTTATCTTACGTGCCTGCTTTCATTTTCCATTCGCCAACCATCCGAACATGCCGGCAAGTAGCGGGGCATCATTCTCCAGACATTAGTTCGGATTATATTACAAGTAGCAATAAGCATGATACAGGACAGCGTGGTCGCCTGCCATGATCGTGACATGTCATTGGTTACTTCGTGCCTGCATCTGAAGCCAGCCAACGCCAAAGCCCTGCCAATTTGAAGACGCGCAAGACATAAGAGATAGAGCAATGGCGACAACCACCAACAGGACCACATCTGTTTTCCAAAAGCCACACCACCGCATCCACGGGACCACGAAACCGTATAGGGTGGCGGGTACGGGAGGACCGAATCTGAGATGCACTGATGGGTGCCGCATGCGCGAGCTGGCTCCACCCCAACATTTGTTTGAGCTTGACTCGAGTAACGGTGCCCGCTAGTACGATCTAAGCCTAATTCTGAGGCGGGCTTTGGGAGGCAGTGCTTTTTGCTTCTTGGCGGCACTCCCGGCACCGGAGAAGTCGTAACGCCAGGTAAGACACACTTCTTGGGTGAGGGCGTTCTCCACAATCTAACTGTGATTGTGATGTACACATATTTGTTATCAATCTGAAGGGTTAAGGACGCACCCAATCCGAACCGCCTTCCCAAATAAGAAATCGATCGAGCCCCTCAGCTGTCGATCCACTCAAGTTCGTGTGATAGGAAACTTGTTGACTGAATTTCTTAGTTCCATTGGGGTGGTTTGAACTTGCAGGCGTGTCGGTATCTGAGTTGGATGCTGAGGCCCTCGCTTGCAGTGTTGGGTGGTTTTTGGAGCGTAACAAGTAGCCGGACAATGTCGGGAATGGCAAAGGGAAAGTGGCAAGCCGAGGTCAAGGTATTCTCGGTTTCTTACAATCAGCTTGTGCATGTATGCGAAATATGCTATCGTGAGGCAGGTCAACAGGCTCAGTGGCTTCAAGCAGCGATGTTTTCAAAGAGTGCAGTCGCCCTGCACAGGGCCTGTGATTTTTCAGAAGGGGCAGTCAGAGCTCAAGAGGCCGTAAGAGGTTTCGGCAAAGATCTGCATATTGTGCACCCGTGTCATCTGCAAGGATGGTGGAGTGCACTCTGGCTTGTGCCAGGATTGGACGCGGTCCAAGCTCCTAGCAAAAAGAGGGCCGGATGCGCTGGCTAGACCTGCAAGCACTTCTCGCTCGAGCAGCCTGCATAGCACCTTGTAGCAAGTCATTACTGACTGCTGATTTTCGTTGACATGTGTGTTCGTATTTCCGGCAGGCATTTTGCAGACGAGTCAACTAAAACCCATGTGAGCCAAGACCAAGCAAGTCTAAGCGAGACCTACTGCTCGACATTCAAGCATCGCTTCCACGCACGAAGCTGAAGGTCGCAACCGCTCTTCAGGCCACGCAGTGAGGGCAACTTCCGAGTGCCAAGCTCGCAGCATGGAGATGCGAAGCGCGCCCTCCACAGCAGCTGAGCTTGTCTTGGTCGGTTCAAGGGCACCACGACATGTTTCGTTTATGTCACAGATCGCAAACCTTCCGTTCCTACCTCAGCCCTGAAATGCTGCCATGGCGAGTGCTGCTTGCAAGGTTGCACTGTAGTAGCCATCATTGGGGGAAGGGAGACGGCGAGGCTTCAGGTTTGCTTTGGAACATTGAAACAACGACATGGAGTCTCGTGGTCTTGGTGATCTTGACACGGGGAGGCCCCTTTCATGCCCCATTCACAAACGATAAAATCACAACTATGTGGGGAAACGACGACGTCAAAGCTGCTACCAGTAACGCTCTGGTGGGTAGGTGGGGTGGGACCACCACCACCACCACCTTCGGGTGAAGTGGAGGTCTTGTGTGGGTATCAGGTGTTGGTTGGACTTGGCCAGTTGATGAAGTGCATAGCACGGACCGGAAAAGGTTGATTAGCCAATGGACCGTGTGCACGCCTCTAGCCCTTCAGCTCCAACCACGGGTCGCAGAACCAAGGGCTGCATTCCAGTCCTTTGCCCAGGCATTGCGCACAGCTTCGACGCCTGCCTCGCTCCAGACGCCGCAAATCCTGCAGGTTTCTGCGAAGCCGAGACATGCGCGTCAAGGCCTTGTGAGTTCCGGAACAACTGTGATCTTGAAAACCTCGTCTTTCGGTACAATTTTCCATCGAGAGCTTCAGGAGGGACAGGCTGAAGTAAGGTCAGGGTCGGGGGCCGGGGGCCGGGGGGGGGGGGGGGGCGAGTTGTTTTCCAGGCACGGCCGCCGGGCCTTCCAGGCCCTTGCTCCAGCTGGCGCCGGCAGTTCTTGTCGGCAGCCTGGCTCTGGGTCGCCGACGCTGGTCAGAGAGGTCGAGGCGCACAGCAGCGCCGTGGGCTTCGAGTGCTTTCCCACCCTGTTTTCTCGTCTCCAGGGCCCCGGCCCAGTCTTGGCGTCGCACGGCCAGACAAGCTCTAGAGCCCGGCAGTTCACCGGAAGACCGTATCCGTAATTTCTCCATCATCGCGCACATCGACCATGGCCCTCTGGCAGCAACTTTCGAAGCCCAGTGACGTGTGCTCCTGACTTCTGCTTGTCTCAGGCAAGTCGACCCTTGCGGACCGTCTGCTGGAGATCACTGGCACGGTTACCAAAGAAGACATGAAGCAACAGCTGCGCCTCGGATCTGACAAGCATTGAGAGGCTTGTAGGAACGACAGCGAGCAGGACTCCACATGCAGGCTTTCGGTTTAACAGAAACCCGCGTCCTTCGAGCAGTTCTCTCTAAGACTAAGACGAAGCCACACAGTCTATGACCTCAGGTCCGTATATTAGGTTGGCGAGTCCCGATTCGCTTCAGGGCTCGATGGCTGCGACCAAGTGCAGTTCCACCTTTGACATCCCCACAAGAGGGGCAGCGTCACGCCCGGTCATGTCCACACGTGTCGCAAGGCCGGGTGGTGATGATATGCCCTTCCGACCTACCACCGACCTTATCTTGTCTGTTTCCGTCTAGTAGGTTAACGCATCGCCAAAGTTGCAAGGGCTTGCAGTGCAACCTGTCGCTTTGTTCATGGCAAAAGTGGCCAAAGGCTCGACAACATGGACATCGAGCGCGAGCGAGGCATCACCATTAAGCTGAACACTGCTCGGATGGACGTAAACGAGGGTGGCGAGGAGAAGAGGGTTCTTTGTCGTCAGAGATTCACTCACTCCAGGATTGACAGTCTCCTAGCACTTGACTGTGAGGACTATGTCTTGAATCTGATCGTATCCCGGCTGCTCATGGTGTGCTTCGGTTGGGGGTGGGCAAGCTCTCGAGGTGAAAGAGCTGCGCGGTTTGTAGGAGGCGTCGCAAGCGTTGCATCAGTTCTTGTATCATGGCAGCCAACAGCGTCATGCTCTCATCTCGAGCTTCAAGGACACGCCTGGCCACGTGGACTTTACGTACGAAGTTAGTCGATCCCTGGCGGCGTGCGAAGGGGCGCTGCTCGTGGTGGATGCCACGCAGGGGGTGCAGGTGAAAGAGATGTGCTTTGATGCCCCAAAAGCTTGAAGGGTTGCTGCAAAGCAGGCGCAAACCCTGGCCAACGTGACCTTAGCTCTAGAAGCCGACCTGGACACTCGGATGCGGTCGTGAATGGCTTCGACATGCAAAGGCCAAGGTTTGTTCCCTCCTCTATTGCAGTTCATGCGAGGAGATCGTACCTGTCCTGAACAAGTGCGACTTGCCAAGTGCCGACCCAGCATCTTGTTTGCAAGCAGACGGCCACGGCACCGAGGTTGGGGCACTTCCTTAGAGCCTTAGAGTCCTTGGAGCGGCCAGCGCGCCAGCACTTCATGAGGAGCGGGTCTGCAAGGAGATCGAGGATGTTGTCGGTGGCTTAGCATGCGGGCCAGTGTTTCAAAGTGGAGTGCTGTGATGCTCAGGTAGGCATCGACTGCAGCAATGCTCTGCAGTGCTCTGCCAAGACTGGGGAGGGCGTTCCAGGCATCATCAAGAGCCGCTTGGAGCCAACAGCTTCCTTTCATGGCTTGGTCTTCGGTTCGAGGGTTCGGTTCGCGGTCGTGTGAGGCATCATCGACTGCGTACCAGCACCGGCAAAGTCCGATGAGCAGACGCGCATGAGTCCTGGCCCCACCTTTGCCGTTTGGATTTTCGTTAGCCAGAGCTTTGATTGGCTGCCGAGGGCTTCTTGTTTTCGACAGCTTTTACGACAACTATCGGGGCGTCATCGCCATGTTCCGTGTTGTGGATGGAAGCATTTCCAAAGGACTTCTCAAACTTCCCGCGTGGTGCAGACCGGTACATCCAGACGCTCCTGCGGAGGACAGAAGATCCGCTTCAAGAACTCTGGAAAGGAGTTCCTCGTGGAGGACGGGTCGGGGGAGTTCGCGACCTGCTGAAGACTGACTTTCCTTATTCTTTGCACCTGCTCCGATGCAGGAGATCGGCATCATGAGCCTTGGTGTGCAAGCTGTGTGGAGATGCGTAGCAGAAGTACTGCCCAGCAAGCACGAAGATCCAAGCACCAGCCGCTGTAAGCACGGCTACGAATACGATTCAAGACAGTGCTGTTCATAGGTTGAGGCTGCAGGATTACAGTTACAGGGTTTTTGGGGTTCCGGTTTGCATGCCAAAGTCCGCACGCTCTTCTCAGGATTGGGGGCGCTCGAAAGCCTGTCCAGAAATTGAGCGTGGGCGAGGTCGGCTACGTTTGTGCCAACATTAAGACAGCGGCTCGGTTGCATTGGTCGTAGCCGAAGATAACTTGGGAAGCTGAAACCCATGCAATTTCAAGGTCGGTGATGCTCGCGTGGGAGACACCATCATCGAGGCCGGCACTGAGGACGAGGTGGAGGCTTTGCCCGGCTACACGGAGGCCAGCAAGGGCGGATCTGGCCACACTTCCCGCATGCTCGGTCTTTTCAAGAATGGCCCTCGTGCAGCCGTAGCAGACACCGATCTCTGGAGAACTGTTGAACTGCATTCGGAACGTGGCATGGTGAGAATCGTAGGTCATAGGCGTTCATCGGCGACATTCCATATGGGTGGTTGTCAAAATTATGGTCCCTTTTTGGGTCCCCGTTGTAATACGGCACCTAATATTTAGGGTACCCAAAACAGGGGCCCTAATGTTCAGAACCACCCATATGGCCTGGTTGGATCTGGGCTTGTGCATGTAGGATTCCTTCAGGTTTGGGACCCTGTCTTCAAGCACGGCGTGTGTCATCCGTTTGTGAGGCCACTCCCATGGTCTTCTGCGGTGCCTGGGGCTGGAATCGGTCCTGTCAAACTGTGGGCCAGGATCAGGAAGGCAGACACACACCACTGACTCCCGCGAGCGAGCATGCCCTGTGTCGAATACCAGCGATTGAGCGGACACAACACAATCCTGAGTCAGCCTGAGGCCTCTTTCCTGCAGTGTCCGGAGACTTCGATGCCATGAGGTGCACGCAGCTTGCTTCTTGATCCGGATCTGGGGTAGCCCAACACAGATGTGTTGTCTGAAGGCTCTCAGTGCGCTAAGCTGATGTTCCTCTTGAGTGTCATGGCACTGTCTGTCCATATTGCAGAAGTCCTGTTGTTAGTGCCATCTCTTTGAGGCTTTTTTTTGGGGATGTGGATCCTTGAGTTGCTCTCTCTCTCTCTCTCTCTCTCTCTCTCTCTCTCCGCAAAACCCCTCAGCGAGTTGTTGCGGAGGCTTCTCAATCTATTCGAGTTCAGTGGGACATGGGCCTGCCCGCCTCCGAATCGGAGCTCGCCAGGAGCGCCTTTGACAAGCTGAGCTTGAACGACGCAGCCCTGTTCTACCAGCCTGAGAACTCGGCGGTTTGGCAGCAAAAATGCAGGTCCCATCTCGACACGTCGCTTTGGACTTCAGCTCAGGTAGCATTGGGCCTTGGCTTTCGCTGTGGTTTCCTCGGCGTGCTGCACATGGAGGTCGTCAAGGAGCCGGGGCGGTGCACTCGCTCAAAAAACTTAAGATCCATGTTCATGCCGAGAGGAACGCCTCGAAAGAGAGTACGACCTCGACCTCATCGTGACGGCCCCGTCTGCGGCTGGCCAAGAAAATATCGGCCGGATTCCGGGCTCGACTCCATTGTTGGTTCGTTGCGCTCGGAACCAGGTCCGGGACACGTGGGAATTGGAACGAAACTCAACCTAGAAATCTGCCCCGTCGCGGAGCGAATCGTCACAAGTGGTTTGCAGCAAGATTCCCTCTCTCCCACCTGTCATCCCAGGTGGAATACCAACTTCAGATGAAGGACGGATCTGAGACAACTATTCAGCGCCTGGCTGAAGAACCGCACCATGCCTTCTGGTGTTTCTGTTGATTCTGAAAGAGCTTTAGGTTCGCCAACATGCTGCCACCACCCACGAACATTGCAGAGATCCGCGAGCCGTACTGTTTGCTTCTCGACTTGACAGTTTTGTGACGCCTCTGAAGCGACATGCGTTGAATGCGAGCTTAGTTCGTGGTGCAAGGCTTGAGCTGATCGTTCCGGAGGAGCACATGGGACCCTGCATGGAACTGGCGGTTCAGCGTCGTGCCATCTACAGGACCTGAGATCGGAAGTCTGCACTCCCGGTCCCTGCCTCTTCGTGTCTTCCCTCCGAGGACGACCAGCTTTCTCACTCAAGGGCGCGCCTTGTTGGAGTATGAGCCGCTGGGCCGAAAAGCTCGCAGGTGTCATGACCTTGAGAAAAATCCGTGGTCAGGATGCCCATGGCAGAGATGATTCGCGATTTCTTCGCTGCGACTTGGCTGTGGCAGGTTTCGGCAGAAGTCCTGGCCAGAGAGTTGAGCTACGGCAACCCTGAAACGGTTGTAACCACGGTAGCTGTGGCAAGGCTATAAGCGCAGCCGATGCTCGCAGGGCTCAACTACTCATCTTTGTGGGTGATCTGAAGTGTATGATGCTGTGCAAGGAGCTAAAAAGCCGCTCACGTGGCTATGCTTCCATGGACTACCGCATCATGGACTTCAGGACTCCTCTCTCTGTCTTCTTAGCGGCCTCGCATCTAGAATCTCGTGTAGCACCAAAGCTGACCTCGTTTTTTGGCAGCTGCCGGCCTGCGGTGACCACATTTGAGCTCCTAAACGCGGATGTTGCATGAACTTGAACCCTACATCAGCATCTATCCCTGTGCCCCACTTTTTGCAAGAGAGAAATAGAAACGATGCCCATCGTGTCGCGTTGCACCTTAACAGCTTTTTCCTTCGGCCAGGCCCAACGATCTGGTGAAGCTTGAGGCACGCATGGTTGGAGAATTGCTGAAGTTCCTGTTGTTGTTTTCCATCTCATGACGTCCCTTGCGGAATGTTTCGGAAAGGTCGACTCCCTTACTTGTTCGGTCGGGTCTGGTTGTACTTGGGTTTATCTGACCAGGTGGATATCAACAAGACCACGGCCAACCCGTTGGCGCAGATCGTGCATCGTTCGCGAGTCCAAGAGTTCGCCAGGCATGGGAGAAGTCCAAACGGGAGCGCTAGATCGGAAGGTGACTTGTATCTGAAAGCTGCTCATGGGGTTTCATCACCTCATTAGGCTCATAAACACGGCTTCCTGTTTATTCGGGCTCCTCGACCGGGAGCGGCCCCGGCTTGCAGCGACCGCTTGAAAGGAAGATTGTCAAGATCTTGAAGGAAGAGATCCCCGCTCAGCAGATCAAGGTCATCATCCAGGCACGTATTGGCCACGTAGCTGCAAAATCAGCTTTCGCTTTGCAGAAACAGGCGGTTTGGAAGTTCCACAGAGTGAGGCACCCACATCATTGCCTCGGAGAACATCAAAGCTGTGAGGAAGGATGTCTTGGCGAAGTGCTACGGCGGTGACATCTCCCGTGCCTGGGATCACCTTTCTATTCTTACTTCAACCGAATCCACCGTCTCCGAAGCACGACCTGACCTCGACTCACAGTGGCCACATGAAGCAAGATCCCACATCCAGCAGAAGTCTTGTGCGCACAATCGCAGGCAAAAAGAAGCTGCTGCAGAAGCAGGCAGCCGGCAAGAAGAAGATGCAGGCCATTGGCAAGGTCAACGTGCCTTCCGAGCCTTGACGGCAACTTGCGCTAACAGTCGCGGATCTCAAACTGTGAAAGGTTATGCCGCGAAACCACATACCACAACCCAGCACAGCCTCTGCACCAGCGCTCACGTCGCCCAATCCGTGGCAGGAATTCGGAGAGCTCACGGATAACGGATGCATATTCTTTCGAACAGATCTCCGAGACGAATGGTTTCGGTAGTGCGGTCACCTCACAGGGCTCTTTTTGGGGTAGAGGTGCGAAATCGGCTCCTGGACCTTGCAAGCTCGTTCGCGTCGGAAGCCTCGGAAGGGGAGGCTGCCATCTTCGTCTTACATCTGGAGCTGACGTGGGTTTTTGTCGATGCGGATAAAGAGAGTAAAACAAGAGTGAAATCCGTCAAGCGAAAACAGCACGACCGTCCATGGTCTTCTGTAACCGTAAATGTCACCAATCTTTCCTGTTGTTGCTCGTTCGTGCCATTTGTCCCTATCTCTGTCTGTCTGTATGTCTTGCTCCGTAATCCTTTTATCTCCTCCTGTGGCCTTTGAGGGCCTTGGTGTGCCTTCTGTTCCACCGTGCTTAGCTTGGGAAGCATATGTTGCATCCGAGGAAGCTATTTTGGCAGACACTTGGCAGCAAGTTTCAGTGCACAGGCTGAAGAGGCCCAAACTATGATTCCATCCGGACCCTCCATCCTCAGTGGACACGTCAGATCCCTTAGTCCTGCAGTACTCTTGAGTTCCCAAACCTGCTGTCTGCCTGATGTGACACGCGTGTCATGCTTGTCCTCCATGTCCTGTTGTTTTCCTGAAGTGTGCTTGGAGGTTCAGGGGTATTTATAAGTAGGGTTATAAGTCCTCTAGTATGGGTTATAAGTATAGTTACCCTACTTAGAACCCTACTTATAACTACCCATGAACCTCCAAGTGTTGACGATGCTCAGGTCATCAAGCAGACCTAGTGGCCGATGTGCAGATCCTTGGTCCAAGACCACGTAACGGAACTCTTCCGGCCACGCAGAGGATGCTGCTGCCAGCATTTGTGCCGATAAGCTGTAGCCGCAGGCCTCAATCTTGGGATGGGAGATACATCAACGGTACTTTTGGACACGTTTGGTCAATTCTCAACCTGGGAGACAGCGATGGACAAGAGCCTTGCTTGTCAGCTGCAGAAGCCTTCTGCACGTAGTGTCGACTTAGTAACATCTGCCGATCTTCATTCGCCAGCCCCGGAGCCTGGCTGCATGATGGCAGTGCGATAATGAATTGCGATTTTCCCGATCTCTGCAGTGGCAGACATTTACAGCACGGATGTTCCGGCGCAGCAATTAGAACGCGAAAAATACCTGTCTGGCGAACCTTATAGATGCCAAGCCGGCTAGATAATGCTGCAAGCCGCATCTATTGTCAGATGCCGAGAACTGCTGAAGCAGTCCTCCTCCTTGCAGGGCAGAGTTTTCGAACGTACTTTCCGCGCACGTGGAGCGCGCCCATCAGATCGGAAAGCAAAAGGACATAGCCAGGTGGAGGCATGTGACAGCATAACTCAGCTGGGGAGCTGCTTGGATCACTCGCTTGTTTGATCGGGCCCAAGATTGCAGAGAGAGGAATAGAGCAGATGTTTGGTGCATGCAGCTACAGCAACATGCAGCATGGATTGATTCTGCTTCGTTCTCGGTGTTGGGTGCCCTCTTTCACGTAGTTCCGAATCTTCGAAGCCGCAACAGACCATGGCAGAACCCAGTGCAGAGGAGATGGAGGACAGGTCAGACGCTGTCAGCACCGAGTCGAACCCTCGAGTGGCCACTGTGGCATTCGAATTCCTGCCCAGCCCGGGCATGCGAGTTTTTGAAGGATGATGAAAGTGCAGCCGCTTCCGAATGTCGCAGGAGGTCATGGCTGCCGGTGACGGCGACGAGGAGGTCATCGGTGAGGAGGAAGAGGCGGGAGCCGACCTCTGCAGCCGGTGCAGGGGGTAACACAGCTTCGCAAGCTTCCTCACATCTGTGCACATCCGCATGGAAGGAGCCGGCGGAGGAAGGCATGGAAGGCATGGAAGTTTGCCGGCCGCGGGACGAAGAGGAGGAGGCACGAGCCCGAGCAGTGCAGAGGAGGGGCGAAGTTCGCACGAGCAAGTTCAACAACTGCGACGCAGCATCTGCTGGATTCCAGGCTCTCCAACTTGACCACCAGCTCGACCAAGGTGCTTTGGTTGCAACTGCAGACTGCATGGCGGTGTCACTGGTTTTGACGACCAGTTCCTGAGTTTGAGTGTGAGTGGCAGAGGCAAGTTCCACGTTGGTGTCAGCTGGGTGCACCTCAGCGGTTTGAGGGGGAAACGCGAGCAGTACAACGGCATGAGTCTTGTCTTCGCCTTCAGCCTGGCACAGTTATCGTCTTCTTGCAAGATAGCAAGAAGATGAGAGCGCCGAGCGAGTCTAAGGAAGTGCTTGATCTCGTTCGCAACCCGGCAGTCCTTGGGACAACAGTGGCGACGCGACTTCTGGGAGACTCAGGTCCTTTGGCATACGTGACCCTTCGAAGGTCAAGGTCCGCAGTGCCGAGAAGAACGAGGAACTTTTGTCCAGATGGACACTATGTGAGCAGATTCGACAACGCCTTGACTGTAGCTGAGAGGACGGAAAGTACATTGCTCTCTGGGTGAAGCGCATTAACTGCCGCAACACCGTGCACAAGGCCAGGGAAGCCAGCATGCACCAGGTTTGATGGAGGATCTGAGGGCAGCGCGGTGCCAGGACACCGGCGCTTGGAAAGCGACACCGAACCCCGAGAACACCGGAGCCTTGACTGCCATAGCCATGGACACATGGAAGCTCTTGGCTCTCAGAGCCCTCAGAGCCCTCAGAGCTCTAAGGAGCCACGGGAGCAGCCAGATGGGTGGCGCTGGGTCGACCTGAGGTGGATGCCATGCAGGCTTCGGCACTGCTAGCTGCATCTTTTGGGCTCCTTGTGTGGGGCGCTTTGCGACGTCCGAGTCCTGTTAGGGAAAGCTGAAGTTCCAGAAGACCGAGGAGGAGCGGCAGGTTTTGGGGGTGGATACATTGGACCAGCGTTTATTGAGATCTTGACATCTGCGCTTTGTAGCTGCGTGCACCCTTCTTTGTATCTCAACCTGGAAGGAGGAGGCGGCCCGCGCCGAGCTCTTCAAGCTGGTTGACATCAATCACAACGGGATGGTCAGTTTGGCAGAGATCGACAAGGCGAGGACCCGCTTGGACTCCGGTCCCGGCCATTACGAGCCGGCATCCGCAGCCTGCTGCTTAAACCGCGAGGCCCTCCCGGAGGTCATGGGCTGCACAGCGCTCTTCAATGCAGCTCAGCTCAGTTGTAACGGTAACTGTAACGCTAACGTATGAAGGCACTGCAGTGGACTGCAAGCTGCAGGCGAAGCCCGCCATCATCCGAGCCTTTCTGGCAGCGACGGGACGCCTCCCGCCGGCACGTGTCTGTGATGGTGATCTGCTGCATTACGAACGCTCACACTTCAGAGGTCCTCCCGCCCGGCATGATGCTGCAGCGCAGCGTCCTCAGACTGTGTGTGTGTGTGTGTGTGATAATCTCGGCTACGGGCTGTAAGCGAGCGTACATGTTATGACAAGGAGCGAATTGCTGCAGGTATCGGGAGCACGAGAAGCACTACGTTAAGCCGGGTGAGCAATTCCGCTTGCTGTGCCCTGGGAGCATTGTGTGTTCTGCAACTCTGCAACTTGAAGACGTTTGGCGGAAGTAGTGGTGTGGTTATCAAGCGCTCATCTTCGTCGGGTGTCTTCGTGGTTCCGGCAGGGTCAACTGTTAGCCCACGCGCGGTGGCCGTGTCACATGGTGTGTTTCGTGATGGTTCCTCTTCTTTCACTGAAACACGCGAAGAGAAGGTTGCTTCAGATGGCTGTATGATTGCGAAGAATCTTGCGTGGCCCATGCATTTGTGATGTGCTTCGTGCATCCTATAGCTGAAGACTCGTCTTTGATTAAGTTTGGCAGCGGTGTCTATTTAAGCTTCTGAATTTCTGGGAGGTTGCAATACCTCCACGAGTTTTTTGAGATGCAGCTTGGATCGCAAGAAAGGCTGATGTGCTGCACAAGGCTCGAAGCAGTCATCTGTATCCTCGTCGTCAATCTCCTCGCCTACTCCTCCCCCGACTTCTGCTCTTACTACCCCACCTCCACGACTGCGACGACTGCGACGACTGCGACGACTAAGATGACTGCGACAACAACGACGACTACGACGAACACGACGACGACAACTGCTACTGCTGCTATTGCTTCTGCTCTGCTGCTACTGCTGCCACTCCTGCTGCTACCACTACTGCTACTACTGCTACTACTGCCTACTCCTACTTCGACTCCTACCCCTACTACCCCTGCTCCTCCTACTCCGACGCCTACTCCGACGACGACGACGAAGACGAGGAGGACGACGAAGACTAGGACGAGGACGAGCTACTGAATTGACTTCTGTAGCACGAGCAAGATGTCTGACTGAAGCGTGGTGCTCTCGTCGGACATGGGGAGCTCAAGATTTCGCCTTCGGCTACCCGAGGTACCTGATATTCCAAGACATGGCCGACGCTGACGAAGACCGTCGCATCGACTGTCAGGACGTGCTGGGTCATGACTTTTTCAGGCCAATCGGCTGTGGTTGGCAGGAATTCGCCAAGTTCGTGACATCTGGAAAGGCCGAGAAAGTTGGCATCAAGGTGCCAGTTCATGCCTGGTCTTCATGCAGAAGCATCTGCGGACCTTGATTGAAGTCCCTTTCACAGGTCACTCCGGAGATGTGACTTGCCTGCATCTTCGGGCAGTGTGCAGGCAAATCGGAGCTGTGGACTTCAAGCACCAGCAAAGGTTGGAGGACAAGTGTGGCGACACCCCCATGCCCGGTTACTCCATCTTCAACGAGCTGCTCGTGCTGCATGTGCATGGAACGGCATGTGGCAAATCCCGCGCTTCGCTTGCGCTCAGCGAGGATTGATGAAGATCAAGGAGGCCAGGGTCCCTTCACACATCTGTGGCAAAGCACCAGGGCCACTAGCGGTTCGCATGGTTTGAGGGACAAACAGTTTGCAGGAGGTTTCATGCACCCTGCGATGTGGTGTCAAGGGGCAGGGCCAGTTGTGGCCTCGCTCTGGCACTTTGTGTGATCTCTCAGAGGCTGCATCTTGTTCAAGGAGTTCTCCGACTACTGCATCAGAATGGGCTTGAAGGCGTCTCGCAAGAATCTTAAGACGGGGCTGTCTCGCCTCATTTTGGGTACTTCTGTTGTGAGTTCTGGTGGCCATAGTGTTTGCCACAACGGCTTCCTAGACTTCCTTACTCAACAAGAGTCGGCCGGAAAACAGAAATGAGGAAGGCGGGGGCTAGCGCTGCATTTGTGCTATTATGTTCCCCTGCCTGAACAGCGCATAGCCGCGCATATCCTGAGGATCCGGATCGCGAGCCCAGGCACGGCCACGGCCTCGGTCAGCATTCACCTGTCAAGACTGGGTCAAAGGCAAGTGTGGTGAAGAGCGGCTTGTGAGATGATGAGGTGATTCGTCCAAGCTGCGAGAGATGCCACTGCAGCTGCATTATGTGCAGGTGTTTATTAACACTCCAACAGCCAGACAAGCTTGCAACAAACACTTCCTCGAGTGGTACTTACTGCGGTCGCAGCTATCATAGTGGCTGTTGGGCACTTTTCTCAGAGAATGACATGCCAGCTTCGACACGTACTGGGGGTAATGCATGTGCACGTGCTGGGGTTGCGGTAACGAATGTGAACAGGTTCCGCAGCGCCAAAGACATGGACGATGCCATGTCGCTGGGGCGGTTCGTTGAGATCCTGCCGCTTGATGAAGCCTATGGGGGGGGGGGGTGGGTTATGTCATGGAGTCGAGAGTGGTTCAGGCAGACGCACAGCGCTTCAATCTGTGGACCTGGAATGCGACTGAGGAAGAAGGTGGGCATCAAGGACTCGGAGAGCCTGGAATGAAGATGGTGCGATCGTTGCCCGTGACAGTCTGCACCGCCCAACTCCAATGCGATCCAAAGCCTTATGCCACATAAGGATTGATGCAATGATCAAGTCCACAGACACTCGGCGGCTGCACGGTCTTACAGTCTATCGCTCTTGCGAAGAAGAGCCCGGTTGACGCTTTCAAGAGGCTCGGAGGGCAGCTGCAGCTGCATACATCACTAAGGACAAGAACCACGACTACAAGATCGATGTGGATGAGCCCTTGCCTCACACAACACTGCAAGCGGCTTAAGTCGTGCTCCAACTGGCCACTCCCTGCAGGTTCATGGACTGGCTGATGGACGAGAACCACAGGGCAGCCTTTGTAGCATCGCGTGGCTAATCGCAGCGCCTGGCAGTGAGCTGAGAATCAGATACCTCACGGCCTTATGGCTTCGACTTCGCCCAAGGTTGAAGGCCTTGGGCTATCAAATCAGGTCTTCGCTAAAAGCGGAGATTTGGATGCCTTCCCCATGCAACTTGTGTTCGAGTGAAAGAAGCTGGTGGTGTATATATCAGGTAAACGTTGAATTTCGACTGCTTCCTCAAGTTTTCTGTGAATATGAGCCAAATCCGGGAGCAACCTCGAGCCTAAGCCTGGATGATCTCACTTCCCTAGCAGTTGCTGTGCGGCCCCGTTTGCGATTTGGCTGCCAGCTGTTGGGCTGCCAATGTGAGCCTGAAGCGAATTGCTTCCTGATCGTGCTGCGAAGGTCGGGAGTGAGGATCTTAAGTGCCATGCTGTCGGTGATTCGTCCTGCTGCTCGAGGCGGCAGTTTCAAGCATGCACTTTATCTCTGGAAAAGACAGGCCGTCCCATGGCGGCGCAGCTGAAAGAGATCGTTGACAGGCACCGCAATTGAAAAGGATCGTGGTAAGTGCACCTGTCATGGCCGCTCGGCCACCTTGCCGCTACAGGCTCAATGCCGCTCCGTTCAACTGTGACTTGTCCCTTGTGGGCTTCGATGAGAAGGCAGGGTGAAGCGTTCCGAAACTCGCCGTTACCTGTGCTTGCACTTCCGACATGTCGACGATTTGGCCTATCCGTGTTGTGCGATGGTCGTTGGAGCAGTCCAAGAGCTGAGAAGTGAATCAGCAGAGCATTTTGTACTTCAAAAGTTGTCCAACACTTTTGAAGCGCAGCAGGGAGGGCACTTGTCTTGGCCTAGTTTGGTCAAATCACAACCGCAACTGCAGGTATCACGTCGTGCTGAATAGGCCTCGCACTGCTATATACTCTCGGAATCCGGAACCTTTTTCGTAACAGAGCATGCTTCTCAAGCCTGCGCGCACAGTTTTCAAGCTACGCCGATACCGATCTTGGCATCGAGGGTCGTTTGCCAGATCGCTGAAACGCCTGACGCACCCGAGAGAGTCGATGTATGTTTCCTCGCAGCTGCCTTTTTCCATCGTGTGCACCACTTTGGGCCGCTTTGCGGATTCCAAATCTCCGTGGCAGGACCCGTTCGAGCTCATGGAAATCCTGAAGAAGGTGCTGGTGTTCCTGGATGCGAAGCATGATATTGATTTGCGGGAGGAGCCGAAGCAGTGCAATGAGAAGAACCGTAGCAAGGGAGGATGAAGTTTTCGTCTCGCCTCGGCTCCTTGCCGTCGGAGGAGAAGCCGGATGTGATGTATCAGCGTATCTCCGAGTTCTTGCACATCCTTGGATACCAGTGCGGAGCCCCACAGCAGCTGTCTGGGAAAAGAGCTGCTGTCCTGGAGGAGCATGACGCAATGAAGCGTTTGCGCTTCAGGTGTTCCTTTGATATCGAGTTTCAGCAGGGCCTGAGTTTAGGCCGGATTGCATCTTCTGGCCCACTTCGCTTTGACATGAGCTGCGATTGTGAAATGCAAAGGTGACAAAAACACAGTACATCCAATCCTTTATTGGCTGCTCAACAACCTTGATGCCTTGAGAGTCTTGGCTGCCCTGAAATGCTACACCTAGGGCATGGAGTCGGTTATTGGGTTGTTGGTTTGTACATGGCGTGGCAGCACGGTATGTGCGAATTGTGGCATGTAAAACTCCGGAGTTCAAATCAAGCTGACACCCTGTCTAAGAAAAGCGTGCCTACTTGGCGAAGTTCTGCATGAATCTGGAGGCTGGAGCATTCACCTAATGCTTTGGATCGTGGGCCAACGCCCGAGGTTGAGAGCAGTTGCTGCGATCAAACCTTGGTGTGCCAGGTTCCGGAGGAGTTTCTGCGAGAAGAGCAGGTCTTCTCCGTGTACCAGAACTACAAGGTGGGACTCGAATATCCGCGGATCGGGAACGGAGCTGCAATCCTCTGAGTCACCCCGCTCTGAAGGAGCTGCAGTCCCAGTTCAAGGCAACGCACTCGCATGTGGAGCAGGACTGGGACTGGGGGCCTTGCGCAGCTGTCAGGCAGATGTTCGCTAGAGATTCTGGATTCTAGAGCTGAGCAGGAGCGACAAGGTCGCATGAATCCTGTGGACTTGCAGCGCGAGGCACGAGGAAGCTGAAGCTCCGATGTCAGAGAGCATCAGAGCAGTCCCAAAGGTCCAGCAGCTCGATGCAGAGCGCGAGCAGCTTGCGCAGAAGATCCAGCATCTCAAGGTCGGGAGGGGTGCCAGAGTTCCTGCAAGCAAAGCGGGGTTCTGACTTGGTCGTGGCCCACAGCTGTGTCATTGAATCTTCGGGGCCTTGACTTTCAGCTGAAGGCGAAGACCGAACGAGATGAGGGCTTCGCCACGCTGCTGGAGGCTGGCTGCAGTGGGCTGCAGCATCGAGCGCTTGTCTGCGAAACCCTGCTCACAAAACTCGACACGTGCTTCCCTCAAACTGCAATCCGGAAGCAGTTGCACACAATCTTCCGGCTCGCTTTCAGGTGACTTCGATGCTCCGAAAGGAGCAGGAGGAGGAAGCCCGACTAGCGGAAAAGTTGGCCGAGCAGAAGTACCAGCTGGTGCCTCAGAGTGCCTGCGACGGTCGATCAGAACACGAGGATTTTGGAGGCCTCACAGGGCCAAAGATCAGGTTCTCGACATGTAGCTTGAAGAGTGCTTATGCATCATCCAACACAGGGCTAAGTGCAAACGATCTGGTGGTTTCGGTCGGTTCTCAAGACGTACTTGTAGCTTTAAGTGTAGAAGAGCGTCACCTGTAGGATGCAATGTGAAGAGTGTGCTACTGTCGTGCGTCAGGCTCGAGCAGACGGAGCCTGGGCGAGCTTTTGGGGGGGAAGGGGGGAAGATGCACACAGCTCTAGGCTCCAGGGTGCTGTTGCTTGCAGAGCTCTACCCCTCTTCTGACGTGTGCCGTGAACTTTCGTTCCCAAGGAGCAACTTTACATCGAGCGGTCTGCTCGCTTGCGTGAGATGCGAGAGGCTCGTCGCTCTCAATCTGGGTCGGCCCTGCCATGCTTTGGCAAAGTGCGGCGAGGCTGCGCTCCACGAAGGCGAAGGCAGCGCCGAGGTCATGCTGAAGATGCTTAGCGCCGAGGCTTCGCGCCAGCTCTGCGAAGTTTTGCATCGCCTGCGAACGTCTGTCGAGAGAGGTCGTCAAAAGCAGGGAGGCCCTGGCACGAGTCAGCCGGATGCCCAGCCCGACCCTTTTTTGGAACGGTTTTGGCTTCAAGTTTCCAGTAGAAAGCGTAGGTGACAGTCGTGTCACTTCCAGGAACTGCTGTTCCTAAGCTTTGCAATCAGCTGTGAGGCAGAAAAACGAACAGCTAGGAGGAGTGCCGGTATTGGGTTGTGGAATGATGGACCTTTGCAGATCGGTTGCGGATCATGCGGATGTGTTCAACGACCGAGCCGGCATATGAGTGGAGGGGGCCCTTCTCGCAACGTCTGCAGCCCGAAACCTGGGCCCTATGCTAGACCGTCAAAAGCAGGGCCCGAAACGGAAGCCCTTCAGCGACGCCGAGCCTGATCAGGGAAGGAGTCCGAGGAGAAGATGGATCGTCTCCGGGAGTTGGACTCGGCCCTCAGCGAGCCTCCGGTGCCTTGGGCAGCTGAAGGGCATTTCGCATGCGTGTGTGTGTCTGTGTGTGTGTGTGTGCGTGTGTGTGTGTGTGTGCGTGCATGTGCGTAGTTGATGTGTATAACAGTTTCTTCGGGCCATGAGCCTCTGAGCGGAGAGCTTTGTGCAATGAGGGCTGCTGAAGTTTTGCTTCATGTGTCTGCCTCTGTGCACGGTGCCTCGGCTGCCTCGGCTTGTGCAAATCCTGGTGCGAGTGGCCAGTGTTGCGATCAAGTGTAGCTTGTACTTGTCCAGACACCTCTGCTTCTGATAAGCTTGCACAAATAGAGCAGCTGCAACTAGTAACGGCAGCAACTAGAATCAACTCACCGCATGGCTTCACTCTGGCCCGCACGATTGAGGGCCTCGGCACTTGCCTTTGCCCGGAAGGTGACCAAGATGGACATCGACAGCCTCGAGGCGACAACTCTGCGTCACTGAACGAGGGCTCCTGTCCTGACCTTTGAAATGTCAGGGCGAGATCCAAGCCATGCAGAATGAGATCCACTCCCTCGAAGAGAAGGTAAATGAGCAGAACCAGGAGACAGTGCAATCTTTGCCTATGTTTGGGTTTGTAGCACATCTCATGATCACACCGGCTTTTCTTTTTCGGGTTTTTTAGGTGGAACAAGCTGCAATGCGGCGCCTGCCATGCCGATCGGTTCCAGCCAGCTCTTGTCCTGCTCTGGCCTGCGGCGTTTCAGACTGCAACTCGCAGATTTGCGCAGTCCAAAGCCGGGGGCGTACCAGACTTGTCCATAGCCGTCAAGCATATCCATGGTCCGGTTGTCTGGTGGGAACCGGTGTGAGCAACTGACCGACCACATCGCCAGGACTCGCGACTAGCGGTGTACAAGCAGCAGGCGCTGAGCTGTCTGTGGTCTGGGGCTGCCGGTTGACGGACCTTTCTGAGGCAAACCTCGTCGCCAAAAAGAAGGAGGCTGTCCTGAAGGCGGAATCAGAGCCGAAAGCAAGTAGCATCGCGTTTGAAGAAAGTGTGTTGCTGCAGGACAAGAGGATGTTGGAGGACGAGAGAGACAGTCTGAGCAAAGACCTGTCGACGAAGGCACCGTGCCAGGGGACATAGAGGTTGATTTGCAAGGAAAAGCACAGCTTGTCACGAAAGCAGCTCTTGCTTGCGGGCGTTGCCGGGTGGCTAACAACAGACCAGGGCATTGAGGTCTAAAACACTGTGGCTCCGCCCAACCCCCTTTTCGGCCTGATCTTTTGCGTTCGGAAAAGGCTGTTTTATGGCAGGTGGGTCCCGCCCCTCCCTCCTTATGCGCACCCAAAAGCCCTTCCTTATCCCGTATCTAGCACCAGCAACACTACAACCTCCGCGGAGCGCATGAAGGCCTACTCCTAGATGTCGGGGTAGTCTCGCACCGCTTCTGCATGTGTTGTCCTGCTCAGGAGCGAGAATATGAGCAGATGAAAGGCCCCTCGTTGTTGCACAAAGCGCGTTGTTGCGGCGGAGTGGTGTCTGCAGGAGTCTGTCACTGGCACCAGAACATGGCTCCCTACTTTCCCTGCAATCTCAGGCCACAAGTTCATGAAGCGGGAGGACTTCAAGACCTACGCGGCCTCACTGAGGGACAAGTCTGCCAAGTTCAAGCTCAAGAAGGTCGGACTTGCCTCCGTAGGTTCGGAGTTTGTAAGTGCGACGATTTTGCGGCTCTTCTTAATGGCAGGCTGAGCTCAGCGAGCTTAGACACGAAGTGGCGGTGCGCACCGGTCAAGGGATGTGCTTGCAGTCCCGTGATTGACCAGCAGTGAAACGGTGACCCAACAGTTGGCGCTGCCAGGTACTTCAGAGGACCGAGCAGATCTTGCAGTCGAAAGACCCAACTCCTGCCGGGCCCGGCATCGGCTTGTCTTGTAGTTTTCACGCTTGCGAACAAAGGGGCCTCAAATCAGGTTGGCTTGAAGCAGGGTAGCTGGGGTAGAGCAGGGGATCACCCCGACAAAGACGACGGTAGTAGATGAGTTTCTGACTATTCTCCTACATTCGTAATCGTAAACCGTGGGGCATGAGGGTCGGGTAGTGCACACTTCCAAGGGTGGGCGACTGCCAGACTTTAGCCAGAGTTTGTCGTCTTGGGATCGCCCAACTTTCGTTGGGACAACCTTCTCGAGGTTCAGCGCGCCCAAGTCGATGGGGACGTTTCGTTTCAATCGAAACGTCGGCTGTGTTGACTGCAGATATACCTGCGAGGCACTATTGATTAGGGGCAACGGTTTACAACGTTGGCGGAAAAGCCCTTTCTGCTACGGCAGCCCTTTGTTCGGACCACACCACGTGAGTTCCGAAGCCAGGCTAGTTGAGACGGAGCAGATGCTCGAGAAGGCATCCGTTGAGAAGTCTCAGGCTGGGCCGAGACTGCGAGAGAGCTGGCTTTTTGCAGTTGCGTAGGCAGCAACACCCTGAAGGTAGACCGGGCGAAGGGCAAGACTCTTGATGAGATCTCGGCCATTGTCCATTCCTTGCGATGGCTTGTGCAACCGTCTTCTTCTGCGTTCTCTGTGCCAATACTGGCAATGCGGGGTGTGTGTTTGTGGGTACTAGGACTGCGGCTCCCTGCTTCTGTCTCTAAGGTCCAAAAAATCAATGCTCAGCTCAAGGAGAAGAAGAACAAGCTGGCCCCACAAATTAAGGCTTCCCGTTTGCACTCGAAAAGTGTTGGGATGTGGGCGTGATGCAGAGATGAAGTTGAGGCACTCCGGTCGATCCGGCAGAGCTTCCAGCAAGTGGAGGCGCTTTCATCTTGAGCTGTGCACTGGCTGTGTACTGAGTGAACCTATTTGCATCTCGCGCTCTAGGTCAAGTATTTGGAGAAGAAGGGCCAGTACGACCAGGCAGTTCCTGTCAGTTTGTCATGCTTACCACAAGAACATCCTTCCTGCGAGTCACGAATGAGGCGAAATCAGCTGTCGACGCTGACCTTTCCAAAGTCGCAAGTGATGCCGCAGCTTCAGCCAGGGTGAATCGCGTTTGGTTTTGAGTCCGCATCTTGCATGTGTGCGCTTGCCAAAAGCTCCGCCGAGCATTCAATGTTCTCAAGAGATGCCAGGTTGCACACTCAAGCAAAGAGTCCTAGCCACGTTAAAGTGGGAGCTGAGCTTTAGTTGCAACCGCCCCGTCCGGTTGAGATGTCAAACCAGAGTCCACAGCACCAGCCATGAAAACAACAGACAAAGCACCACGAACGACGTAGCTACGTAGTTGGTAGGTCTCGGAGACGACTCCGCCGGAGGAGAGCCCAAGAGAGTCCTTTCAGCGCCTGCGGCCCGGGCCTGGCCGGGCTGATGCCCACGCGTCGGCCATGGCAACCGCCGGATACAGGCCGCTTGGCCGCTTGAGCGGGTCTTGCCGGGTCTTGAAAGATCTCCCAAGCCCATGCAGGCGTGCCAGCTCCACGCTTGTGGAGGCTGTTCTGAGTTCATGAAGGCAAGCCGCTAAGACAGTTCGTCGGGGTTCGCTTCGGCAGGCCAGCAACTATGATGCCAACTCGATGCCGAACCGATCCTTGACGACCCCGGTCACGAGTCTGCATTGACGCTTTCAGTGTGGTTTTGAACACGGAGCAGTTGGTACAACTGAGGCAGACTGGAGGAGAGAAGAGGATGGCGACACAGATCCAGAGGAACACTCAGACAGCGAATTCATTGTGACGGGTGACTCGGCGGGTAGGCATGTTGCGAGGAATGACATGCCAGAACGGATAGAGGTGCTTTGTCATATTGCGCATCGCTGCTGCACGGCGATCTGCGGGCAATTGCAAGATCGCACAAAAGCAGGGAACGGCGCAAGGTAACGCACATCGCGTGAATAGCGACCCTGAGGTGAGATCGCCAACCGAGCAATCACCCTGCCCAGCTTGACAGCCAAGGACGGGTTGGGAACCGTCTCCCGGGCCCCCAGAGCACAAGTAGCACATGTCAAGTCTTGTTCGCGGTGGCAGAAGCTGATGGAGATCTTTCCGCAATACGACGATGGCTTCCGGCCAGGCTCGTGGAGATCCTGATAAGCCTTCGCCGCAGGCCAATTTAGGACTTGAGCGCTCGCTTGGTTCTGGTGCAGGCTTCGGTTCTCCGTATCGCCATGGTCGAAGGCCGAGCAAAAGCCGCCGACAGCGGGAAAAGGTTCTCCAGGATTTGGCAGAGCGTCTCCACCACAACAGCTTCGCTTCTCGGCATCTGTAGCAGGGTTTCAGATGGGCCAACTCTGTGTGCGTTGATCTGAGGACTTCGTGGCTGAGCGTGGCTTGTACCAAGCTTGAGCCATTTCTCACTCTTCAGCTCTTGAGCTTGGGCATGTAGCCGACGATGATGGTAGTGACGATGCCAGCAATGCTAGTCGTCGTCGTCGCATGACGATACCGCTGGCAGCACGTTGACATAGGCTTAATCCCTGGTTTTTACGCCAGTTCTGGCGTTGTGGCACTTAACAGAAGCTAGCTTCTTGGCGTGAGGATGAAGCTGGCGGTAAGAAGAAGACGAAGCATGGTTGGCAAAAACAGCAGCTTGTGAAGCTGGTGCTGATCACTGTACTCTTTACGTTTCTGGCGTTTTGACTTTCTTCAGGGGTCATCGTCGGCATTCTGATCATCAGAGTTGCGGCCATCAGCGTGCCCTCAAGCATCTTTATCGTAACGTACGTGATAGGGCAAACGGACTCCCATTTTTTGTCAACCATCTAGATATGTACACACATACATGCATGCACCTCTCCCTCTCTCTACCATGCTTAAGGGCTCTCCGAGGTGAGGCTGCAGCGGCGGCGGCCGCCAAAGCTGCAGCAGCTCCCGGCGGTTTTCGTGCAGAGGACGCACAGGGAAGCATCGCAGTTGCTCAGAGGATTCTTTGGGTCGTGCAACTGCGAATTATCTTGCACCAAAGTTGAGAGTGTGTTGTACTCATTTCCTGCTTCATCACATTCATTGCTTCTGCTGGACATGCAAGGCCGCAGCGCTCCGTGTTAGATGGTCAACACCGTGAGAGTAGCAGCGTGGGGTAGGTGCGACCGTGGTACGGCATCACTGAGTGCAGAATCGAGCCGATCCGGGCGGAATGGTGGCCTTCTGAGACTACTCTTCGCTTGGGCTGTTCTCTGCGCGCTTGTCCAGCATGCGTTCCAGCTATGTCTCGTATCCATGCAGTTCGCTTGATGTTCTGCAAGACACGATGTCTACTGTTCAGAACCAGCAGTCTGCGCGATTGTGAGTGGACAGAACTCGTCCTTAGCCTTGGTTCCTAGCTTCTACAAAGGTTCATGTTAAACGTGAACGTCGGTCTTGATCACTACGGCATGCTGAAGTGTTTTGCTGTTGTGAGCCCTTGGATCGAGATTGCATTCGACAGCTGGTAGAGGGTTGCGTTTCAAGTTTCGGGCTTTGCCCACAGGCACGCTCAAAATGAGTGCGGCAGAGATCGCGAACATGTTCGATGCATTGAGGGACATGGTGTTGTCCGCCCTGGTTGCCGAGCAGGACCAACGAAGCCTGCTTTTGAAGCAGCAAGAGGACCAAGATGTCCGCATTGAAGAATTACAACACAAAGTTCGCTTTTTGGAGCAAGCGCTGGCCGAGATGGCGAGCGAGTTTGAGCTGGTCCGGGAGCAGCTCGTTCAGCAGGAGAAGCAGGACCATGCAGCAGACGCTGCCGTGGAATGGAAAGCTGCGAGAAGCAGCGTGGCAAGATTCGTGCGGTCCTCGTGGTACAAGGCAGCCGCAGAGAGAGAGCAGCAGGAGCTTCCGAAAGAGGCTGGCGAGTTGAACTCTACCTTGCTAACCAGCCGAGCACGAGAGCCAGAGGCGTCCCAGCGATGGAAGCCGGAGCCTCCGGGCGAAAGTGCGCTTGAGACCCAAGAGCTCCCAAACGAGCCGGTCGAAGTCAACCCGACTTCATGGACTAGCCATCCGCAAAGCACGCAAGGACAAGAAGAGTCTAATCAGGGATGGACTTCCCAGCCTCCAGCGGTTCGTCACACTTGGAAATGTGTGCGGCGAGGCGGCATGGACGTGAGGCGATGGCCGCAGACATCGCGCCAGAACACAGTGGGCTACCTCAACAACAATGAAGTCTTCGAGGTTGTGGAAGAACGCCCATTCAGGGACGGCAGCGAGGGCATCTTCCTTCGCCTTGCGAACTCGCGGGGCTGGGTGTTCTCGCAGTCTCGGTCCGGGACTTTTTGCGTACATCTCGATGACTCTTGGGCATCGAGGAATGCCGAAGACCGGTGGAAAAACACAAGCCAGGAGGGCCACTGGAGCTGGTGGCAGCGGTCGGAGAAATCCGACTGGTCTTGGTCGAGCTGCGCCGCAGACAAATCAGATGCTCAGCAGTCACGTGCCACATGGAGCATGGCCGATCACTCGAAAAAGGCTTCCACTGGTTGGCGATACTGAGACGAGATGAGCCGAGAGTATTGTTTTCAAGCATCCGCAGCGGCCTTTCAATGGTCAGGGTTCAAAAAGCGGTCACACCGCTCGCAATTTGTAGACAGTGGCAGTTCCAAGATGGACACATGGCCAGTCGAGCATGCATGCACTGATTCGTCCCTTTACCCGGAGCCACGCCTGCTGATTCGAAAAAGAGCGCCGTCCTCCGCGAGACCGTATCTACCGTTTGCAGCCAACACAGTCTCAACGGTTGTTGCAGGAGACAGTTATCATCTTTGACTGGGATGATACACTGTTTCCTACATGGCTTCTCGGCGACGCGTGGGTCATGAGAATTCCTCAGCTAGCGCTGAAGACCTGCGTGACTCAGTCAAACACGTCGCAGTTTGAATTTGTGACATACGGGGCCGCATCGCGCTAACGATGACCAAAATCTTACTGAGACCTGGCTTCCGTCCACATCTAATGAAGCGGCAGTGTGTTTTCAGCCTGCAGCTACTGCTGTGGATGCCGGACATTTTTGGGAGTTGTGTGTCTTTCCTGTCTCGTCGCTTCTCACTTCGCCGAGGTTTGTCACAGAGGTGGTCAACCCCTGCCTGGAAGATCCGCAGTGCGAGCAGCTGCCTGCCACCAGCCCGTTCCTTGAGTGCCTCCAAAGCCAAGGGCAAGCGGCGCCTTCGCTGATTTTCTGAGAGGTTCAGGGGGCCATCTTTCGATGACATTCGCTCGCAATTTCTGGTGACGATGGCTTGTTACTTGATGTTACTTGTAGTAAAGGGCTTTCTTGTGCACGCAGGTACGAAGCAATTGTAAAAGCCAAGTGGTCGCCTTTAGAATGTGTTCGAAACCATGTATAGCAGCCCCTCTGGAATTACCCCAAGCCATGTTAAACATTCTGAGTTTGATTCGGAATGTTTTCAGGCGTTTCATGGGAGTGGAGGCGGGTACAATTTGTCCGAATGCCGATCCCGGTGTGAAACAGCTAGAGACGTCCCGATGACTTGAAAACCTGTGTTCGGTGGTTCCTTCTCCTTGCCTCATTCGCATCTACATCTCTCACATGTTTTCGATACAGAAAAAACCCACAACGCAATCCCAGACCTCTAATTCTTTGACCTCTCGGTCTGTCTTGACGGGTTGGGTCAGATATCACGACGATGTTCGGATGTTATGACCCTAAGCTGATGTAAGCCACAAAATCTCGACGTTGTTTGGGCCTGCGCATGGCGAGCAATCAAGATCAGTGTGCAGGGCGCGTGTTGTCTTTTTCCTCGCACGTCTAGTAGGTGGATTTCGGATCGAATTGATGACTGTTGATGTGTGCTCACGGGAAGAGCCTGCAATGACGCCGCTGTTGTCCCATGTTGTCCCTCAAGTCGTGTGCCACTGGTTTGAGCAAGGCTCGGTACTGCATGTTGTTTTCATGCCGGTTTCCTTGCTCTGGTACGCCGGTTATGGGCGTAAGCTGAGCTCTGCTGTTGTGTTGAGAGCTGTCGTGATGTGTGGGTACGTTCATCTTGGTGGTCTCACGTTTTCTTGCACCGGTGCTTGTAGTTTTTCCTCACCATAAGCTCATGTTAATGTAGACAAGTGATCAAGTTGGTGTTAGCATGTGCTGACCGTTTGCATTGAGATCGAAACGAAGCTGCTACCCGACCCGAGGTCGAGCGAATCCTGCGTGAAGCGCGAGTCAATGGTCGTGTAGGGATCGTTACTTTGGCTCAGCGCCCGTGGGTGCCCCTAGGCTAATCATGCAAAGCGCGAAGGTTGAGCGCAGAGCGTCGAGAGCTGCGAAACGTGGTTTTGTGCGGTCTGCTTCAGGCTAAACTCTGCTGCAAAGTACCTCCCAAATCTAGCATCTTGGCAGTGCTGATGGACCAGCAGGAACTGGTGAGGTTGTCGAGTCCTCCGTATGTTCTTGGCCTTGTTGCCTGAACCTTCGCCAAGGACTTGCCAGCCTTACTGGACGAGCTTCAAATCCCAGTCATTTACGCCCGGGAGTGCTTGAAAAAGTACTTGATTCAGGAGCTCCGGCATAGGTAGTGTGACCGCGATGATGTGTATTTGAGTATGTCCTGTAGAAGCAATCTTTACCACACGTTTGCCACGAGACAGTGAGATTCGGACTTTTTGTCGAGCCTGTCGTGCCTCAAAAGTTGGAGATAACATGGACCCGATGGCGTCATCCAGCTTCTCCCACGACGCCAGGGCGGAAGCGAAGATGGCGTATGCTTGTGGACCCTGGCCAAGCAGGCAGCCATGACGAAGGCGCGCTCTTCGCCTTTGTATCCTTTGTGCTGGAGTGAGGGACGCCGCGTGCGAGGTGCTCCGGCGATTGTATGGCAGGGAGGCGGCGTGGATGAACGTGCTCTCGATCGGAGACTCAACAGTGGAGCGCACCGCCATCACGGAAGTCATGTGGTCCTCCCAGTACGAGGCGGCAGCGGCATGTAGTGCATTCTCCAGGCAAGGCAGCTTTGCTTTGTAAGCTGCGAACACATGGGCCACCGGGCCAGCATCAACGTACCTTCCTCCAGTGGCCGTCGTTTCGAGTAGATGACGCTCTTCTAGCACAAAGCCCTTGCATCCAGTCATGTCGCAAGCTGCCAGCCCGTGATGGACGCTTCCGGAAGAATTCCTTGCTGCAAGACCATCAAGTTAATGGACGTGACTCGGTCGGCGCAGGGGTTGCTCAGGGTGAGCATGAAGTGGTTTTCTGCCCAGACCGGCCACTGATTTGGCACGTCATGGACCGGTCCATTGTTAAGGACCCCAGCGTTGAGCAGCTGCAGACCCAACTCATCATGCACTTTGGCTGCATACTTGGATGTTGAGCGGTTCCTGAGACATCCCTCTAGAGGCGCATCATCATCAGAAGAAGAAAATTGAATTGTCGTTGGATAGCGGTTACAAGATTTTCTTCGTCCGTCCTGGGCATTGGAAGCAGTTGCATTTACGGTCCCTCCAGATGCTGCTTGATCTTGCCGGCCAACATCACTAGGTCGGTCTTGTTCGCATAGACCTGGTTCGTGCAGGCTGAGCATGTGGATGACGCAACTCGCTCAACACGGTCACGACTTCGACTTCTCCTTGGATGACTCTGACGAAGGTATGATGAGTATCCATAAACAGCCCCTTGAGATCAAAAACAGATGCTGCTTGTTCTTGTTGTCGAGGGTGTTGCCGTTGAGTCTTGCTGAGGTTTGCCGTCAACACGTCGGCCTAGAGCATCTCCTGCTGATGGGCGGCCTGGCATGTTCTTCGATGTTTGTCGTTGAGTCCGGACACTTAGAGCAGCATCCGAGGAAAATGCCCGTCCTGGGTGTGTCTGAATTGCTTTTTGTTTCGACCGCGGTCAAGCTAGCTCCTGGCATGTTTCAGCCGGAGAACGATATAGACGTAGACATAGACTCTCAGTGGGAGGACCACGCCCGACTTTCACCACAGGAAGACATTGCCTCAGGAACTCTGTGGGTGTCCTCTCAGATGGAGATCATCACAACTTTTGAAGCACAGATTCGGTAAATACTGCCGACATTTCCGCTGTGCGCTTCCCTGATCTGCTTTGAGCAGACACTCAGACAGAGGCTGGAAGCTCGAACGCCTGGCAAAGAACGGGACTCCGCTTACAGCTGCGATCGCGGTCGACTGTTCTCTCGCGCCCCGAGGTCCGGCAGCTCGAGAACGAAGTGCAGGAAGCCGAGCAGGCGCGATCTCATCAGGGATACTGAACTCTACTATGCTATAATGACTTTTCTATAGTCTAGTATAGTATACTATGCCATGGCATAAGGGGAGTGAAGAATACTCTTTGGATTCCCGCGTCAAACCGTGCCTGGGCAGAACTACCACGAGCTGAACATGCAGCTGCTCACCGCTGAAAGCACCCCGGCTTCAAGGAGGGCTCAGGTTCTATCTCCGGCTACTCAGAGTTGGGGACTTCAGACACTGCGTCACACCTCCAGAACCTGCCCATCGCAAGGCAAGCTTCAAAGAGCACAGTGGGAGGCACGATGCCTTCGAAGAGAGGAAGGGGCGCGCCACTCGCAGGCCTGCATCGTCGCTTGCAGCTGCATTCGCTTGTTTTTTGTTCTGCACGGTTTGCCTGTTGGACCACGTCCATTGTGCCGATTTTTTGTCAATCGGACGACTGCTCTCTGTTGCTCGCTTCCATGGCCGGCCTGCTGGCCAAGTCTTCCTGATCTCCCAGTTGCCTGTGCGTCTGCATCTTGTGTGTTGCGGAGCAGCGCAAATCCTGACACGAGGAGTATGCGACTCTGTCCGATCAGTATGCGGCAGAGATCAGCAGGCTTGACGAGCAATGCAAGGCCGGATCCAGCGCTAACGCTGACAGCGTTTTCAGGTAGTACCTATATGTACTTATTAACTGGATCCCTTCGCGGCGGTGTTGTCCGTTTGCAAGACTCCCACCTAGTCGGCACCAGAGAGGAGTTTCGCATGCAGGATCTTCGCAAAGATCAGAAGGTCGTGAAAGAGTCCCACGAGGTCTGTTTAGCGCAGGGTGGAGAGCAGATGCTCAGTCTTCATCCAGGGGTAGTTCGTAAGCTCGGACGTGATTGAATGTACAGGAAAATCTGAAGCAAAAGCGAGCTTTCGTCCAGCTGGAGAAGCTGATACAGATAAAGCTCAAGGCACTGAGCTGATGTACGCTTCTGCTTCGACATGTGCTCTGTGGGCACTTCGAGCATAGCAGGTGTCCATGCAGGAGTTGCAGAACATGGCAGAGGGCAGGTGCCCAGACTCCATGCTTCTAGTAGGGGTTTCGCATTAGTTTTGGGCAAGGCCTGCGCGACGGTTGTTTCTCTTGTCGTCGGCAAGCTATGGAAGCTGTTTGGTCTTGATTGAATAGTTAAATACTGAGTTCGTCAGTTACATAGTCATATAGCTACAGACCGGTATACGTATATGTGCGTCTGCATCTCTACTCGTATTCGTGTAAACATCCTGTCCCTCTACATCTCTGTCTATCTATCTCTCTTTGTGTCCTTCTGCCCGTGTCTCAGTTGTCGTCTGCCCTAGCTTTCGATACCAAAATCTGAGAGCTCAGTCACATGTGGATCTGTGTGTCCATGCATATGCATCTCTCCCTCCGGTCTTTTCGCGAATGCCGACTACCGCGATGTTGATTTATCGTCGTACCAGTTCCCTTCAGCTGCTTTCGTTTCTGTCTTTCCCCTGTGCCTATCCACCCTGGACCTCGCCGTCTGTCCGTCTCTCTCTTGCTCTCCATAGCGCTCCTCTCTCGCTCTCTCTCTCTCTCTCTCTCTCTCTCTCTCTCTCTCTCTCTCTCTCTATGTGTGTGTATATACAGACAATGTAAGTACGATGCCAAAACTTAGACAAGCAACGTGCGCACACGTCTTTTTGTCTTGTGCTTGACGCTGAGCACCTGCAGAGCTGCTTCTTTGGCAAGTGGAATACTATTTCAGACGGACCTATCGGAGAGGGGGAACTGCGCAAACTTCTGGCAGATACCGTCCAAAAACAAACGCATCTTGTTGCTTGCTGCGTGAAACTGGCAGGTACGGGGGCATCGGCGCTTCCAGAACTGTCAGTGGGCCCAGCCTAGTGTCAGTTGAGCCTGACAAGACACATGTACACTGATAGAGTGGAAATACAGTCACATGAACTTAGCATGGGGCGTCAACCAGTCTATTCCATTGTTTCCTGTCAACAGAGGCGGACAGAACAACTGTCAAAGTCGCCTAGTCTATTTTCCAGCAACGCAGACAGGGGACGGCGAGTAGACTGGGAATTCGGGTGCAATGTTGTCGGTGTCCGCGTCAATTTCCCAGTGACGGGCATTGTTTCTGCAAGGGCTCGGGAGGGGACGGTTGACGCAGGACTGGATTAATTTCATGACAGGAGGAGGAGAATGTTGTGCAGACAATGCGGGTAAACGCAGTACACCTTAACGATGAGGCGGACAATGATGGCAACGTTGGGTGGTTGTTTCGGCATTCATGATGATGAAGGTTGATGGTGACACGTTGGTGATGATGAAGATGCTGCTGCTGCGCTCCTCCTGCTCCGGCGGCTGCTGCAGCTGCTTTTGTCGCTGCCGAAACTGCTAAAGCTGTCGCTGCCGCTGCCACTGCTGCTGCTGATGACAATGGTGCTGCTGATGGCGCCGTTGATGTAGACGACAAGGACGACAAGGATGACAAGGACAATGCTAGCGATGGAGAGGGCAACGCTAAACCTAGGTCATGGATGCTTCGACTGCGGGCGTGGAGCGGCTCGTCATCGAGTGAGATGCTGGTCGCGGTTACCTGCAACACTCTCAGTCCCACAACCGTACTTTCTACCCAGAAACAGCTTCATGTCTTTTCAGCAACGTCTGCAGCACTAAACCTGACATGTCGGAATTCGTTGTCATGCAAGTCTCACTCGGGCTACTCAGCCCTGCATGCTTGTACAGAGCATCCTCCACCTGAGAGAGGACGCAAAGCGCGTGCGGCGGGTTACGTAGAGCTCTTCGAACACTTGCGCGATGTTTCGTACATCATGAGGCGAAGTATGTCGTAATGCCCCAGTCCGGATGATTCGAAGTCAAAGAACTGAGGGGCGATAACATACGTAAGCAGCTCGCATATAACTGCAGGAGCCAGACTTCACTTAGCTTCGCGCGTGGAAGATCAGGGTGCGGGGGATAGAAGCACGCCCCGTGCCAAGAGATCGAAACAGGCTCCCTGTCTCACCGAGCCGCAGACAGTGCTACCAACACCATGCGAAAAATGAGGACAATAATCACGCACTGTCAGCTTCGCCGAAAAGACATGCGATGTCATGCCTGCCAGCACGTAGTAGCCTTTGAACATGAAAAGAACTTCAAGTCTCTTGGCTCGTGCATGGCATGTACATGGCATAGCTTGGCCAAACGTGGTCGGTACACCGGCGAGGTAAGGGAATGCGTAAGGGAGATTTATACAAGCTGCCTTCTTGGACATCCACACTTGTACTGCCTCCATTTCGTCAGCGCCCCACATTTGCACCGCTGACGTCCTTTGTGTCGGGCGTCGTTTGTCCAAGTTCCAACTACAGCAGACTGCCCTTCATCAGAAACGCAGAACCACCAATTATTGTAGATGGGTCTAACTGAGACCGTCCATGGAGTCTTGCTCAAAGACGATGACAGACGGCCAGGCGCCGAGAAATCTTTGATCCACTAATGTGTACCGCTCGACAGCCGAGATCTTGGGCAGCAAGGTGCGGTCACGCCTCGCGGCTCTACAGGCCAGAAGCTTATTCTCAAGGCTGTGCCGGCCAACGAAAGAAGCTTTTGGCTCCTTGAGGCCCATAGGCTCTTTGAGGGGCGCTCCTCGGAGAACCTATGGGCGATCTCACAGACATCCTTCTTGGCTGCAGCGACTTCGGCCGGCTCTTGGAGAACTTCCTGCATGAGCCAACCGCCTCCACAGGCGGAGCAGCAGCGCACCGGCCCGCTCGGCCCCGTCGGCCCAGTCGGCCCAGCCTTGAGCGCAGGCTTTGCCGATCTGGTCCAACAGGCGCAAAAGCTGTCCCAAGGCTCGCGAGGGGCTCCGGGCTCGCTCCCTCTTTTCTTGCGCTTCCCATGCACGGAGAGGCCTCGCAGAGTTTCAGCATCGTCTTCAGGCAGGAAGAATTTGCCTCTGTGTGTCTGGAAGAGACGACTCTACTGAACCAACGTTCAATTCTGAGCCTGCCTGCAGCACGCACTATCCTGAAAGTCGACTGCAATGAGTGCAGCTCGCATACTCGGCATGCAGGAGGTGCAGCAGGTGAAAGCCGCACAGGCAGCTGGTAAAGGAGCGAGAAGGCATGGAAGCATTTGGATGCTGGGGCCCATGGCGAGTCTGATGAGGCTTGTTTCCACATGGCTAAGCTGTGGTCAGGACGGTAGACAAGGCTCTCCTTGATCTACCAAGCACGCTGGAAGTCCCGGCCCGAGCCAACTGTGAGTGACAGTGACAGGTTCGATGTACAAAGATCTGTAGAGCAGGTGCAAGAGCTTCTGCGCCAGCTGGACACGATCAACGGCACGATTCGTGCTTTGGACGAGGCCTTTCATGGTCCTGCGATTCTCAAGCTCAGACCGTGACGGAGTAACGTTCGTGAATAAGAAGCTTCTAGAGCCATCTGAAGCACTGCACAGTCATGCCAGGCCCGAACCGCTGGGGTGTGCAGTGAAGTGCGGCCAGTTGTTGTAGTGTCGGTTTGGGCGAGCGAGTGCAGATGATGGCCGCGGAGAGCATTCCGCTGGCTGACTGTTTCAGCATCGCCCAAAGTCGGGAGCTCAACAGAAGCCTGCTGCCAAACACTGGCATCACTGGCAACTCTTCGTAGATTAAAAAGGCTGTGATGCGAAGCGGAGAGCGGTGAGGTGCAATGCTCTCTCCGGAGACGCGGCCATGTGTGCAGCATCCTGGAGAGGCACAGGCGAAGCAGCGAGGAAGCAAGACCCTTAAACAGATTCCCTTCCTTGAAAGGTGGCCGAAGCGCTGGTGCCCACACCTTCAACAGTGCCAGGGCCTTTTTCTCCTCAAAGACAAGCCCAACGACCCGAAGTGGTGATCGCCGAGGCCAGCGTGGGGTGCTGGAAGATTGGTGCAAAGTTCCATCGCGTGCTTGGAGAGCCCAAGTCAAGCTCCTGGCGCCTCGGCTCGAACATTCAGAAGGTTCAAGGCGCGGTTCAAGGATCCGCTTGGAGCTGGGAGCTGGCAGCTTGGAAGGTCTCGACCTCATGGGGCCTCCGCCTGCGGCTCCCGCACTGGCGGAGTCGGTTCAGGCAGCAGGTCGAGGGCTCAGCGGCGGAACAGCACAGACGCGCCGTGTGGGTATAGGATGCATGCTCCTCACCCTCCCATTGCTTGCCAGCCCCACTGCCAGCGCCGGAACAGCCGCAAAGCGCGCGAGACTCGATTTTCCTCTGTTTTAACAGCCCAGCACGGCAGTTGGCTCGGAGTCTCTGAGTACGGCTATCATGGATTGCTCACGGAATTGGTTGATGTAGGCGGAGTGGCTCCCAGTCTGTAGGAGAAATCAGCCGAGGCCCTGGTGTTGTGGCAAGAGGACGAGATGGAGGTGGCACAGCCAGAAGAACCTCAAGACTTCAGAGGCCACGGTTTGGATCTTGCTGTGCTGAGCTTTGGCCTAGTGGCCTAGTGGGCTCCGGCAGTGGAGGTCCTGCTTTGTCGGGCCGCCGTCTCGCGAATGCGGAGGACACGGCGGCTCCCTGAGCTGAGGTTCAGCTCAGTTGCGGCTTTGCGGCTTTGCGGCCCTGAGCTGAGGTTCAGGTGGCTTCGCTGCTCTGCTCTCCGGGATCTCCCAGCTCGCCTGCTCTGCAAGATGCCCCACCCGGACCTGAACCGGATCCTTCGCTCTTCCGGGTCCAGGTGGTGCCGGTGGGCTCGGAGAACTCGGGTGAAGCTGCGACGGAGATCGGTGACGGAGGTGACCGTGACCTGGCTCTGGCTCTACCTGCTCGGCCTCTCCCAAACGAGATCCCCCCTGCCGGTCCCATGGTCCCGCTGCCGGAGGCTCCGGGACGGCGAGTCGTGGCAAGGGCCTGCAAGCGCAGGTCAGCTCTCCCTGCGGTTCCACGCCTCCCTCCGCTGCCGGATGGCGACCTGATTGAAAGCTTCTCGGACAACCCTCTGCAGAACGCGCTGCAAGAGCCCGGGCCTAGCAACGGGCAGGAGTCGTGCATGCCGGAAGAAGCGCGGGAGCTGTCACCGCACCGAGAGCTGGAGCGGAAGCCGAGTGGATCAGATGCTCTGCAGCCACGAGCCCCAAGAGCCCCAAGCGAGCCGGAAGCTGGGCTGCATGCAGTTCGCAGCCCAGGTTTCAAGGAGCTCAAGGAGCTGAACCTCCCACCAGCCAGTACGCCGCGAGACCATCCCAAGCCCAAGCGAGCTCTTACAAGCTTTGCCGGCAAGCACGTCATTGACGTCACAGACTTCGATGTTGGCCCCAACCCGAAACGCCGGCGAGAAGGAGCCAAGTCCTCCGGCTCCTTGAAAGGTCAGGCCGGAAACGCAGCCAGCGGGAGCTACGGAAGCCAGCGATCCTCGAGGCTCCGTAAACCGAAGCCGCAGAAAGATCCACGGCGAGCGGGAGCGCTCCTGTTTTCGCAGCGCATGTCGCAGTTGTCGCAAAGTTTGTCGCAGAAGTTGAAGGCGAATGGGCATACCCCGCGCCGAAGCATCCGTGTTCGGAAGGGCGGCTGGATTCTTGCTCGGGGCCCTCAAGGCTCTGATCCCAATCCTGGCAAGCCAGAGGAGCAATCGGCACCGCTGCGGGGGCTCCCACCACCACTCACATCCGCGCCCTCCGCGCCCGAGCGGCCCGATGTCCTGTTCACGGGCTTTGCTCGCAGCGACCTTCACGCCCTCCGCACGAGTGTGAACCTCCTGGGAGGCGGGGGAGGGTGCATTTGCAAGGATTGGCGCTTCGTGTGTTGTTCGCCAAGGTCTGGCCGTGAATTCCCTGACGGGAGGAGGCAATGGCCGGACCAACGTCCGGGTCGTGGTGCAGTGCACGTTGTCGGACGCGGGACAGAGTGTTGCCACGAAGCGATCCCTGAAATACATGGAGGGAGTGCTCTCGGGCGCTTGGGTCCTCTCTTCCGAGTGGGTGCACTCCTCATTGCGAGCCGGCCATTGGCTTCCAGAGGCACAAGCCTGAGATCTCGAACCTTTGGAGCAGGAGTTGTGTTCCTGAAGTTTGCGCATGAACTCGTCAACATGCAATTCCCTCTAAGGTCCGCTTTCAACTCGCTGGCGACCTGCATGCCTTGGGCGGCCCTTCCCGAGGTCGGAATCACGGCCCTGAGCTCTTCCAGGGCTGCCGCTTCCACTTCGTCGCCGGGGCCGAAGACGTTGGGTAATCACGTAGTCCGGGACTCTGGTGGATCGTCGTGCTACCGAAGGCCATCCCACCAGGGAAGAAGGACGGGCTGTCCTCTGTACAGCGGGTTTTGGTTTGCCGAAATCAATAACCTTGGACGTCAGACGTTGGACGTTAGAAGGGGGGGGGCCACGCGCAGGAGAATTTCTGCCTGAGCATGGGCACCGAGGAGGAGACCGCCATTAGTGATTCAACTCCACTTCCAAGTAGCCCCTTCCACTATGAAACTTCCACGAGCAGGAGGGGCGCCCCACTGTTGGCCAGCTCTGCCGGCTGGTGCGGAAAGCGGGTGCTCAGGCATTCTGGGGCCTTTCGCACCTCAAAAGGGTCTGAGAGATTTAGGGTTGAGAGGGATCTGTAGGATTTAGGGCGGTGCGCGCTGCTGTGCGAGGTGCTCGAGGCAATTCAGAAGGTACCGGATGCTGAGGAGATGGGGAGTCTCTCAGGACGGGAAGCCTTAACGGTTCCGGAGCAGGACGATCCGCCCCACCTGGCCGCGGCGGTGCTTTCTTCTCGGTGCCTCACTGAGCATGCACGCCACGCTGGCAAATCGCCTGTATCGGTTTCTCTATGAGGCACAGAAGGCGACCAAGCGCAACAAGCTCCACGCAGGTCCTTCAGCAAGGCCCGGGCCCCCCAAGCTCTCTGTGAATCGGCCAGCATGGAGGCGAGCCCTGCTTTGCCACGCTACTGGCCCGGAGCTCAGGGATCAACACAAAACACGTGCGGAGTGGCCTTTCCGGTTCTTGGTGCCTTCGCGCCTTCGGGCATGGGGAGGTGGCGGAGGCCTATCGTCGTCAACGTTCCCGAGAAGGCCCGAGTCAGCCCGAGCACCCCGCAGAGCAGGATGGCTCATAATTACTGGGCTCGAAAGGAGAGTCCGGGAAACCGCCGCTCCGCAAAACTGGCTAAGGATCTTGGGCCCGGAGCTCATTCAGAGAACGAGTAGATCTCGTGCTTCAGCAACGATGCCCTTCATCCGAGCTCGCTAAGCTTACAAGAAACCCAGGTGGGCTTCCTTGCCTGCCATGTGGCTGTATGACTGCATCTCGCACGGAGAGGCCCCCTTTTTTGGGAGTGAGACAGAGTTGTGTGGAGCTACCAATGGTCATGTTGCATTGGCAACAACCATGTTAGACGAGTTGCATCCCTATCTTGAGGGAATGGCTTTCAGTTTCCAGCAGTTTGCAAAGCTCAACTTCTCGCAGATTTGCTTGCCCGGCGGTGCGGAAAGCGAGTAAGTCGTTGCCAAGGCGCTCGAGGGGAAGTTTGCCTTGTCAGCTTCCGTTGAATCCGACTCGCAAGCTCGGCATATTGCGGTCACGGCTCAGAAACTTCGCAGGCGCCAGGAGAAAGCACCAGTCAGCCACTAATCAGCATGCACGCCGGCCAGCCAGGCATGGTTATACCCGCTCCAATTTGCACATGCACAAGCTGTGTTGGCAGTCCAAAGCGCACCGTGAAGCTTCAGATGCAATCTTGTTCGTCAGCGATCCTTGCTCAGTCGAAGCAGTTCTGAGCCAGTGTGTCCGGCAAAGCTGCGCTCGCCAGGGAGCCTTGTGGGGGTTGCTCAAGGCGATTTTCCGCGTCACGACGAGGCCCGTCCGGGCCCCGGCTCTGCTTGGCGACCACGCCCCCAAGCGCAGGTCGGCGAGCAGGTCGATGGCCGTCGTGAGCATCGCATCATGGTCAGCGTAGCGGAAGAGAAAAAACCGGCGGCCAGGGTCAGGGTTTTTGCCCTTAATCTTTCATTCCAGAAGGAAGTAAGCTGTCGAGGGCAGCCGAATGACTTGTGTTGCCTCTCACTCTTGCCTCCGTGGCTCACATGAGCGTCAGGCATCTTGACAAGAGTGCAGGGACGTCTAACTGGCAAGCAGACAGGCCAAGTAGTAACGAGATATGCAGGTATCCTGGTCAGCAAGCGCAACCACTGTTTTTTCCTTCTGGTCACTCAAATCGGATTGTTTTTGTGCAGCCAAGTCCCTACGTATAGTACAAGAAGAGATCTAATGGTGCAATGGGAGAAGCAAATTGAAGAGCGCAGTGTTCCAGAATGGCGCGCGATGACGACATGTTTGCACAGGGTGCTACGAACTCGACCTCATCAGGGCCACAACACAGAGCTCTTCGAGACCATTTAATCTGCATGGCCTGCATCTAGGAATAGGGAATTCGACTCGCAATCGAATCTGATTCGGGAACACCGGTTGTGATGCACGAAGGGTCAGCAAAGCCACTAAGAGGTATTGATGTTTGTTTTTTAGTTTTGAGTTCTCGGGTGTCTCTCTCTCTCTCTGTATGTGTACGTGTGTGTTGAGTGAGTCTCGGCAGTCTCTAAATGTGATGGCCAGGACAAATACGTGGCCTATGCGCGCCTGAAAAGGAAGCTCGCCGGAAGCTCAAGGGAAGAAAGAAGGGGGCGGATCGAGGATGGATTTCTTTGATGATCGTTTCAGTCAAGATCGCCAACCACTGGGTTTCGGATTGAGGAACAGATCAAAGCCGCTGCATCGATCTGCAGAAACGGCAGCGAGGACCAAGGGCAGTACGGGTGGAATGGCAGACAGGTGTGGCTTTTCAAGAAGGTTTCTCTTGGGTGTTTCATCTCTTGAGCACAGCAGCGACAGGCTAGTTCATTGCATCTTTGGTGGAATCTGATTCTTTGACTGTGGTAGGGGCGTGCGTCGGAGAAAGCAAGCATTTGTCAATCCTTGTGCCCAGTAGGAATTCATTCCGCATGCCATCACTCGGGCTGCAATGGAAAGCGACTACGACGAGCGGCGGTCTTACCGACCCCCGGTGTGCTGTTGCCATCCTGAGAGTCTGAGACTAATTTCAACGCTTCCATGTTCGCTCACCATCGGAAAAGCTCATCTTCCATTTCGCACGGGCTTCTGGCTTGGGTGGCTCTTTGGCTCTGTGGTAAGGTCTCGAAGATGCAGCAAAGAGAGCGACACAGAAGCCCCGCTTCTGCATCGAGAGGCCTGCATGGCATTCGCATGGAGAAATGCAGGAGGGTAGTTCGAGGGTAGACCCTGACGGTTTACTGCACGGGGCTTGCGGGGTACTCTGCACGACTTGCGCTTCGGCCAGCTCGGCTCGAGGTTGCCTGCTCAATGCATCTTCATGTCCTGCTCGTTGCCAGTCTCGCCTTAACCTTGCCAGCGATTCGAGATGAGCACTTTTCCTACCTGGATGCCGCACGGCCGCCACGGAGTGTGCTCGTGACGAACGAATCAGACTTGTGTGCCGAGCGGCCGAGGGCTTTTACTGTGGCCCTTGGCCGCTCGGAGGCTGCACTTGTACTGTGCAGCTTCCTGTTTACTCGTCACAAAACTGCTCTTGATGCTGAAAGGTCATAGACTCCCGGAAAGAGAGCCCATGTCCAGAAGCCAAGCTCGTGGGGTCCGTGCCTACAGTGCCCCCTGGCAGCGAAAAGAGCACAGCTCTCACTTTAACCTTCCTGCCCAGCAGCGAGCCGTGTTTGACCTTAGGTTCGAGCTCAACTACAGCCATGCACGGGAGCTGGACTTCGCAGATGACTGGGCCTTCAAAGCCAACCCCGGCTGCCAGGGACCTGCGGTGTGCACTGCTTCGGTCGCCCCTGTCATCAATAGCACCTCGAAGCACAATGAGCTCTTTTGGCCTTTCCTCGGAGTTACTTCCCTACCTGACACCCAAGCTCCCTCCCGCCCTCCCCCAGGTACTGACCCATTCTTTGGCTCGAAGGCGCGACCAACAAAGAACCATCCAGGAATTAGTTTCGATTCTTTCACTTCCACGTCCTCGGTCCTAACATGCATGTGCTGTCTGTGTGACTGGGCCGCCTCCCGACACTCGTGTCACAGGCGATGATCACTGCCTGGTCCGACTGCCAGCAAGCCAAGGGTTCCCGGATCTTCCTCTGCGGTGTGCGCGACAACAGCTGCAGGGTGTGGAGCCCAGCTCCAAATCTGCGCCAGACGAACTGTTCCTGAGGTCTTGCGGCCAAAACTTCACAAGCATTCTTTTCTCATGCGAGGCGGTTATCACGATCCCGACCCACTTTACGCGCCTGCGGCATTTGGTCAGCTTCTTGATTCCGGCGCGCAGGACATTTCCGAACGCTTCTCCAAGCACCCTTCCACTCTAGCACTGCATGATCCAGACCCACAAGAGTTAACTGTCGCATGATCCAGGCCCACAAGTATCAACACTCCCAGTCATAGTTGTACCTGCTCTGCTTGAGTGTTGCCTTCGAGTGTCGTGAGGATGCAGCGCCTGGATGCGATGGGGGGTGTCTTCGAGGATTTTGTACTCGAGGGCCTAATGCTGCTGAACGTGCTGGTGACGACAAGTAGCATGCTTAGCGACAAAAGCTGCGACAAGGAGTAGCAAGCAAGAAGGTGTCACCTCACCATGTTCGGTTAGTGTAGGTCAAGCCGCACCATCCAATCCAGACAAGTTGAGGTGCCGTGTACTGGCTGCTGCGAGAGCTCTACTTGCTGTTCTGTCTGCCAGCGCTGGACATGCATGCAGTCGATGTGGATGAGCATCTGGTCATCCCTGAAGCACCTCAGTTGACATGTGACAACCTATGTGTCAAGAAAAAGGCAGAGGCCGAAAGTGATTAGGCCAAGCCGGTTGTAAGACGTGGTGCCAACCTGATACCACGCATTTCTGCGAGGGCAGAGAGTCATTCAGCCATGGCTCAGGCAATCGACATCATGCTGGAGGGAATGCTGGACGCGATTTGTTTTGTTTTGGGCTGTATGCTGCTTCTGCTAGCTGCTTCCACCTTCTTGAAGAAGTTTGGGAGCAATGACAACCCGACGGATGCCATCATTCTGACTTATCCACTACTTTTTGGGCCACCGGCTTTATTGCGCATCTTCCTATGCATTTGCCGCAGGTTGCTATACCACGCTTTGTTCAAGCACGGAGTGATCATCGACTTCAGCAAGGGCGTGTCGCAGCACGACTTCCTTTTGTCATGGAGCTACCTGGGCTTCGTGGTGGCCGTGGGGATCTTGATCTTTGATGCCTACATCCGCGTGCATGAAGGACAAGTTACGGCAAAAGCTATGACGATCAACGTCATCGTGTTCACGTCCCCCCTCTATTACATGATCTCCTCGTTGCTAAACTCGCTTCGGGTTGAGCAGGAGGCCATCAAGCGTACCTGCCTACAAAAGCTGGAAAAGACGTACGGCCCCGATGCCCCGGAGGAAGTATCACCATCCGCCAAGCACAAGCTTTGCCCCTTGGCTGAGGGCAGCATCTGCCGAGCCGCGCGTGAAAGGAAAGACCTGCATCTGAGCATAAAGCTGGCGAAGGAAGCCGAAGACAGACATGACAGTGATGAGCGTTTCGGGTTGCGGGACATGTTCTGGGTGCCACGGTTAGTGTCGGGCACTGGCCGGTCGACCTGTGGAGCTTTGCTGCTGGTGATATCCATGCCCGCCGTGGCCTTCTTGACAATGCTCTTGGCGCTGGTGAGCAACCGGCCCTAAATTTGGCAAGCTTTTTCTGAAAGTCTAGGGCATCAATCCAGTGCTGGGCCTTGGCCTTGGTTCGGCTATGGAGCTTTCGGCCTTAGCTAGTAGGAAGGCTGGTGAGAACCATTCTGCCAGTCGTGACCGCATCGGTCGACTCCAGTCGCAGGGATCGGGTTGGTTGTGGATTCGCAGATCGGTTTCGCATCTCAAACCAGAAACCACAAGCTCATGCCGAAAGGCGAGGCGACAGTCGCTGCACCCAAAAATGAGGATTAGGACTGAAGCTGTGACAGTCCAGATCCGGCCCACACCCTCTACAAAAAGTGCTCCTGCCGGCCGGGGCCTGTTGTGCAAACATACTCAGGCTGCGGATTTATAAGTTTTCGATTCAGCCAGCTTAGTCAATTTTTTGGACTGTTCTTGCCCCGAAATCACGCGACCTCATCGGGAGGGGCAAAGCCAGGTTTCCTGTACCTGCCATAGTCCTAGTTGCGACCTCGTGGTAGGTGGTCTTCGGTAGACTCCTCCACAGGCATGGCTTGGTTCATCAAGCATCGCACAGACATTCCGGAAATGGGATCAATCGTGGCTGACGTTCCTGGATTGCATCCCAGCTTCACGCCCGAGGTTCAGAATTATGCGCCCCTGGTCTTCAAAAATAAGAAGCATTTTTTGGTCTTCAGGATCCTCCCCAAGCTTGCAAAAAGAGCCCTCTTGTCCTTACTAGTATCAGACATTGAAATCTCTGAGCTCAGGTTCTTCATTCTGAACACCTACAGCGGCTTCACCTTGACCTCCGAGGCGGATCCCGAGCGGACCACCTTCCTGAAGAACACGGCGACTCGCTTGGCGGTTCCGATTCTGGAAATGCGAGCAGCACGCCTTAGGCCTCAGAGCCGGGATGGATGTTTTTTTCCCGCCTGCTCTCAGCCGAGGTCTTTGATGGATCGACAGAGATCACCGACGCCTCCGGTGAATCAACATCAGGAGTGTGCCTGGACTCGGGTGAGCATCTAGTAACGTACGCTAGCCGGCTCACGGAGGTGTCTGACTGTCATGCAAATCGCACGGTGAGGTTGATTCACACTGTGCCCTTGCGACGCGTGAACGCCACATACCCCACCACGGTTTATCTCACGGCTGGCACCTTCAGCCAGGTGCAGCATTCGACTCGCTGTCTGAACTCCCACAGCTCAGGTAGTTGAGTCTGTGTTTGCTGCCACCGGGTAGGATGTAGAACCGGACGTCTAAGCCTCCGTTTGCCTGCCCTCACATCCCGACGATGCTGAAGTGAAGGTGCAGACGTACAGGATCACCGTCATTCATGTGAAGCCAACCTTCAGCGCCTTCCCTTGCAAGTTGGCGAGCCGGGATCCAAAACATTGCAGGTTTCCCTTTCCCATCTGCTGGCCTGTCTTCTGTGACCTGGAATCTCGTGCTCGTCAGGAACACTCATGCTGAGAGGCATTGCGGACAATGGCAATGAATACACCGAATGCATTCCGGGCAAGAACGTCGGCCATAGTATACTGACGATTCCTGACAACTTGGTCTCATTGCTGCTTGCCCTTGTTCTTCAGATGAAGGGTATAGGCCGACATGTCGATTCCCGTGTTGTTGTAGTGTTGGTTGAATTGAAGAGGAGGTTTAGCAATGGACGATTTAAGTGGAGTCTGGGGAAGAAGAAGAGGATAAACTGAGAAACCCAGCAGGCTCAGGATGGAGGAGACAGTGTGGCTACATGTACACCGTATGAATGTAAACTTGTAAGGCGTGTGGAGGCTGCGTTCGACCAGTTCTACTTCGGCATACCGTTTACCGACGCGAGGCCTAGTCAAATCACCACCATATTCATGTCCAATAGTGACGACTATGGCTCCGCCACTTTGCTGCAGAGCTTGCCCTGCTTCTAGTTGAAAGCGCACCTTGCTCGGTTCCGCGTTGCGGACAACGTTGCTAATGGGCGATCTCCGGGTAACCCGGTTTACCAGGTTGGAAGGTGGCACTGTGATGGCTGGTGCCAGCGGCAACTGCAATGCCTGGGCTTCCAAGACAGCCGTGAGGGCAACTTGTCAGTGTAAGCTGAATGCGTCACTGTGAAGATCTTGGAATCCCATACTGTAGTCACTGTCGTCATTCAGCTGTAGGCTGCTACTTCGCGATGGCTCCCACGGGAGCTCTTCGCTGCGGCAACCATAACGCTGAACCTGGCAGCCAGTCTTTGGTCGAGACGCTTAATTTGACGGCAGCTAGGCTGCCACCGGGGTGCAGAGCCAGGGTGGAAGGGCATCTATGAAGCACATGCAGTGGACAGACGGAAGTCCCGGCGAGCCTCTTACAGAGGCGCAGATCTGCAGCACTGTCGCTAACGACCGCGTGTGCACCCCGTCGATCAACACTGAGATGGGCCTGGTGCATGCAGCTCTGCCTTGGAAGACGTGTCAATACGTGCACAGACTTGTACCGGCATGTATCCGTATCTATGCTTCTTCATGCGAGCCACCCTCCACTGTGAACCTGTGATCTAGTTCTTGTTCACAAGGCAGACATCTCACAACTGGTTTTGGCTGACGATGTGGAAAGCCCAGCGGTTACGATCAAGGCCGCTAGTTGTGCAGGTACATACTGCTCGGACCGTCGCCATTGGAGGATTGCGGTGTCACGTCGACGGGTAACCTTGGCGGGCCATGTTAAGTCATTCAGGTTCTTACTCGGCATGATTTTCTGTTCGGATAGCTACCCACATGGCAAGAAATTTATTAGCCAGTCTACAGATGACACTTGCCTACGTTCCGTTATGCTGTGCAGGGAAGCGCGGGATGTTCTGTACGAAGGGTTGATTTGCTGCATCAGCATTGTGTGTCGCATGCAGGCGACAATGATCTCGGCATCTACACTGCACAACTTCCTCCAACAGAAGGCTCGATTCTCCGATGGTATCAGGAGTTCTCCGCAAGTTCAGCAGTGACAAGAGGCTACCGTCATTGACAGGTGTACTTCCAGCTGGACACTCCGAAGGTCCGTCTCCTTGCGCAGACGGACCTTCGCTTCTGGAGAGCAGATACGGATCCAAGCAAAGTCCAGTACTCTATGATGACTGGGGTCGCTCCGCGGCTGCATGTTGAGATCGAAGCCAGCTTGCATGCAAGGAAGCAGTGGGAGCTTGCTAAACTCTCTGGATCCGTTGGGTATGTAGTGTTATCTATGGACCAGCACGACTTCACGGCTACATTGACCACCAGCGGTGCGTGTAGGTCCAGACTTACATGAGCTCGATGGCACCAACATTCCCAGCAGACTAACCGATACACCTGGGAGATTCCGAAAATTAGGGGTACCTTTTTTGGGGGTCCTTACAGTAAGGATCCTACTATTTAGGGTACTACATTACCTTCTTTGAGGGTCCTTAGAATAAGGATCCCAGTAAATTTAGGGTACTATGTTAGGGTTCCCTGGTGGTGGTGGTAGCGGTGGTTGCAGCTACTCTTAGCTCTTAGCCTCGGTTTCAAGCTGTCCAGTGACTTTTGCCGGCCTTCTTCGCGTAGAGGGGCCACGAAGAGACGTCTTCGGATTAAAAAAATTGTAGAGATCAGTAGTATGAGTTTTAGTAGTAGCAGCAGGAGCAGCAGCAGCAGCAGTGGTAGTGGTAGCGGTAGTGGTACTGGTGGTAGTGGTAGTAGTAGTAGTAGTAGTAGTAGTAGTAGTAGCAGTAGTAGTAGTCGTAGTCGTAGTCGTAGTCGTAGTCGTAGTCGTAGTCGTAGTCGTAGTCGTAGTAGTAGAAGTAGTAGTAGTAGTAGTAGTAGCAGTAGCAGTAGTAGTAGTAGTAGTAGTAGTAGTAGTAGTAGTAGTAGTAGTAGTAGTAGCAGCAGCAATAGCAGCAGCAACAGCAGCAGCAGCAGCGGAGGCAGTAGCAGAGGCGGTAGCAGAGGCAGTAGCAGAGGCAGTAGCAGAGGAGGGGGAGTGGCAGGGGCAGTGGCACCCACCCGCCCTATCCATCCAATAAGCCATTTTGCAGACCTTCGACGTGCTTCTCTGCAAATACTGGTGGGATTCAGGACCACTTCCCAGATGCTTCTCATGCACTGGCAGATTCGAAAGCATGCCCCAGATGCTCCCCCTGGCTAACATGAATTCCCCGATTCAGGGCCGTGGTCCGGCCAAACTGCTTCTCCCACTGACATGATTCAGGGATATGACCGATAATGGAAGCGATTCTCAAATATTTCCACGCAAAGCTCAGCGCGCCCGCAGCACCAGTACCTGCCGCGTCCACCGAAAGGGTTGTGATGTCGAGGCCAAAACGAGGCCGATGTATTGGGATGTTGGGTGCTGCAGAGCAGCGGCATGGACGGTAGTTGTTTGGGTCGGTGTTGTTGGCCATGTGTCTGAAGGGAAACATCTCGTCCGTGCTCCTGAATCTCATTTGAATCGCGCCAGTGCATGGGGAAAATCATGTTCGGCCGTGCTTCTGCATTCCGCCGATACATGGGTATTGTGCTCGAGACAATTCGCATTGCACGCGTGCGCGTGCTTCCGCGATGATTCGTGTCGTTGGCGGCGATAGACAGCAAGCTCCACCCCTCACAGGACGTCTTTGGGGCCACGCAGTCCACCGCACAGCCGATGCACATTGCACAAGGCCTTCTCGAAAGGCGGAGTGTCACGGCACGATGCTTTAGATTACATGCAGCGTTTAGATCACAGGGTTTTGACCGTATACACCCTGAAGCCCGTAGCGGCGGCGTTGGAACTACCCGGACGTCCACCTACGACAGCCCCACCTTCACAGTGCGGATCACAAAGCAGAGGAGCCACCCACCTTCAGAAGCAGGGTCGGGTATCCGCCAAGGCTGCCCACTCTCCCAGCAGGGAAGCCTTTTTTGCCAGAAGCCCTTCTACGACTCTACGACCTGGCATACTCTACCGACAGGTTGTTCGAGTACCGATTCAGTCATTGTCATAATCATCACTATCGCCGCTCTGCCATGGGCTTGACTAAGGATCAACCAGGTTGGAGCTCTCCGCAGAGGATTGATGTTTCTCTGCACCTGGGCACAAGCTCCATCACATGTCTACTGAGCTTCGGGTCTGCTGACTGTGTGGCAAGCCCTGACATGTGCCGAGCTTCGAGCCAAGTCTGGCAGAGAGGATTCAGAGAGCCGTGACCAAGTATCTCTGCAGCAGTCCAACCGGCAGAGGCACTATGATCCGCTCGTCTCGCGAAGTCGGAACATCACCATGTACTTTGCGGCACTCCTGGACGACGAGGCCCTGACAGGTTTGAGACGATGTCTAGCGACCATGCCGGGAAACCATGGTCGAATAACCAGCAGCAAACAACGGATGCATCTTGACGCTTCCCAATGGTGTCTCGTGCATGTGACATGTCTCGCACAAGCAGAGTCTGAGGACTTCTATTTCGAGTGGCTTGATGACAAAGCCACGTTGCTCGATACGAACAAGATTTGGGTGGATTTTCGCGAATGCAACGAGAGCAACTTGGCTCTTTCAGGCACTGTTCGTGTGGACGGCCGGCAGCTATGAGAGATACCGTTCCACAAAGTAAGTTCAACTACGTTTTCGTTTCATCACGCAGTCCCTCCTGTCGTTCCATGTTGTGTCACTGAAACATCCTTGAATAGGCACAGGCTCGCAGTGCAGTTTATTGCTTGCCATCATTGCATAAGGTTTATGTCCGCCTGTTGCGAAGCTTCCAAGCGATTTTCACATACTCTAGAGAAGGACCGAGCGAAAAGACTGCTGAGCAGGTCGTGCCTGCCTCGTGCACGAAATTAGTCCAGTTTTGTAGACGATGGCCAATGTTAGCATTGCTGCTTGCCGCACAAAGACGGAGGAAGGCCTTCAAGCTTGCCCCTCCCACAAGATCACGAGGCTATCATGCGCAGATTCTTGATGGTCGGGTCTGGCCACACCTAGCGCTTAGTGAGTCCATACAGACTTTGGGAGGTTCTAGGAAACGGCTCAGGCGAGAGCATGGCCTTCTATGATGTCTGCGGTGGGCCGTGGAGCACAAGTCTGGCAACGGTCTCTTGGCCTTTTCAACATGAAGTGGAGAGGCTTAGGAGCTGAGAGCGAGAGATCACAAGTCCGGTGAGCGGTGAGTGCCTGTCCGGACCTTTGACTGTAGGAATTGGTTTCGAAGTAGGCAGGCGGATCCACGCACTGGTTTAATCAGCAAATCGTGTTTCGCGGCGAGAATCGTCAGATGCATGTGCACACGACGTCGGACTGCCTGAGGTAACTGTGGACAAGTGGAGCCCACACACTTTGATTTCGGGCATTGTTCGACCGAGAAACAAGCAGAGCGTCTTCAGGACCAACATCCGGAAACATGACACGCATTGTGAGAACAGAAATTGCTAGTACAAACGGCTGTCGGAAGGTTGCGAGAAGATATTCCCGGGGCGGAAGAACTATCAAGCGACAGTCAGATAGGAGTTCTGACAGCTTAAGCAGCTAAAGGTCACTCGCGAGGCTCCCCCTGCCTAGTGCCAGAGCGAGGAAGGAGCATACTCGGGCCCGACGGGAAAGCGATATGTAAAGGCCATGCAACTTCAACCAAAATTCATCAGATTCCCATAAGATCAACATTTCCAAGCATCCCGCAGGAATCGCGAAGTCAGTATTTCGACGATTTTTGCAGAGGGACGTTTCGAGGCACTACAAGATCTGGTGTATGAGACTTGCTCTGTGCCCATCTGCCGTGGCCACTTGGACGAGTGCATGGAGGCTGCCTGCAAATCGGACTCCTGCAAGGCGGGACGCAGAAATCAGCGTGGTCTAACATCCACATTCTCAGAGACTCATTTCCGTAAGATTTTAAATGTGCTTCGAACAAGACGCAGTGGCTGCAAGCCATCTGTCAAAATGCCGTCCAGGAGTGGTGTCTTAGCGAGGCTCATCGCTTTTGCACGGAAGATCCGCAGAGAAGAGGATCCCCTTTCTCCAAAGACTCTCAGAAGCTTCTCCTTCGTGAAGCCTCGAACAAAACGAATGTGGTAATGTTGCGAGGAGGCTACTACATGGGCACTGTGATTCCTCGCGGGTTGAGCCCGAGCGACAGCCGGACTTGGTTGACTAGAAAGCCGCTGCCCGGCTAGACGATGTAAGCTGTCGCCGTTACAGCAATTGCCATTGGCTGGTTCACTGTGTGCACACATGGTACTGAGAAAAAACGGGCAACTGACCACTTCTGTAGAATATGATGACTGCAGTATCCTCGTCCTCTCAAAATGATTTGGCATGCTCAACAGGGCACTGACCTAGAAAACAACTGTGCTGCCGATCTAGGTTTCGTCACTGGATCTACGTCGACATTTTCCCCGAGTTCCGGCGCTTCTTCACCCGGGAGGTGCAGCGCACTTGTTTAAATATCTGAGTTCATCACAGCTCCAGGCAAAGCCCTTCGTGCGACGGGCAGCGATGTTCAAGTGCTCGCGACCCTGAGCACATTTGCCAAGGTCGTTGTCGACATCGCTGAACATTGTCCATATCGAGCCTTGCTTCCGAATTGGGCTAGACGGCTAGTTGCACAGCTTGAGTTCGTTGAAATCGAGAACAAACTATGCAGATAAACCTTTTGGACTTCATAGTGCAGTGAAGTCATCTCTGCTTTCGATCATGACACCGAGTGTTCAGACCTGCAGGAAGTGGGCTCTTCAGCCTCGTGAGGCTTTGTGGGAGGGGAACGACATGCTTGGGTGCTGTGTGAGTTTGCCGTGGCAGGCACCAGATGCTTGATAGCCTTGGCATGCCGGCGGGTTTCCAAATTCTGGAAGCTCTGGCGAGGCGGGCCGCCAGTGTGCAAGGCAGTCTGCCTCTCACACGCCATGTCATTGAGCGACTGCTGATCCCGCTGCAGAAACGATAACAGAGATGTGGAGCTGGACACGAAGTTCGACCAGAATCCGGCTGCCTTGCAAGACTAAGGCCGTTCGCGATGCCAGCAAGATCGAACTTTGAGCGTGCGCCCGTGGCCAAGGTTTTGAAAGCCCTGTTTGACAATTCCAAAGAGGACGGGACGGGTATGTTGCTCCTGGCTGCTCTTAATAGGACACCGCAAGACCAGTAGCTCCGGTGTCACCAGAAGCAAGCTCACCTGCAACCAACTAAGTTTCGCTCCGAAGGACTTTCTCAAAATGCTACCTCTGCCGCTGGTAGCAATGTACAAGCCGAAGTTGAACCGCCTGATGCTGCCTGCCTCCAGTCCGCAGAGAACGCGCATGGCCTCCAAGGAGAGCTGAAGATCTGCTCAGGTCTGCCTGGCGACGGATCCGAAGTCGAGCCTCTTCAGCGTGGACCTGTTCACGTACTTCGTTGACAAGATCATAGTGGACTTCCACTCCGACGACAGCGATGGTTTTGTGAAAGCAACTCTCCTCAGTACTTGACAACCCTGAGGAGTGCTTGAACACTGAAGTTCAACTCGTGCGCAAGCGAAACAGTTGTTATGCCCTCGCGAATGCACAGGCATCTCGCACCTTGGATGACCTCGTGAAATGCGTTCAAAGGCCAGGTTTCGTTTCCTTGAAATCCGCTGCAGAAGGGTGAGAGTTTCTTGCTGTACAGGAAAGGTCGCTCGTTCAAGCCTTTTTCTTCATCCCAGTGTCGCGGCTCTGCGTCATTCCATTTGCTGCCGGCCTCTTGGCAGACGTTGAGCAGATGGCTGTGCTCGTTGGACGTCAGCATTGCTTGTTCGTTGCTCACGTGCATTAGAGCAAGATCCCCGCGAACTACACAGTCCCAGCACTCCCCCTCCTCCTCATCATCCTCATGATCAAGGCATGAGGATCATCACGATCATAATGATGATTCGCGTGTGGGACCAGATGCATTGTCTGTCTTTGATTAAGCCGATTAAGCAGCATCAATCAATATCGCTATCATTGCATTCTGACTATCAAGAGAGGTGGTGCTAATGTGAGTGATCCGTAGATTTTAGTTTTGGAGCCATGCCTGACGTCATGACATTGTAGGTCGTCCCTTAAATCTGCCTGTGTGTTTTTACACGAGCGATCTGATCGGTCAGTCCATCGTACAGAGTTCTGACATGCGTGATCCTCTGTTACGAACATGACAAACTGTGCCAGAGCTCTACCAGGGCAATGCCCCCTAGTCATCGTTGTGTTTCGACTGAGGGCGGGCTTCTCAAGGTTCCTGTTCCGTGGGTTATCGCTAGCAACTTTATCGACGATCGATTACGGGAAAACCGGAACGGCTACGGGGATGCAGGAGGAACCATCATCCTCAACCCAGAACGGAGATGCATGGAACAAGTCGAACAAGATAATAAAGCAGTCTTCATAATCAGATGCGAACGCCTTCGATGCATCATGCAATTGGCGCTCGGACAGCTCGGATACGGGTTGGATCCATTTTCTGACTCCATCCGTTGTGAAAAAGGAAGTTTGTGCATTACTACCTACATCCCAAGCCCAGGCATGGTTATGCATGAAATAAGTTGCTCAAAATGCTGAGTAGCGACTCAGCGCCTCTTCAGATGTCCAAGCCAAATCCTACACGGGTTGTCAGCTTTGCTATGTGCATAAAAAGTGATTGCGCAAGCAACGCTTTGTTCTGTCTTTATCGGAGTGAGATTGTACACTAGTCACGAGTTCAAAGAGTTGTGAGACCAGGCAGTGAGCTCTCGAAGCGACGAATCAAGCACCTAAGGATGGAACAAAGCCATCGCTGCTGAGCTTGGCGCCGAGCGAAAAGGTCTTCAAGAGTCTGGTGCAAGCCCCCTGGCAGCATGCTGTCGCACAATTGAGACCACACGCGCACGGCACACCCCTGCTCTTCTCGTTGCAAGATGCAGTGGTCGAGTCCGACATAAGAAGCATGTCGACCACATCTGTGAACGCCAGCATAAGCGCCGGACAGAACAAGGTGAGGTCCACGGAAAAGGCACAGACCTCCCCCAATCACAGGAAAAATCTTCTGCTTGACCGACATACAAAAGTGTGCCATGCCGTCCCTCTCTCAAAGGGAACGACGGGAAAATCCAATACAAGCATGGGCCGCGCCACAGAGCCTACCATCCGCTTTTTTAAGGGGCGCAGGTCGATCAGACTCAGCAGGTACAAACCGCGTCGTGTGGCACGCGACTGCAAAAACATAAGCCACAAGCTTTCGGCAAGCATGAGCAAGTCAGACATGTCGTTTCACTTCCCTTTGCCGGATTGAAAAGCACGAAACGTTTGCAACAGAACCAATTCCAGAGCAGCCTTCAAAGCCCTCGAGATGCCTAACTCCACAGTGCCGCGTTCCACTGACAGAGGCTTCTTCATGATGTCAATCGCACGCAATCGGCAATCGGGCAAGTAGCTGAGGTAAGGAATCGTCCTACTCTTTGTTTAAAGCATCGCACAACTTCTTCAAATCAGTAGCCTCTTTTGATCTGCAGGTGAGGCTCGAGATTTGGCGCTCAAGTTTACGAAGGTAGATGCGGCGGATGTCGTTGTACAAGTCACTCATAGCTTGTGAAGGCGTCAACATGCTCCAAGCTTTCGATGCGGGGCACTTGCGTGATAATTTGTGGACCCTGGTTTCCAAATCATAGTTCGAGAAATTGATGTTCGAAGTGTCGACGTCCACCTTCCTTTTCACCCACTTCACATAGCCCCCCTGAACATCACCCGACTTTTCCACGATCTGTTCTTGCGAAGCTTCCGCTAAACGACGCAGTGCATCTCGACTGTGGGTGTCAACATTTGCTGCTGCCGGTTGTTGCTCATGCGAAGGGCTTCCAACGCACAGATCACCACTAGCCCATTCAATGTCCCGAGAACTGGAGCTGCCTTGATTTAGAGGAGGCTTTTCAGGACATCCATCCAAATACTTGAGGACAGCTTTCCACTTCGTGCTATCTGTAGTAGACAACGGCAGGCGATGAAACACATCCCGCAATGTCTTTCAGTCACCGTGCTCATGGGAACAATCTTGGTACTATCATCGTCATAGAAGGCAGCCGACTGCGGAGTTGCAAGATGACGCAAACACTCACGACGAAGAGTGTTGATGCGTGAACACATCGCCATCCTTTGGTCCCTGTCCTGGATTGATTTTATGTCCGTAATCACATCGTCGGGGGCAAGGTAAGCCACATCAGGCAACCCCGGTGGAAGACTGTAGAACACTTTCTTGAAGTCTCCTGGAGGAAGCTGAGCCAACAATCTAGCCACTTCATCCGTGCGGGGAGCGGGTTCACAACCACACGACCTATCAAGCCTATCATGGTGTGAAAAATCATGGCTCAATCCACTTGGGGCCACATACCCGGAGGAAGTTCATCTTCCTGTCGTAGATGCCCAGAAGGAGTAGGAGGAAGCTGAAGAAACGAATTGCAGGCAGGGCCAGACTAAGACGTGCCAGAACCACCATATCCATGCTGCACGGAATAGTTTGGGTTGGCTGGATTTTCACACACTGTCCTGAATTAAACTGGGTGGAGGTGGTGGAAGACGACGATTTGCGAGTGGGTCATAAGAAGGGGCATGCTGCATCATGCCATGCATTGAATGTGGAGGCCGGTGAGCATCCGCTGCCATGCCGGATTCATTCTGGGTGCTGATAGTTACTGTTAACAGCAAAGCACCAGTGCACCCGGAATGTGAAAGCGACAGATCACTGGCACAATGTGAGACTCAACAGCATCCAAGTAAGTCTACATTTCTGGATGCAGCTACCGTGCGAATGAATGGCTGCATCAGTGTAGTTTGTGAAAAAAGTTCATGCAGCAGCAACGGCAGATCCTATAATCCGAAGCTCTCTGTGCACATAGCAGACAACATGCATACTCAGTGCCGAAATCCTGCAGAGAAGTTCCATTCTCCGCTACATGATTCATGCCGGCATGTTTGCGCAGATCGCGGACATCTTCGTGTGAGCAGAGCACCCTATGAGCTTCCCTGTCAAACCCAGCTATGCGTTTTCTGAGCTACTGTCTTTTTAGGCGTCGAGAAAGTGCGGCCAAGGGAGTCAAGGGAGTGGGAGTCGGTTCTCAACGTCACGCAGAGAGGGGCAATTGAAAGACAAGCTCAAAGCCGAGATCGGGGGCAATTTAGCCTCGTCACTGAGCCGAACCAGGTACTGCAGGGATTTCGCCCCCAAAGCTTCTGGGCTAAGGCGTCGCCGCTTAGCAAAAGGCGCTGCCAGGCCATCCCCAAACCTAAGCTACCCTCGTTACTTGCAGCATCACCACGCGCGTGGCCACCACACAATGGCATTCACCGGCCCCAGAGAACATTCTAGAAGTACAGAAGCATGGTCCATTCGATTACCACCTTTTCGCAGACTTCCAGGCTCTGGGGCAGTAAGGTTTGCGCAGGAGCGGCAGCGCCGCTAGCCGCTAGCCCAACTACCGTTCTGCAATTGTAAGGTATGCAACGTGTCGGGTGTGCTGGACCATGACAAGACAGTGTTGCACTTGGCCGCGGAGAAGGGGTATAACCTTGCGATGAAGTTTGCTTTCCAGCCTGCATCAGATCAAGTTTTTCTCTTTCCACGTTCTGACTCACATCGTTGAAGACAGTGATGCGCCCATAGACAAGCGAGGGGTTGTCATGCTGAGCATGCGCAGAATCGCGAGAGTGCACAAACCAAGTCTCCGAGGGTGCCCATCTCACTTGTGCTCATGTTTGTTTGTTGTCTTGAGGTTTTCGCGCAAAAGAGGGACTTGCCCGATGTCAATGCTGGGTACTCCTCAACTCGATCAGGGGGCAAATTAAAGGTGCACGTAGACGGCATTACGGCGCTGCACAACGCGTGCGAGGCAGGCTGCGCTGATTGCGTTCAGCTGCTTCTGGCGCATGGGGCGAAGAAGGAGGCGATCACCGAGTTGAAGGCCTTCCCCGCTTGGTTCGACGCGGCCATTCACCCATGGATGTATGAAGCCCTGACAGACTTCCGTGAGAAAGGCCACAAGCAGTTCAGGTATCCAGTTCTGGTGAATGTGCGACCAATTCACATGGCGGTGAAAAATATGTGCCAAGAATGTATAGAGCAGCTCATTCAGCATCACGTGGACGTCAATGCCCAGACACGTCTTGGCTACGAGCACAGTTATTACCAGCGCAGTAGCACCACCAGGAGTTACGAGCAGGTGAACATGATAGGCACGGATGCTTGCGTTTTGAAGCCTTTGGACCTTGCCTTAGCCTTCGGCACGGTCGAGATGGTGAAGAAATTCATGGCAGCTGGCGCAGACATGACAAGTATCATGGTGGATTCGAAAGCCAAGCTACTCAACAATGCAGACTTTCTGAAGAGGCTGAACATCGTCAATTCGACCCAAAACGCGCTGGAAATTGATCGGTGTCAGCACTGGAAACTGGCCGATGCCAAGGGGGAGAAGAAGCTCTCTCCCGGTCTTCTGCTGCATCTGTTCTGAGACCTGGGCAGGTTCCTGGGCAGAAGCGGTGGTCGGAACTTTGCAGCCGCACGCCTCCTTGTCATGTTGGATCAGCTGCAGGCACCGCTGATGTCCGACCCGTCTTCGCAATGCGATGCTGAAAAGCCTTGCTGTGAGAGATCAGGGATCAGGAGCATAGTGCCGCCCCGTTCCCCACCACCCCGGCGCTTCCCTACTTCCGTGATGCTTGGGGTGGTTTATCGGAACTTGCCCACAGGTCTCTGTCGCGTTTTTGTCACAACATCGGGGGGCCTCGCACGAAACTTATCCGAAGTAAGTGATCGCTCAAGGAGACCGTTCGTCAGAAGTCGGAGCCTGAGGACAATCGGCATGGCCAGGTTTTCTTCCATTTCTGAGGCGTTCCAGTTCATGATGATAGTGCAGGATGCCGGTGTTGCGAAGAGCATCTTGAAGCGGTTCATGCCGACGTTTCAGTTTTCAGACTTGAGGTGTAAGTGTGTGTTGAGTTGTTGGTGCTGTCCATGCTGAATGGGTGCTGCTTCACTGTGTCGTGCAGTGCTGCTCGAACAAGATCCAAGTAGTGCGAACAGTTCGTTGGCTTGCACATGTGATGCTGTTGCGGAGCCTGCAGAGTTTGGCAGATCCTGCACTAGTAATGAAACGGACACGCCCGATAGACGCGGCTCGGGCCGCTGAAGACACCATGGTGCAAACAGCTGTGATCATCGGTCCTTTACCCTCCAGGGTTCGAGCTCGAATGCAGGATCTCCTGCGTGAGGGTTGGCACTCTCACTAAGCGAGGAATCCGGCCAAGTCTGCTTGAGTAAGTTCCGGATTTGGGCCTTCTGCAAGGCAAGAGGAGTTCTTGCATGCAGTGAAGGAGGAATTGGTCCGTGCGGGCCTAAGAGCTCACAGGGTTCATGACAATGTCACATCGAACATCATCGAACTTCACTCTTGCTGCGAAGGAGTGGGGCATTGGTACAAGGACCAAGTGACGGCCCTTGAGGCGGGCGGACAATGAAAATGCAGGGCCTCTCGTTCCTTTTCAGCGGCTTAAATTGCGGCCAAGCTACAAGAGGATCCTCAGGTCTGACAGATAGCTCCTGTGAAGGTTTCGTCAGGTTCCTGGAAGACAAGTTCACGACAGCGGCGGGGTAACCGAACTGCACCCCATCAGAAGGTGCATTGCAGCAAGCAAGATCCACAGACATCCGCAAAACTGAGAGGCCATGCGGGCGAGTGGTCAGACAGAAAAGTTTACTTTCAGACTTCGACGGCCCCGAAATCATGAGGACGCTTAGGAACAGAGTTTCCAGACGAGCGCCATGGTGTGAAAATGCTTCTGGATGCTGTTGGCTGGGCAGGCAGAGGTGCGACGTCTTTCCGGCGAAGATGGCGCGGGTCTCGGGGCAACGAATCTTTACCAAAGGTCCGTCCCTTGCATCCTTGGAGTGGTGCGGTGGTGCTGTAAGTGAAGCGGATTCCTTCGCTTTGGTTTTGGGGCGCCGAGGGCCTGGCGTCGGCGATGCGGCCCTCACGAATCTGGCGAACCAAGGCCGGCACACAGCGGGGGAAAGCCCCGCCGTTTCGACCTCCTTCGGGATCTCGGAGGTCCGGCCGACATCGAGAAGCTTCACCTGAAGGTGAGACCCCCATCACGTGCAGTCCTGCAGTCTGCGCCTCGAAATGGCTCTCGCGTGCTCCAGGCCGTTCGCCTGACCGAATTCGTGCTTCTGAATGTGGAAGCCTTGCGCAAGATCGTGAAAAAAATGGACAAGACAGAGCCTCAGGAGCTGCGACCAGCGACCAGTTGCGACAATCATGAGCTGCTCAAACTGAACCAGGCAGTGTGGGACCAGCTGGCAGAAGGCAGGGGTTGGTTCAAGGTTGTAGGACCTCTCTGAGTGTGTGGCCTCTTTCTTCTGAGACTGCAAAAAAAGAGATTGCTGTTCCACTTCGGGAACCAGACAAGCGTTTGAGCAGAGTCCTGCGAGGTCTTCGTCGAGAGAGACCTCAAAGACAGTCCGCTGGCTACCAACTCTGCGCAGCCTTTCAATGGGGTCCACCGCGCATGCTTTATCGTTTTTCACGGCTTGTGCGTTCTTGAGTTGTTGCTTCCCAAACTTTCAGGCGCATTTGTGGCCGCCATTCCGGTTCTACTCTGTAGCGTTTCTGGAGTTCCCTGCTTCTCCGCCATTAACTTGTTGTGTTGCCCGTTACATGGCGGTCTGCAAAGTGTGACGATGCAAGATGATCCAAGAAATGACACACGATCTTGTGCACGCAGGTTGCCGCTGAGCCGGGGCGTGTTGGAATGGTGCGGAGCGGGTCGGTTGAAAGTGTCTGGAAAAGGTGGTGTCGAAATACGGGGGGCGCAACCTCGGCGAAACGACGGGGATGGGCGTGCCGGTCGAGCGCTGCAGCGAATCAGAAGGCCTCGGCAAGGATTGAGAATGTTGAGACAGCCTAAGGTGCCATGAATCTAGGAACTACCAGACACCTTGGCAGGGAGAGAAGAGGGAAACACAGTCACTTTACACATCACTTGACGACTTCAACTCTCGAAATCAGCCATGACCGCGACATCAGATCACCTGGCCAGTTTGGGGTCAGAAAGGTCCAGTGACCAGTGTTTAACGAATACGCTGCTCGCCTTTTGTGGAGAGCCAGACATGGTGGCTGAAGACGACAGGAACGTGCCAGGGCGTGCCGCCGGGCACTGGAGGAGCTCGTAAGCCCAGAGAGGCCGGCACTTGGCACTTGAAATCGCTCGCTGTCTGACGAGCACCCTGGGCCCTGGGAGGCTTCAGGAGATGCGGAGCAGGGCTTGGGCCCCAAGCGGCTAAGCCTAAGTACTCCGAGGTGCTTCGAGTCTTGTGACCTCTGCTTGATGGCAATTGCATGAGCAGCTGTCGATAACTCTGAATATAGAAGTGAGACTGACAAACAACAAACTGCATTGAAACCACGTGAGTGAGGGGATGAGATTAAGCATGTTTCCACCAAAGATGGCTTTTCTTGCAGCACATGCTGCGGCTGCGTAATACACCACGGGCTTGCATTGAGAGCTGCGAGGTTCACTGTCGAGGAAATGCAGAAAAGTGGGATCTGCCGGGTCGAATCAGTGTGAAACAAGATCATCCGCCAGTGCACGCACTGAGGCCATGGAGTCTGGTGGTGTCGGGCTTTCGACGATGCCGTGGTCCTGGCCCGAAGCCCAGCGTACCAGACGGCTCGAATACAGCAGATTCCGGCCTCTATCCTATGATATGTGCCGGGTCGAAGACGCACAGCTTCCCGTTGACCACCCCAAGCCTCCTGCTCGCTTTGCTCTGCACGACTGACCGAATCGGAGTCGACGGGTGACACTCGCAAAGTCTTTTCGAAGTCGCAAACACCCGTACTTCCTTTTCTCGTGCTCTGGTCCTCAGATCGAAAGGCTTCCTGTGCCGATAAAGGAACCAATCCTTGCATAGCAAGTTACAAAACGTGCTGATGTGGAGTTTTCGGGATGAAACCTTTTCCCCGGGCGCACAGCCGCGAACGAACCGCGGAGTGGACGGGAAGTGCATGCTGCCTTGAGGAGACGGCCACAGGATGGCAACTCCAGAGTTCTTCGTTGTCGTTCGTTAACCGGCTCGCCGCTCCAGCGGGGTGATATTGCGTGTGCCGCGGCTCGCTCTTCATCGCTGAAAACCGATTACCATTGGCCAAGGCGGCGGACGCTTGTGGCCGTCGCACTTGCAGGAGCTGCCCTGAAGTGGCCAGCACCTTGATGATCTCGGCTGCCGGCCATCTGCCCCGATTCGTGGTTGCAGTCACTGTTCAGGTCAGCTTTTCGACTCCCCGACGAGCCCAAATGCCAGCGGTGCTTGGGCCTGATGATTTTCACCATGCTGATGTGGGCCAAGTGCTCAGAAAGTCGCCCTGAGAGAGATTCAATTCCTTTTTTGCGGACATGTTTGCCCTGAACGGCCGGAAGGTCCTCGAAGCCGCCCCCTTCGAAGCGACGGCCATGCCGCCCCTGCAGGTTTGTGGTGACTCGTGCCCGTGTCATCTTGGTCCCTTCGTGACAGGCTTGTGGCGCCTTTGGCCGTGTGGCTAGATGTCATGGAAGGCGATCGGCACGAGCAGGCCTGCGCTGCACTCTGCATACTTTGCCTAGGCATGCGGTGTCTCTACGTGTAGCATGGCAGCGGCACGGAAAGACAGATGAGTGCAGCTTTGAAAGGCCAAGCTGCTCCTTGCTGCTGTCTTCAATGACTTCCTGGCAAGTTTTCGGCACCGCACCGATGGGTCTCACACCATCAAAATCCGCTTCTTCGGCGGGCGTCTGTGTAAGCCCCTCAACCTACGAGCGCCAGCTGAAGATGCAGCTAGCCGCTGTGCAGAACGGAATGTGAGCTGCGATCCAGCCAACTGCCAGGACTCCTTGTACTTGGTCCTCTCGGGCTTCGTGATGAGCTCCATTTTCTCGAAGTGTCAGCTGGAGCTTCGTATGGTGCTCAGGTTCGAGCAGTAGAATGAGTATATCAGAGTACATACAGGGTGACACTCCGGAATTCCTGCTGTGACTGCCTCCACTGCTTTTGTACATCCCTAACAGACCTTCTTCAGCAGCTGCCAAATGGCCGTCAGGTGCTGCAGCTCTTCTACAGAGTTTGTTGGGCCGGAGGTGCGCTCAGAGATGCTCTGGGCTCGCGCAGTGTCAGATTTGGAGGCCAAAGTGCTTCATGCTGGCCATCATGATCCTGGGCACGGCTCACGGCTCCTGGTTTGAAGTCCCTCGAATGACTGAGAGACGCTTTCCGAGGCGTGTTCCTCTCTGCGCTGCTCTCGAATGTGCAGGGCCTGGCCTGGCTGTGCCGAGATATCGAGACACCTTCCGACAACATATGCAGCGCCCGAGCTGGCTCTCCTGCACTGGGGGGCCGGCTCCAACTCAGGATATGCGTTTGAGTTGTGCGTCACCGCGGTGTGCGTTCTCCATGACTTCTGGGCATTGGGCGAAGATGCCCTAAGTCCTTCAATTCGGGTTGTATCTTCGCGTTCTCCTTTCTGGGATGAGTTTCGGTGCTGGTAGGACAGAGTTTCTACACTTGCGTTTGCCGTCCGCGCATCAATGCTCGTGTGAGTCTGCGCCTGTCCGGTTAGTAGAGCACAAGCTCGCCAAAGGAACCAGCCCCTTGCAAGATTTTCTTTTCTAATCTTCATGCTCCCCGGAGACTTGCTTGCTTTTTGTACAAGTATCCAAACCTTACGAAGAGTATGGGGCTACCGCGAAGGGCCCCTCCGACTCTAAACGTCTCGCCCCGACAAAGGCTTTTGTTGACGTTTACCTGCGAGACGGTGAGTCAATGAAGTGCCGAAGTGCAAGGTCACAGCCCCTCTTCTCATGGTGGAAGTGCTGAAGCCACTCATACGAGACTTGCCCACCGACAGCTGGATCCTCAGAGAGGCTCAGAGAGGAGTTTCCCACCCGAGGCCCTTAAGCACCACACTTTTGACACTTGGCCATCCCTGCCGAGGCCGCTACTCAAGGGCGCTGCTGTTGGGTCTCGCATTCTCGTGCAATGCTGGATATCCCAGCATCTTGTGGCCTGCCATGGCATCGGACTTCAACTTGATCCCCCTTCTTTCGAGCCCAGGTGGGTGGTATGATGACGCCGATTTCATCGCCACAAAACGTGGCATCGTTGGAGGCCTCATGACAATCGTTCGTAGTCTGAAGATCAAGACCGACATGTTCTGATAGGAAGACTCCCAAGCTTGTGAATTCACGTCTCAGGTTTGTGCCCAATGGAATCTATTGTGATGGCCGTTCACCTCTCTATCACGCTAGAACAGTGCACAAGAATAGCGTGGAGCTGGCTGCTAAAGTCCTCAGGTCCCCTGCCACACGGCCTTACCTGCCCCTACACATATCTGCAAACTCGCAGACTAGCTGTGGGTGGGTTTTAGTGCCGCCTTGGGAGCCTGGCAACGTACAAGACCCTCCTGACAGCTATGTTCGGAGACTTTCGCCCTGAGGTGTGCCGCATAAAACAGCAATCCCACCAGGCCTTGCGCCAGCATGGCAAAAACATCACCTGGGGGGAGTGGCTCGCTGCCCAGCTCCGCAGCTGCTGAATAGCGAGTTGTTATCTGCAAAAACAGCTTGTAGTGCGGCGCTTGTAGCTACCCTGAAAGCCTTGAAGTGCCCGTATCGGCATGGCCGAAGACCTTCTGTGGACGAGGTTGTGCCTGAGCACGCCTTTCTGTTTCTTGGCCGTCGTCATGGCTTGGCTCATGCCCTCCTGGCTTTGTTCGGGATATCGGGGGCTAGGGGCTAGGGGCTGGTGAGTTGCTAGCCCAGTTTGGTGCAGGCTAAGCCAATTTCAAGTGTCAGTCTTCGACTGGTCTAAAGACCGATCCCACGTGTTGGGTCTGCATGTCGGTATTGTCCGTCAGTGTGTATCGTGTGCTGCATGCATCAAACCACCGACAGATGGCAGTTCTGTGCCGTCGACCATCTTTTGCAATTCGAAACAAGATGACAGTGCCCGCCGCGCAAGTTTCGGGCATTGTCTGGTTGCACCGTGTTCCTCGTGCCGGACTGCCAGACTGTTGCTCGTCTACCAGTTCGATGTTTCTGCGGACGAGGCTAGAGGGGAGCTATGGCTGCGAGGTGTCTGGATTTCTCGTGATGGCTGCGAAATCAAAGTCTGATCTCATGCCATTGTTATGGTACGTGCGACATGACTTTCTGCGATGAGTGGATGAATGATCCAGGTAGCCCGCAGTGCCCGCAAAGGCGATGCATCGTCCCGCCATAAGCTTAAGAAGGATGCACGGGTAGACTTTTCCCACGAATGGGCTTTCAGAAAGTTCAGGCGGAATCCCACCAGTGGTCTTCGATCGGGAGGTGGGCACCCTTGACTTCCAGGTGCAGAGAGTGGTGAGAGCGAAGTGGTGTGCGTCTGAGGACATGTCCTATGAGAAGCTGATTCTTTTCGTCGGGGCAATCGTTACGCTTGTCGCATTCGTGCGATCCTCAAGTGACAGGGGAGGGGGCGGGGGGCCTTCCATTTCAGCTCCATGACATGTGTCGAGGCCAGCGCCCAGGCACGGATTGATTGACTTTCGAGTGCAAGACTTGCGTGGGTGCCATGCCAGCAGGCAGCTGCCACCTTCGGTGGCACCTCTTCCATCGCGTTGCTCTTCGTAGCAGGAGCCCAAGGTCGTCTGAACATGTTCACATGCCCAGTTTCTTTCGGACGATCAGGCAATCTGCATGGGCACTGGCGGAATTTCTCGGCGTTCACCTCACTTTCCTTTGCATGCCTCATTGGCGGCTAGCGCCACATGCTAGTCAAAGAGCGGCACCTTTGCAGTTTGCAGTGCGCAAGAGGCAGACCTTCAACTCCTACAGCTGGCACCTCCTCTTCCTCATCGGGGGCGGCAGTGCCTTAGGCTGGATGCCTAGTGCCACTGTGCGGATTGCCCTGGTGTGGTCTCGAACCACAGGCCTGGCCGTCCGCCAGAGTGGCTTGCTGAAGCTGGTCACGGAGTTGGTGAGGAGGCACCGCTAAGCACTGCACTGGCCACGGGGTTGCGTGCTGCGTACTTGCTGAAGCCTCCCCCTGTTCTTTGCTCAGTGGCCTGTCGTCCTCTCCCTGGCAGCTTGTGGCGGAGCTGATGCTTGCCGGGACCTCGTTCCCCCAAAGACGTGGACACGTTGGGGAGCCGGTCGCTCTCAGGTGCTCGTGGGCGCAACGACGTTCGTGTCCCACACCGTCGTCGACCTGGCAGACATCCGGTTCAGTGCCGGGCAGCGCTCACATGGTAGCGCTGAGGTAGCTGCTCTCGTCTTGATGCCCTTGGCAATGGGCTGAGATGGGCTGAGACTTGAGCCCAGTTCAGTACCTGGTGGTGGGCAAAGCCGCTGCTGGGCTCCCAGGTGGTTGAGTTGGGCGAGGACGCTGGGGTTGAACGCCTGGCCGTGTTGCTGGGAGCGGCTTGGCTGCAGATTCAGTCCGCGATACTTCATGCGCTTTTTCGATGTCTTCAGGCCTTTGCTTGCTCGGCAGCCTGCGCGCTGCCGATGACTAGCTTCCCGAACGCTCGTCCCTCAGCCTCTGCATCCCATTTGTTGTCCCTTCAGCTCTGACGGAGGTGAACTCCCTCATAGCGGTCGATGACCGTGGAAAGCCCTGGCTGTCCGTGAAGCATTTCCTCATGGTGCGGGGCTGAAAGGGTACCGGGTTGTGAATATGCAACCAGGACACTGTGGACACCCGCCGGGAAGTCAAACCATGTCTCTTTGGAGGCGGGGATCCCAACTACCGTTGCGCTAACGCTTCTTCTGATCACTGCTGGTCGCGTCCCCAGCATGCTGCAGCATCGTCTTCAAGAGAGCAAGACATCATGTGCCTGCACGCGGCTGCAAGTGTTCTTGTTCATTGTGACATGCCAATTTCGCGGAGTCTGCTGAGGTTACAAGCTGGGAGTGTGGGTGCTGAGCTGACAGCCCAAAGCCGTGGCAGTGTTAATGCAATTACCGGGACACGCTGGCCGAGCCGTGTGGACCTTGACCGGGTCTGCCATTCGGCGACTTCCTGTATGGACCTCAGTAATGCAATGAGGTTAGTTTAATCTATTTTCAGGACTCGGTCTCAGTTCAGACAGGCTCCGCCGCATGTGCCGAGTCGTGGTTGCCTCAAGTGCACCACCGATTGAGTTACAGCGAAAAACCAGCCAACGTCAACACAGGGCGGCCCTTTCATGCCTGATAGCGGCTCCCCTGCAGATGCATTCGTTTGCGTCTGCTTTTGTTCCCTCGTCTTGGTAAGCTTCTGAGAGAAGCTTGGCCAACTATTTGGAAACCAGTAGGGACACTGCCAAAGCGCCCAGCCACGACAGAGACCTGTGATGTTTCTTCATACCAGATCTGCGCAGGTCGTAACGGGACCGAAACATACTTGACAAAGCCCTTGCTACTGCGCCATGGTCTTGCCGATCGTGGAGGAGATTCGGCCGTTACCCACGAGCAGTGCTCCCAGCGGCTTTGTGAGGCACACAGGCGGAGGCTCGTCTGTGCCAAAACTTCGAGGCCTCCCGGCACGCGCGCCGGCTGTCCTTGAAGGCTCTGGGCGATGGAGGCAGGACATAGCAATGTACATCAAGATTCAAGATGCTTCATTGTGAAAATTACGAAGAGCGAGCATTAGAGAGTAGACGGGAGGAGATCGGCCTCAACTCAATCTGGCCAGGTTTGCTTCCAGAAGCTCAGAGTGCAACTTGACACAGCACTACACCGAGCTGAAGGACTTGACATGAGACAGCTCGCGCATGCACTGGTACTACCGTACAAGTCTGTGTGGCTTTGCAATCTTGACTGCCCCGAATGGCTATCTCGGGGGATGTGGGACGAAAGGTGGGAGTTGGGTGGAGGGGGGTAATTGCTTGCCAGCATTTCCGGCTCGTGCAACTTGCAACAGGAGCAGGCAATGTGCTCCGGGATCGAAATCAGCAAGTGACTTCGGCACCATTGCTCTTGAGCATTCGGTTTGAAGCCAGCTTCGGGGTTCATGGTCGGTCAGGGGGCAGCGGACTCTTAACAGTGCATTGTGCCTATCTGATCTGAGCTGTAAGCTGCGTGTCGCGATGTTTGCAATATTTTGCAGTTCTTGCACCGTGCCAGGCTGAAGGGACAGACCTTCGAAACCGTGCCGAATGGAAAGCTGATGGCCGTCAACCAGAGACCCTTGTCATGAGCCGAATGGTTTCCTAGCACCCTCCCACCAGCATGTACCTGGACTGGATGCTCATGCAACGTCTAGCAAGGATGCATGGTCTATGTCATGAAAGACGGCTTTCTGCGGGTCATCAACCAGAGTGGCACTGCCCAGCACTCAGGTGCTGTGATGTACTGTGATGTGGTCGATGCGTGTAAGGGGTTGGGTATCGTATGGGTCCTTGTTCAAGTGCATGCGTATCAATGCAAGGATCATTTCAAGCTGGCGAATTCCTCAAAGGTGCGCCATACGAGCATTGCAACGCGAGTTACAGTACCATGCAGTCGAGTACATTTTATTTCCCTTTGAGCCGTCTGTTTGGACCTGATCTGAAACCATGCTGCTGTATACAAATGCAGGCTCGGGTGCTCGATGTTGCGCTGACTAGGGATGCCTCGGAAACGAAGGCAGGCCGTCCGGGGTGTCAGGACGGTCAGATTGCAGGCCACGTGACCTGCCACCCAAATTGGAGGAAGACGTGCTAGTGGCTGGAAGTGACGGCCCATTCAGTATCGTGGCAAGCGGAACAGCAACAACTGTGGAGAAGTGATATTCCTGCCTCATTATTGGTACTTACGAGCAGTCTCTAACTCTAACCGAGTCTGTGATAGGGTTGGTGGTGTTGGTGAGGTGTAGGTGCACTGTGCTCCGGTTCCGTCGGGACCTATCGCTCTGCGGCTTGGCATTGGAGTGCCCTCGCCTGTCAGGACAGCCGCGAGGATTCGACCCACATTCTTCTGTGTGGTCAGCCCAGCAAGGACGCAACAAAGGAGTTAGTCTCTTATCTGCTCCTACGTTGCTGCTGCTCTTGGTGATGCTGATGATGATGGTAGCGACGATATGATGTCGTTATCGTGATCCACGTCGCCACCCAGCAGCAGCATCATCATGAGCAGAATCGCATGTCCTTCTACTCGCAATATTCTGGAACATCACAATGGCCTCCATCGTTGTCATGGCTTGAACCAGGGAGCATCTTTGTGCTTGGCGGCCTCGGTCCTACTTCTACGTTTTAGGGCATTGGAGTTTGTTAGGGTAGCTACGAAGCAGGAAGGACTGCGCGAGATCAAACTTACACGGCATCTTGTTGTACGAGGGCTGGTTGAGATCTGTGCGTGCTACGCTGGACCCTTTGGTTAATTTGTTGTCCAAGAAAGACTTGAACTGAATCGGGGTTTTCCTGCATTGATACTCGCGGTATGATGTCGGACCGCCCATATCCACAAGCTACGGAGGGAAGACGGGGTTTTCCTTGACGACCATTTGTAGAGACAGAACCCTGTCGGAGCCCCTTGCGCTGAGGCCTGGATGAAGCCGGCTGCGTCACCGTCTTCTTTGTCGAGGCGAGATGGAAACTTCTCCAAGACAGAAGTCATCCGTTAGAGAACCGGGACCTGGGGGAGGCCTGCAAGAAAGCGCTGCCTGGCCGCCTGTGCGAGCCCCAGCTGGCAAAGCCAAAGAAATGGATCTTCAGATTCAAGATCAGAGCTTTGGTTCCAAAATCCTTTTCAGAAGTTCCTTCACTTCACTTGACGAGACCAACCGTTCGGGTCGGCTTTGCTTTCGAAGTGCAGGCAGCAGATCGACATCATGCTGAGCAGCTTGCAGCCACGACGGTTGGCCATGCACCCAAAGGCCAGTGACCAGTCAAACCAAGTTGCCACTGCCCTCACTGCGACTGAGCCAGGACAGCACTTGCTTTGTTACGGTGCACTCGACCGCAATCCGACTCTGGGACGTCGCGCGGCTGCGCGCGCAATGCAACGTGGCGAGCCAAGCATTCAAGTGTTCGCTTTGCTTCTACCGATGATCTGGCTCCGTGACGAGCGCCAGGCCCAAGGCTCCATCGCGAAAGTCTTCTCAGACCCGGAAGATGCACATTGCTGCGACGTGGCCCACTTGCCCAAGGTGGGGTGTAGAGTAGAGCTCAGGCTGGAATGCTACCGCTTGCATGCTTCAAACCTCGGCCTGGTAATGCCCTTCTGCGACATGAGCGGCTGGAAGGTGACGGCCCATACGGGCGCCGATCCGGAGGCAATTCTTTACGACTTGGATAGAGAGTCCCAGAAAGCACAAAGTCAAAAGTGCCAGAATCGCATCCTCGACGTCTCCTTCACGGTGGATGGCAGCTGCATTGCCGCCATCACCAAGGCGCTGAGAGCTTTGCAAGTGAGCCGCGGATTGGCGCGTTTCACGAGGACTGCCTCTTCGTGTGGCAGCTCGCCACTCTGGGGCGACAAGGCGGCTCCCGGCGGTTTTCGGCGGCTCCCGTCTCGCCCGTCCGGTGGCTTTGGCTTTCTCCATTCCCGTGGCAGGACTTCGACTCATCCAGCAGCTCACGATCGACGCGGCCACCTCTCAGGCCGCTCTCCTCGGGCTCACCGTTCCGACCGACCGTGCGCTTGTGCAGGACATCTGGCAGGAGGGCCCCGCCTCCATCCGATTCCTGGCAGAACGCCAACGCAGCGTGGAGGTCGAGGTGTGCTTCCAACCGCTGAAAGCCAGGGTCGCGGATTGAACTGGCCTGTGGTTCTTGTGAAGTGTTCGCCAGGCAATGGTACTGGCCGGGGCCGATGGTTGCAACCTTGCAGTCTACGCGTTCACCAGGGGCAGCCCCCAACCGGCGGGCCTCCCGGTATCCAAACTTCACAGCCAGCACGACAACAGGCGAAGCTCGTTAGGGAGGCCCTACTCCATGTGTTTGGCAGCTAACAAAGGGGGCTAGCTGCAGATTCCCTTCGGCAAGCTGCTGTCTGTGCGGCTCAAGGGTAAGCGCTACGACTCGCTGTCCCGTTTTGGGTTTTCCGAGAGCGGGCAAGAGAATTCAAGATCTGCCCGTTCTCTTGCGGTATTCCTGCATCCCGAGAGCTTGTTGGTGCCGTCCGAAGGTCGGCCACCTTTTGCAGCACATCTGCTTTGGAACCCGAGGACAGGGGCCCGATTCTAACACCTCGATGCCCGAGCACGCTTGGACGCCCTTAGAGTCGTCGCCAGAGGCTCCGGCGTGAGGGCCGTGTTGGAGGTCGACAGCATCATGCCTGGGCCCTGACCGGAGCGACTCGGGCAGCAGGATTGGCAGAGCCCAGGCCCACGTCCCTGGCATTGACATTCTGCGAGAAAAACTGCTCCGCGGTGCTGCCGTTGGCAACTCACTTTTCTTCGTCCTCAAGGCTCGGACAGTGATGTCTGGCCCGGAAGATTTGGAGCCCGTTACACCAAGCAGATTCCAGCTTGTCCTGACTTCTCTGACCCCAGCAAGATGCCCGCCAGGATCGCTTTTCCCTATGTTCAGCGCTTCGTCCACGAACTGCCGGCATTCCACTTGGCCATTATGACCGGGTGGGTACAGTTCTCGGTGCAGAGTGTCCCATGAATCTTTGTTATGCTTGACGGAGTCGTGTTGCAAACAGCACTATGTATCGTGAGACCATGTCCAGCGCTGGACGCTGGATGCCTCTGCCATGGCAAATGCTCAAGTTTTGCAGGACTGCCCTGGACAGCAAGAACGTACGCACCCTATTCCTGTACCGGATCGTTCTCAGACGACGGGAACAGGCTCGAGAGTTCCCGTTGTCTCTGCTGTTGGCTGTGTACATTTTGAATGTTCTCCGGGAGGGTGTGTGTGTATAATATATATATATATATATATATATATATATATATATATATTCTATATATACATATACTTATGTCTATAAAGGTATGTATGTATATATATATATATATATATATATATATGCATATCTGCATATGTATATATGCATGTATATATGTACATATATGTATATGTATAATATATGTATATGTATACATACTTACATTAACACACACAACCATATTTCTAAACCCATATTCCTACACCTATACACGTGTTTGGGTATATGTGTGTGTATGTATATATATATATATATGTATATGTATATGTATATGTATATGTATATATATATATATATATACGCATGTATATATACATACACACACACACACATTCATACACATACACATGCACATACGTACATACGCACATCAACACACACATACATAAAACATATTTCACATACATACATACATACATACATACATACATACATGCATACGCACATACATACACACATGTACATACATATATGTATAGAGTATACATACACAAACACACAACATGCATATGTACATGTATGCATGTGTTCAGGCGTTGCGTTCGATCGAGAAAGCCCGCTGTACGCAAGCTCACGCGGAAAGCATACGCAGCCAAAAACATGGGTTGTAGGATTTGGTGGAGATGCCAGAGCCAATTTTGGATGATGGGAGTTTTAGAGCGTGAGAGTTTTGTTTCTTGGAGTTTCGGTTCTCACAAGAATCCAGATATCAACACTCAGAATTTGCACAGTTCCTTGCATTTTTGGAATTTTGCATTTTACAGGAATGGTGCCCGTTGGATGGGCAGTTCTACTTGCGAAGAAGCACAGCATTGCTCAGACGTTCGAAAGAAAGCTGTATGGGGTGATGGGCATGAGAAATGAGAAAGTCAGAGACTCGAATGTCGGCACGTGATTGGGGGTGTCGTATGTAATATAGCTATATATATATATGTATATACGTATGTAGATGTATGCATGTGTATATTTTTTATATCTAACATGTACATCTTTCTCTATATCTATGTCTACATCTATGTCCGCGTCTATGTCTACATCTAGATCTATATCTGTAACTGTATCTATCCCTCTCTCTTCTCTCCCTGACCTTCCTTCCTCAACCTCTCTTGCCGAGCCTCTCTCCCCCAGCCTCCCTTCGCCAACCTCCCTGCTCCCCTCGTTCCCTCTGTTTCATGTTTAAAGACACGGAGCTTGGCCGAGAACGAACAACGAAGGTAGATTTGTTCTGCCGACTTCGCTTTTTGCAGGGCGCTACTCAGAGCAAGCACGAAGTGATCGTGCACACGCCGGTCAGATCCGATCTGCTCGCTCCAGAGGACCGGCTAGCCAGATAGCTGTGTCAATTCTGTTACGATATCGTTGCTGTCTCACACGCCCGGGTGCACATGCACGTCCACAGATGCAAAGTGCGAGCACGTGGCAATCACGTAGCGAGTGAGTGCCGATCGGGACGCAAAACTGGAAGCGATCCATGTTGTTTCGGCAGATTCACATTCGTAAGCGTGTAGTGTAGCGACGTCTTTTCATTGCCCTGGTCAAGCAAGGTGAGCGTCTACAAGTTTGCTTGGATGCTTCCATGGCGTGCACATGGGAGTGCTCGCAGTCTTGTTTTCAGGAGGCCCCGGAGCTTGCCAGTCCCAGTCCCAGCAGCTCTAGCGACAAAGGTCCGCCGGAGGACGCTGGGGCACAGAGCATTCTGTGGACATGGCAATCTCAGCCAAGCTTGGGCTTGCGGCCCTTGGGGCCGAAGCCTCGTGGAGGAGGATGAGCCGGCGGTGGTTGACGGCTGGGTGCGAGCCTCGGAAGACGGTGCTGGTCAAGTCCGATTTGCTTGGCCACCCTTCTAGACCGCGCCGAGGCGAATGGCGCCCAGAGCGGAAGTGGCGCCGACGCCGAGGTTGAGGTACAGACATCAGCGCGACAGCAGCAACACAGATGAGGGGTTTCAGCGATGGTCGGTGCTGTCCGCTTGTCAGGACAAGGTCGGCGATGGATCCGGCGACGGACTGCCAGCCGATTCGGCATCTGCCCCAGAGCTTTGGGACCCTGCACTCGTAAAAAACCGTGATACTTAAGAGAAGCAATCGAGGAAGCTCAAAGCTCACAGGCGAGAGGTGCAAAAAACGATTAGGGTCACCTCTGCGCAGAGACGTCCGTTGTGAGATCGGTCCTAGGGCGTGCTTTCAGGACGCAAGGGCTGGTCTCTTTCTCGTTGTCCTTGTTTTTGACACCGGCAAAGCCAGTCCGCTCCAGGCCGGCAGCGCCACGAAGAAGCCGGAGGAGTTTGTGATACTTGGCAAGCCAAAGAGCATCCTTTGTTCATGATTCATGACGCCTGAAAGCCTTGTAGGTGAGTCAGGCATGTCCCCCCCCTGGTGCAGGTCCATCGCCCCAAGCTTGAGCTGGAATCCAGCGGGTATGTTGTGAGAGAGTGTCAGAGCAATGAGGGTCGGTCGAACCTAGCTCCAGAACTGCTTCGTTAAGGAGTCGAAACGAGTTTCCCTTCAGGTTTAGGAGATTTTCGTCAAGCAGCAGCAAGTCTGCCCCAGGAAGCGGATTGCAGCCTCGTTCGTCCTCGGGCTTTCCAAGAAGTGCCTGTGCTGAATTACAAGACTTGCTTTACGGTTTCGACCGTGGAGCGATTGGAGCATCCTGCATTCAGCAGCAGTTCTTAATCGGCTACTAATCCTGGAGGCTGTTGCTTCAATGATTTAGTGCACACCTCTTACAGTGTCAGTAGGCATGGGTCCTCAGGCCCGCGTCACAGGTTGGGTGCTAACTAGATTGGATGCCGCCTTTGCCACAGCTGGCGAGGAAAGAGCACCTCGCAGACAAGATAGTTCAAGAGGCAAGGCTCGACTGCGTGCGACTCTCCTTTCCGTCTGAGTCCATCTGCCGCTGGAGGGTTGTTTTTGTGCTTTTGGAGGTTGTGAGCCTCTTGAAGAACAACGGGCGGGCTGGCTGCATGCAAAGTTTATTTTGGTCTGGATCGGTCGGTGATTGGAGCCCCTGTATGCAGCGGTGTAAGGCTCAGGATTGGGAGAAGGGGTGTGCAAATGGGGTTTTCAACCGGAAGTCCCAAATAGCTTGTTGCAAAACAGACCCCACACCTTGAAAATCCCCAATAGTCAGCTTGCAGGAGAACGGGACTTTACAATTGACATTTTCGCGAGACCGCACCCTGCGAAAGGGAATTTCCCAAGAGTTTGCTGCAGTTGGGAGTTTCCGAAAATGTGGGACCCTAGTCTAGTACCCTAAATAGGAGGATCCTTATTATACGGACCCCGAAATAAGGTGCCTCTAATTTTCGGAAACTCCCAGTTGGAAGTTCCCAAAAGTTGGCCGCGAGACAGGATAGACGCCAGGTCCCGGAGGCTCTCAGGCCCTAGGAGCAACGAGAGGAAAAACCACCCGAAAAGGCTTTCTTCAAAGGTTTGTGACCACTTTTCACTGGAAGGCCTGGTGTAACTGCAAGGCTCAAACTTGAGAAGAGGATCTTAGCACCGTATGCGGTGAACAGTATGTGCACCAAAGCTTCGGCGCAAGGAGCGCTGGCCAGTCGGATCCGGCCATGATGGACCAGGCAGGCGATTCACCGTGTGCTTATGTGAAGCATTGCATATTTCACGACGATGAGAGGTACTTGCCAAAGTGCGAGAGGCCCGCGAGGCCAGGAGAGAGTACAACCGGACCGACCGGGTAACATACAATACAGTCAGTATTTTGCATTTTGCTTCCTTGTCTTGTGGTTCTGGCAATCTTGCTGTGATGGATAAGGTCCAAAAAGACAGCGACAAGAAGCTGCAAGATGCAGTGCGAGAGGCTTCTGGGCCACTCCATAGCACAAGAGTCCACAAGAGATGCATAGCCGCGGAGACCGCTCAGCTGATGGTCGACACCTGAATAATCCGAAAGCGTGGTCTTGTAGGTTCCGATTTAGACTCTGTAGGCCACCGATGCCTGGGCAGAGACTTCTGCGGCGAGCATGTCGTCTCTGATGTCCAAGGCGACATGGGCTGGCAGTCTTGCAGAATGTTTGGGATGGTTCAGTGCGCCAGGGCCTACACATGTGGAACGCTTCCTAGCCTGCGATGAGGAGTTTGGGAAGATGTCTCAGGGAGTGGCCTCGAACCTGGCGCAGCAGCTCTCCCAATCTCGGAAGTCCGGGCCTCAGAAGTTCAAGTGGAAGTTCTTGATAGAGGATCAGCGAACATCCGGAGAAGTGAGGCGGTGAGGCAACAGCTAAGGGTTCAAAGGTCGGGAAAGGCAACATTCTTCGGAGGGGTAGATCGCAGATGACACGGGGGTTGTCGCGAAATTTGATCAGACGATGAAATCAAGACTTCCCGAGCAAGCTTGTTTTGCTGCCTGGTCATGTATGAGGCCGTGCACAACATGTTCAAGACTAAGTTTACTGCTCAACAGAATGCGGCAGAGGTTCTGCGAGACCTTGGCAAGAGGCGTTCACAAGTGCGGTGCGGCCGCAACCAAGCAGGCGAACTGCACGGGTGTCCCTGAAGTCTCAACCTGAGTCTTTAGGCCGCCAGTGACAGGATAGGAAGGGACTCTGGAGCTCGTCCCTTCCAGGATTTTTGGCTTTCCAATGTCAAAAATCGTAGAGCAGGAATACTGCCGGGCAAAGGAGAGGAGAGGATTCAGGGAAGCTGGGATGCGCGCAGAGATGCTCAGAGCCTCATGGCAGGCCTTGGAGTCCTTTCGGCCGCCCAAACAGCTCCAGGAGGCCGTGGGTGCCGCCCTTGGGGAGGCCGCTCGGGGCCCGCTTACGCGCTCTTCTTCGAGGGGCACGCGTGTTGCACGGGTCTGAAGCTGCAGAGCACTGCGCCAGGCTCTCCAGGAGTCTCTCGCACCAGTTTTCAAGGCGGGGGCGAGTTCAATCTCGGGGCGAGCCAGAAAGAAAGCATGGACCCGTTTTACAAGAATTGAGGCGGAAATCCAGTCACACTTCGAGAACGAGCTCGGGCCCTTGATCGGTCACCGGGTTCAGGACTCAGGGCTCCTGGAGAATCCGAGGAGCGGCCCTTCCCTCACACCCCGCAATGCGACCCGAGGTCAGCGAGATGCTGACCGCTTTCCGGGACTCCATGACGGACTGCCTGGAGGCCTTGCGGCCTTCAACGGCCAAGCGCGGAGACGAAAACTCCCTGGCCAGTCCATCGCTGCGGAGCACGAGCAGGCGGCCGAGCGACTCGGCAGTGCCCGGGCGGCAGCCGGAGTTGCAGAGTCTCGGGTCCTACGTCCTACGCCTCTGCCGAGTTTGGGGTCCGGTCCAGGAGACTTGGCCCCGCTCATAGCAGAGGAGCTGAGACAGGCAGGAACCTCAGCCTCTGGCTCTAGTAGACCTTGACGACCTAGCAATGAATGATTTAATAATTAATAATTACCGTGTTGACTCGGGGTCGTTGTGCATTGGCAAAACTTCCACTCGTCCATGCGACAGGTTCGGCACTTGGTGCAGTCCTCGTCAGGCAGGACGGACATGAAGCTAGCGCGAATTTTCATTAACCGGTGCCAAACAAAGGGCTGCTCAATACTCATTACGCCTACTGGTAGTAGCAGTGACATAGCAATGACCAGCAGCATGGTGCCCGTAAGCGCTGCCGGTGTAGTCGTCGTCGGCGGCAGTGTTGCTGTCCAATGCACGTTAGTATCCCCTGGTCTGTGAGAGCTGCGATGACAGGCGGATCCAGTACCATGCAGGAGGCTGCATGACTTCGCTTGCGCAGAGCAGACGTTTCATGATTTATACTTGTCCTGTTTTGCAACACGGCATTGTCCGGACGAGACTCGCCCTGTTCGCACCAGCCTGAGAAGGCAGAGTTGGAGGAGCTCGTGCGAGCTGTGGAGATGGAGGCCCCTTGGAGTCGTATGCCCTCGCGGACAGCGTTTCTCTGCAGCGTGTCTGCCTCGCCAGCACTAGTCAGTAGCTTCGCCAGCTCTCTGTGAACCGCTGTCAGCGGCTCTCTGGCTAGTTCTGCAGGTTGTCCAGCCCTTGCACGCGCGAGTCAAGGAGCTGACTGCACAAGTTCAGGCAAGATGTCAGCCACGAATTGCCGCAGTGGATGCGGTGACGGTTTTCGACTTGTCAAGGTAGGCTTAGGTCCGGCAATGGAGTCTCATCCCCGACAGCAAATCAGCCTATCACCCGACTCCAAGTCCCAGTTTCATGTCTCCACAGCGCCATTCTGAATGCGAGTGCCTTTCTCTCATGTCATTTGGTGCCCCGATGGTTTTTCAGGCATTGCGTGAAGAAGCGGTGGAGCTTCAGCGTCGCAGCGCAGAGAGCCAAGGCACCTGCCCGAACCTGCTATGAAGAGCGATGGCGCTTTGATGAGCGGAAAGCAACAATGAATCACTCAAGCACAGGGAGTTCCAGTTGTACCGTGGACCAGTGGGGCCGGCCTTGTGATCGCGAATGGCTTGGAAGTAGCTGCCACTGACCGACCCATCAAAGCGTACAGCTACTTGCAGGCGAAAGTCAACGAACATCCCAAATCACGGCTTCCCTACTGTGCAGGTGTGCGAGAGGTCACCCCCGCGTCTGAGGCTGCGCAGGCACAGGGTGGAACCTGCCTTGCAAGAAGTGTGAGCCCTCGCAGTCTCCAGAGGGAGAGTTTGCCCAAGGTTTTTTCTGAATTTTGCTGGGGCTTTTGGCTGGTCCCTTGTTGCTCTGTTCCACACACAAGGCCTCCTTTTGGGTGTCGCTGCAAACTCCCTTCTCCCGCCGACCAGGCGAAGGAGCTGGAGAGCATGTTTCGTCACGGTCGTGCAGAGCCCTCGGAGTTGCAAGAGACTTCGGCTTGCAGATCTGCGGATTTCACGAGTCACGCATTGCGGCAGCCGGTGCTCCGGCAGAAGCTCTTCTTTGTGTTGAGAGCGGTGTGTCAAAGCAACGCATTGAGCCCCTGGTAAGCCCTGCCAAAGGTGGAAGACGCTTTTCTGCGTGCTATCCAAAAGCAGCGCCAAGCAAGACACTGTGATTTCCTGGAGTACGCCTGCCCTGTGTTCTGCAACGCTCTGCATGAGTGGTGTTGGAGTTTGAGCAGGAGTTGCCGAGAAGACTTCCATGCTGTGCTGTCCGATGTGTCCTCGGTGCCAGGTGCCTTTGTGCTCTTGTGCCAGAGCCGGAAGCCTGGCTCACAGAGGCTGGACGGGAGAACCCGCTGCTCCATGTTGAGCACAGCTCTTCCGCTGCCCAGGATTCTTCTGGAAGCCCGATTTCTCCTCAGGTGCCGCAGTTGCGAGTTGACTGAGTCTGGAGCGTTGTAGATCCCTTCCTCGACTCACCATCCTCCAGGAATTAGAGGCATTAGAGGCAGTTTACTGAAAGCCTTGGAAGCAGCTTCCGTCTGCAAGTCTCGTAACACCTCGCGACAAGCTTTCATGCAGCTTTGCCTTCAGGTCAAGATGAAGCTCATGCACGCGCTTGCACTACAGTTGTCCGAGAGGCTGGAGGAGCCGGTCTTCCTACGGAAGGCGGGCCTCCCCTCCCCTCCTCGACTGCTGCAGGCTCTTCGCAGCCTCGTAGACGTGTAGACTTCGCCTTCCTTGCTTCCGGAGGTGGATTGGATACAAGAGCTCTGGCTGGCCATGGACCTGGAGGACGAGGCTTGGGCCCCGTTCTCCAAACGGCCACTCCCAGAGCCGCCTTGGGAGGCTGTGGATCGCCAGGCCAAAGGCCTCTGTGCTCAGCTCATCGAGGCAGAAGTCGCCCAAAACCTGTGCAGCCTGCGCGCTCCACTCCTGTCGGCTCTCGCAGGCCTTGGACAGCGCGCAAGCTGAAGGGGCTTCGAAAGAGCAGGCGCTCTTTGGCAATGGAGAGTTGCGTCCGGAGTCCAGAGACTCGCATGACAGTTTGCTTGACCCAGAGTGCAGCAGTCCGCAAAGTGTGCGCAATGCGAAAATGGGAATCAAATCTAAGTTGCAACGCAAGGCGACCAGAGTTAGGTTGCATTCTGATTGGATCTGCCAGCTCTCTTGTGCTTGGCCTGCTGTTTCGCTGCGTAAGGCCAATCAGACATGGCCCGTCGAATTTTACGACATGAGCGGTCCGTTTGCAGGCACTCCGGAAGCTGAAGCGCACACTGCAACAAGTCGGAGTCCAAGCGACGTCGACGTCGGCTGCAGCTGAGTCGAGCGACGGCATGCTTCGAGGCGAACATTCGCTTGAAGGTATGTGGTAAGACTGTTTAGGAATACTGTAGAAGCAGTAATAGTTGGTACTCTGTATCAAAGCCTGCCAAGAAACACCCTAACGACGAGTCACGCTTCGTTCTTCGAGCAAAATTCTTTGCAAGTACACGTGCCTAACGAAAGAACGTTCCAAGTAGACGGCAGCTCCAAGGCGGCGAAGATGCTTGCACGCGACTGACCTCTGAGAGCTTGCGGCGTCGGGACATCCTTTAGAAAGCTTGTCTGTGGCTGGGCGAGGTCCATGCTGTGCCAGGGCAGACAAGCTCGCAGGCTGTGTGGAGGAACTGTGCTGTCATACAGGACAGGAAAGAGGAAAGGCTCGATCGAGCCTCCAGGCCCGTTCTCAACGTGGCTGAGAAGCAGGCTTCGGAAATGAGCTGCTTCATCAAATTTACTCGGTCCAGGCCAGGCGCGGCGTGGCAGGTGCTGTGTTGCACGGAGACAGCACTTGAAATCTGCCGGACATGTCGGGGAAGGTAGCATGGCTGAACCGCAGAGCTTAGACTGATGGCAGGGTGGCAGGTGCAAAAAAGACATCTCGATCAGGGCAGACCGTGACGGACTCACATCGGCCAATGGTCCATGGATCAGGTAGCAGTGAACATGCATCATCCTGCCGATGTCTCCTGACTTGTGGGGCTTTGCAGCTGTTACCACACCATCTTGCTGTCTGCATCACGAGCACCCCAGCCCAAGCCTGCAAAACCGACAGCAAAGAAAGAAGCAGAGACCTTTGCCTCTCGCCTATGGAAAGCTCGGTCACAAGACCAGCCATGGGCTCCGCCGGCAGATACCTACACAGACCTTGAGGACACCCTACGGCGTGCTGCTTGTCAGCAAGTCCATCAGAGACTGATGCATCAGACTGGCATCAACTCGATCATGACCCGTGCAAGCATGGAGGAACCAGTAACTAGGCTTTGGTGGTGGTTACCCGGCAATGAGAGCGGTGTTGCAAACAAAAGGTGGCTCATGGATCAAGAAGGCCAGGAGCCTGACGAGGAGGATGATGCGAACTCCGTCTCTGTGGTCACTTGGTCTGACTGCGGCCGTACCAGTGACAGCCGGTACCAGAGCATTCATGGCTTGTTGAGGCCAGCTTGACGGAAGATGAAGCCCTGCTGCAGTGTGATTGGTTTGCCCAGCCCTGGCCAGCGATCTTAACTGCAGTCGTGTGGTATAGTATTTAAAGCTTTGCAAATGAGCACGACACCGTGTAGGAGTGTCCCTCTCCCCAGCGTCCTAACGTGAGGAGGTGGCAGCTGCCCTTCGAGAGTACCGTGGCATCCTGACGCGTAAGATGCTCAAGAAGGCAAGAGATGCGGAACAGCCCAATGTTCTGGGGGAAACTTGTTGTTTTGACCACGTTCTGCCACCTGCAGGCTCGTCGATCCCGAGCAAAGGCGAAAAGCGAGGAGTCGCTTTGAGACTTGCGAAGTGCAGACCGGTGCCGTACAGAGCGTTTGTTGTCCGCGTCAACCCAGGAGGCCCAGGCTGCAGAGCAGAGCGGGCCCAGTCGGCGCCGCTTCTATGCGAGCCTTGGCCCTGCTTTGGCGCGGATCTAGGTCCTGGGTGGGGGATCAGTCCCTCTGGATATCCTTACGGTGTTCCGAGGATGACTTCGGACAGGCTTGGAAACGAGAAGGCCGCTCTGCAAAATTGATGAACCCTGATTCCCGCGCATGTACGTTGGAGGACGATGATATGTGATCTCTAGGACCGTGCTTTTTTCGGTACATGGCCGAAATTCTTAACTTGCTCTACAGCACCAAGCGAGACGGAGGCCTTGGATGGCTCCTGGATCGACAAGCTGCAAGAGCTCTTGGATGACACGGCCGATGCTCTTCAAAGCTTCAGTAGAATTTCCCAATGAAGCAATGCTTGCCTTATGGCCGTTCCAGAGGGATGCAAACGGTTCGAAGTTGCGAATTGGCGAAGCTGTTTCGCTTTTCGATCCTTCTTTGCTCTGAGGATGCCTACGGGGCTCGAACCGAGTGGCAAGCCGAAGTGCATGCGGCGGTGCCTTCCTCGGCAGCCATTTGAGCCCATGTCATAGGCAGTGCCACCACGAATCCTCAAGAGAGATCAACTCCGTAGAGCGATTGTCTTTGCAGCAGCAGACAGGGGTGGCATGGGTTTAGCGGTTTAGCAGCTGCCGCAGCAACAGTAGTAAAATGGTTACAGCAGTCAGAACCAGCCGTTATCGAGCCGCGATGACTGATGTCTGCACAGTTCCTAGCCGCAAAAGATGAACGGTTCTTCTTTCAGGCTAGTGATACGGATGGTGCTCTTCAGGAACTGGCTGTGATGGGCATAGTTGTATTCCAAACAACCGTATACAACCGTTGCAGTGGTGGAGACCTTTGATGCTGTTAGCAATGCAACTGTGCAAGCCATGCAAGCTCGGAAACCGCACGTACCAGGAGCAGAAGGAGCTGAGAGATCAGATAGGTGGCTACTTGGGCAACTTCTTCCAGGCACCTCCGTGGTGAGTTGAGCAGCTTCAAGGGTTGGCGACTGCTGTGCCTGGATGCCGGGGAGATACGGGGGGAGTCCAGACGGGCTCGGCTTCGCAGGTAGGCAGCGATAGCATAGACGCCGTGACTGGGCATTTGGTGCAAGTCTGGCGCTCTTTGAACACTCCAATGGAAGCATCTGGGGCTCTTGTCACTCGGCCGCCAAATTGTGAGCACGTGTGTTCGTGGTTTGCTTCCGAAGGGGCCCCGGAAGCGGCAGCCTCCAACCAACTTCCCCCGGCTGAGGAACCGCGAGACGCGGCACCAGACATGGACATCGCGATGCGGGAGGTGGTGCAGTCGCTGAAAGAAGCTTTGTGGCAAAGTCCGCGGAACCTTCAGTCCGCTAGTCCGGCGAGCTATAACGAATAATCTCGATGATGAGCACTGGCCAAGCTAAAGTCGACGTCTGAAATCCGAAGCACCGGCTGCATTCTGCTCAGCCACTCGCACTTCCTCGAAGCATGTAAGAATCATGGCGGGGATTATCCCAGGAAGCGAGAGACATTGGCAGCTCTCGTGCGAACAAGATGTCCCACCAGTGGTTTGCCTACTTGACGAAGGAGGCCCAGAGTCGCAGAGCTGCGAAGCCAGAGTTTGTTGTGGGAGCCGGGCCGGGAGCTGGCCATGTTGCTTCTCCGTGTCTCTGTTTGCGTGAGAGGTCTTCAAGGTTGAGCAGTTTGGGGAGCACCAGCGGATCCAGAGCTTGGAGCAGCTGAAGTCCCATGGCTGAGACGGGTCAGCAGAGGTGTGTCCTTTGAATTGAATCCGTTTGAGTATGTGTTCAGGTCTCGTCTTCGGCTGCATCACGCGTATGAGGACCTGACAGACCGCTGGGACCGGATGGACAACTTGAATATGGGCCTCGAAGAGGCCGTCAACAACAAGGCGATCCTGGGCCAGGCGGTGGAGCATGCCGAGAGTTTGCTGAATCAGCAGGTCGAGGCAGATTTCCACAAGACTTTCCAGAAGGAAACGAAGCAGCTGCTCCTACAGGCTGCAAAGGCTCGTGCGGATTTGGTTGGACAGGTCGAGAACGTGGTGAGGCACCGCGGAGTGCTGCGCTCTGAGCTCCTGATGCACCTCGGGGAGTTCAACGACAAACTCAAAGCCTGGCATGTGAGAGCAAGCAAAAAATTCCAGGAGGGCATCCTTGAGTTGAAATCTGCCAGGCGCCAGGCAGAGAACCGAAAGAAGACTGCGGACAGCACGCTGCAAACGATCAAAGCTCAAGTGCAGAGCATTCAGTCCGAGCTCAGTCAAATGCTGAGTCCATACACCGGCAGTCAGATGGACATAGAAGTGGACTTCAGCACCTTCGAAATCATATCCTGTCCAGCCAAAGATGTCATGGTGTCCCGTATCTTGCAAACCGTTGCTGACCGAGAAGACGCTATCGTGCCCAGCTTGGTCTTGTCTGCCGTGAAGGACCCATCTTCCACAGTTCTCGCTTTGTTTCTGCTTTTGAGGCAGGTTGGGGACACTTACTCTCGGTGCCCTGTGGAGGATCTCGTGAACCGGAGTCCTATCGAGCGGCTTCAGAAATCCACTGCGGCACTGGTACCTGAGCACTCCCTCTGGCAGGATTGGTCAGATGCTGCAGTTGCACGTAGCCACAGTCAGTGCAATCCTCTGTCCGGACTTCATCCCCCGCTCTCCACCCCCGTTTTCTCCGAAATCGTGTGCGAATTACGGCCTCGTTCTTGCGAGGACAGGGCGCGTGTTCGGGAAGTGCTGAACTTCGCTGGTGTCCAAGCACAGCTGCGCCACAGGGCACCTGAGCTGAACCTCTGAACCATCCTCTGCCTTCAAGCCTGCCTGCTGTAGCTGTCGCTTGCACGTGCCGGGAATGCACAAGTCCAGTCTCTACAGTAAGTGTTGTTTCTCGTACCGCAGCTGCCTGCGGTGATGACCTTCTCAGACGGGGGATGGGACGTTGTGCTGCCATGTTGTTCCAGGCTGCGGCTACGTCGGACATCGCCCGCTTTCTGGTGGAGAACAAGGGTTTGATGTTGTTGCGTGGGCCGGAAACCCGTCTCTCTTAGTTGGTTTATGATTTGTGATCTGAGCAACCTCCCATGTTAGGCAAGCACGGCTCTTCGCAAAGTTTTGTGCTTGGTTCTTGTTCCAAACAAGGACCGGCCTTTCTTAGAAGAGATCATCAAAGACCTGCGTTCAATTACCTCGGAACGCCACTTGGGTCTTTTTTTTTGTGCGCGGACGTGGCCGTAGCGACAACAGATCCCGGCTTTAGGTTTGTGGTTTGGCTTTCGCAGCAACCAGAGGTGTCAGTGGTGAATGTAGGGATGCTAGTATACTGGGCGTCGCATAGGCATCGAGTAGCCCGCACCGACACAATGCATCCAGCACCTGCTCTGTGAGCCCAGCTTCTAGAAATTGGGCGAAGGCTTGGTTCACTTGCGCCCTAAGGTACGTTCGGGTACAATGCAACAGCAGCCGCGAAGCTGCTGAAGAAGGCTGAAAATTTGCTCAAGGCAGGTGCTGCTGCGTGCGATCAATCCACTCCTTTCGGTTCAACACCGTGGTCACTTGTGGGTCACAACGTACCAGAGTTTCATTTTTCATAAGCTTATACGTCGTACAAATCAGCAACTGCATGTAGCAATAACTACAGAGCCTTCCAGGGTCCGGCGAAGCAAAACTGCACGTTGGGACATGCCGACAGGTCCTTTCGGCTGCGAATTGCCGCGGGAGTGATTTTCGGCGTGGCTGCGTGGGTGCCGAGGCCGGTGCGGATGGCTCGTGTTAGCGTTATAGGATTGAGGATGTAGGCTTTGCTTGCAGGGTGTGGGATTCTGGGTTCAGGATTTAGGATCTGTTTAGGGTGTGCTGTAGGATTAAACGGAAAAGGAGACTCAGAGCAATTTAATTTTGCGTCGCAGGCTTTCGACCGGCGAGCATGCGGTGATACAAGGTGTTTACACGCGCAAGTGCCGTTCGCATGCTCTGGCTTCCACTCGCTCCAGGCAGCTATCTAACCTCCGGCTACACTGCCAGTCTTGTTTGATTTAAATACATATGAGCAGCTGAGCAGGCATCGCTCGTCATGGGCTTGCTGCAGTTTGGACACTCGGCAAACAGCGAGCATCCCATGTTGCACTTCAAGCGGGAACCGAGCCGGTGGGTTCACTGCTAGTGGTCGAGGAAGTCTGAAGTGTGCAATGCATCCCTACAGACGTCGCGCTCCGCTGAGGTGGCCTCGTTCGAGCGCAGCGAGGCTTTCCGTGGAATCGTTCTGAAAAACGCATGAAGTACTAGAACCGCTGTGAGGCAGCTTGTGCACCACTAGAGACTTCTCTTCGATACCGCAAAAATTTCGAACACCGCTCCGAGCTGAAGTGCTACAATCGTAGGCCTGCTCAAGGGCACTTGAAGGCTGAGCAACGGGACGAAGTTATGCGACCGCAACTACTTGCATTCCGCTTTCACATCGTGTTGCATGACCCTGGTGCACCCCTTATACCGGTGCAGGTTGCAAGCTTTTGGCTGCATTGTACAGCTTACGCAGCCTCCAGCTGCGAAAGCAAGCGCTGGGCACAGCGATGGAAGTGCACTTTGCCGTGCATATGGCATTCGGTAGGCAGCCTGCGTTTGGCATTGATCTGTGAATTTGGCTGTACCTCTGGTGACAACGTTGTGGTGTGCAGAGGGAAAGTGCTGCGCCCCGCATTCTGCAGCGAATGGTCTTATGCCAAGGCCGGCAAGCAGACCTGTTTGGGACCAGGCTTGGTTCCTTCAGTTTGTCGAGCCTCGAACGCACAGCGCAGTGCAAAACAGGTCCGGGCTATCGAGGCAGCTTTACGAGCCGTGGATGGTAGTTTGAACATCTTGGCGGAGCAGGCGGGGCTGGGGTCCCCCAATTCTTCCCATCATCGTCGCTAGTATTAACATTATCACCAGTATACTGATACTTCGCTCTTTTTTGAGTATCCTTCTTATGTTCATTCATTACTGGCATCATCTTCATCAAACCTGCTTGGACTACGATGATCTTGTTTTGCCTCGATCACCGCCTTGGTTGGAGCTTCACAGCGGGGAAGATCGGTCGAGCTTTCCTTAGACAGCCGTCTGAACGGCTTCACTGTAGGAAAGAGAGTTGATCGGGCCTCTCGCCCGCTCTCCACAAAGTGGCGGTGACTGTCACGGACCGCACGAGGTGCCCAAGATGGCTCTCCGAGCCGCAACTCAGGGGGAGGTTTGTTCCGACTTCATATACCATGACACAAGGCAATATGACGTCAGCGTGATGGCGCAATTAAGTAAGCTGTATCAACAACAGAGAACCGTGGAAAATGTAGAATTCATACTTTATGGTTATTCAATACATTATTTTCGTGTTCCTCTTACATGTACCCGACATATGTTATGTATGTACATATGCATACATACATTTCATATGTATGAATCGATGTATGATATACATATGTCCTATTTGTTTGTAAAGGAGCGTCTTTATGTTTGAAGAAGTACTTGCTTGCACAAACATACATACATAATTACATACATACACACACATGCATACGTATAGGTCTATACACATGCCTGCACACACGCACAGTCAATAGCACATATCTATCTATCTGTCTATCTATCTCTATATACATATATATATATGTATATATATATATATATATATATATATATGTACACACATGCGTGCATGTGTGTGTGTATATGTGCATATATATATATATATATATGTATATCTACATCTGTACCCCACAGTATCCAGAATTCATAACTATGACATAACCTGTAAGGCAGTATTCAGTCACTAGCACATCATAAATGCTAGATGTCGTATACAGCGTACAACGTAAAGCACATAATGCACAGTATGTGATAAAAAAATACACGACAGCACAAAATTTGTACAGTATAGTGTACAGGCATATCATACCGTATGAAATACAAAGTACCATCATATACCATGGCGTGTATATATATATATATATGTGCCGAAAACTGGGATTTAGAAGAAAGGCGTGGGTACAGGGGGGGGGGGTACCATATATATATATATATATATATGTATATATATATATATATATCAGAAACCTTGTGCACCACATATTATATACCATTAGGCTATACCCAGCACGTAACTTCTGCTATGTTGCACATACCGCACAGCTCGATCACAGAAAAGGAAGCGAATTTCATGTTTCATACGTATGAAATGAGGGTTTCTCGTACACGTTTGACATGTACTACGGGCGATATGATGTATCCTGCACGATACAAAAGGTTCAGAATACGTAACGCATAATTTAGAGTTTATGGCATGGAGTATGTGATGTATAAGTATTGCACAGTGTACAAGATACAATGGAGAACAATATGCATGTGCGATCAAGTGTGTGGGTAGATGTAAATAGTTCAATGTGTATATCGCGGAACATATAACATGCAAGGTTTAGTGTCCAATACTAAATCTTTACGAGTCAATGCACAGTTTTCATTGTAGAATGTGAATGAAGCGCATCAAGTACCAGGTATTTGGCATTTAAAGCATGATTTTCAATGTATATCAGGTGTAGTGCATATCGGACAATATAGACTATGTGGTATATAACCTGTAGCCTATATAGACCATCCCTTACAAATTTAGCGTATTGTGCACAATCTACAAAACAGAATATATTTAATATGTACTCTTGACTGCGTTTTGCTATGTGATTCATCGCCCATATTGAGTCGAAAAATGTAGCATATGCGTTACATACTGGGTGAGATACTAGATATTACTAGACAATACTTGGCCCAATACAGTACGCATGTCATGCATGTGTTGTATGTAATGTGGGTTATGTAGTTATGTTATGTATACGCTGTATATTGTGTGCATCGTGTATGCCAATGATATCTTATGCCATGCTATGCTATGAGATGCTATGCCATGTTCTGTTAGGCTTGGAGCGGCCATGTTATGTAATTGCATGCATGTATAAATATATATATATATATATATATACATATACATATATATATATATATATACATATATATATATATACATATACATATATATATATATATATATATATATGCGCATTCGGCATCTTTCTGTCATGCGTGTGTGCACATGTCTACATTCCCAGACCGCGCCCACATGCAGATACATCGCAGCAGGCAAAGAAGCTTGCGCAAGATGGCAGCACGATTTCCTCGGGGTACAGCTGGGAGCTTGGCAAGCTTGGGTTGGTCGAAGTGCGTGACCAGGAGGTTAGGTTCGAGAAACTTGAGTAGAAATTTACCTTTGTGGGCCAGTTGCAGTTGAGGCCACGCTCTGGAGCAGCTGTTGGAGGCACAAAAAAGCGGTTTACGGTGCAAGTGCCTAAACTCGTACGCACGGCATTGCGCTCTGACCGGGTCCGATCATCCTGCTGGGCACGTGGCAGGTCACCCAGCAGTTGGCGATGCTTGATGGCACAGAATTACTTGTACTTCTTGCTCCATGGGCTTTCCTCGGTCAAAAGACACATTGCATTGGGATGCCACCACCTCTGCCCTCGCCTGATCGTTAGCACCGAGGACAAATCGAAGGATTGATGTGTGGACATCAAAGGGTGTTTCGCAAGAAAAGATCGATGCTGCTGGTGGCGCACTTAGGCAAACCGCAGCGTGCTCTGTTGGACGACATTGTAGCAATAACGTCTGCGCTCACTTCCTCTACATGTTCACTATGCTCAGGCACTGAGACCAATGCCGAGGGCAAGAGTGTGGAGATCGACCTCTTTCCCGATTTGCCAGCCCTGCTGGCAGCGGGGCCTCAAGCAAAGCAGAGTCACGGCAGCCCCGGCTGTGATGCAGGGCAGATGGCCCTGCATGCATTGAAGCACCAGCAAGCAATGCTGAAGATGCATTTCAAACTCCGAAAGTGGCTGCATTGCGCTCTGCTGCCAAATCTGTCTGAGAGAGACTTTGAGAAGACACAAGAGGCTGTGGAGGCCTCGCAGGCGTATCTTCAAGGCCAGCTGCCGGCGGATGAGGCAGACTCAGTCAGCAGCTCGAGATCTTCGGAAAGCAGCGAAGACTCGGCGCCTCTCTCCAGCCCACGGACTCAAAGGTCAAGCACTTTGGGTGCCGTCAGCCCCCTTCAGTCCATGACACCCGGTATAGAACAAGTGGATGACGATCATCGGGGCTCGATGAACGATCTATTGCGGCAGCGTAGCGTTTCGGACATGCTGCATGACAGGCCTGGCCGATCAGCTGTTACTGTGGACTCGAGCCTGCCCAGGGCCAGGAGTAGCTGAGTAGTTTAAAAGCCTAAAGCCAAACATGCGTAGGCCCTATGTGGTCGGTGGTGCCGTTTTTGTTAATGCTTTTCTATTTGGGCGGTTTTGTGTTTCGTTTGCAATCCGTTTTGGGTTTGCCTAAACAAGCAACCAAAGCAAGCAGCTAAGCAAGCAGGCATGTAAGCAAGCATGCAAGCAAGCCAGCATATGTTGGCAGTAGCGGCAGGTGTAATTGGATCCCTAAGTTGCCAGAACCTAACCAAAGCCCTCCACTGCCGGAACCCTGAGAAAAACTCTGCGGCTTAAATCATGAGGCCAGCTTAGATCCCTAAAGAGTGCGAATGCATTATGCGAGGTTTCCTCCATGTACAGGCCATTCTGTGAAAGAATACCATAGTGTTCGCAAGCGCATAAAAAGCCGCCCTCAGGCGCCCATCTGATCCTGTGTTAACCGCAGCCGCCCCGCCCTGTGAACACCTTGTTCCCGGCGCCGAGCCTTTCGATTGCAAATTCTTTCGCAAACTGCAGGCGCTTCGATGCAAACTTGTCCCAGCGGATGTCTGAACGGTTTGCTGCCAATGCTGACAGTTCCCTGGGCAATGCTTAGACATGCCATGGTCGCGTAAGGGCAGGGTAAAGGGACTGGCGATGCTAGGCTTGTTGGAGTTGATCCCACATGACCCATTGAACAAGAGCCACGTTTAACACGGCAACCGCTGACCACTTGTGCGAGCGTGATCATCCTAGATTGCTAGCTCAACGCCGTTTCGAGATAAGTGCCTGGCCTACAAGTAGCATGACAAGCTTCAATTCCAGAACCCTAACCTCAAGAATGGTAAGTTAGCGTGGGTCGCTGGGACATTGCGTGATAGGGCCCAACCCAACCGCTCTTCCCGCGTAGTGTGCAGAAGTTCACGCAGATGCAAACTCAACTGGCACACGCGATAGCACTGCAGAGGTTCGCATGTGTGCTTGAGTGAAAGCCTCACGCGTGCAGTGCCGCACAGCCCAGGCTACAAGGAAGCCCTGTATGAGAGCTCTCACGAGACAGACTTGGCCTCATCTTCGGAGGCTGGAGTTCTCAAAGTCGGAAAAATCAGGGACCGAAACCCTGCCAGGAGCAGGTCTTGCCTTACGAGGTTCTGCAGCAGCGCTCCCAGGCCACATTTCTGAGATGGGCCTCCTCGGCACCGCCGAAAGCCGCTGCAAAGCCAAGAGCTAAAGCAAGAGGAGGGATCAAGCATGGCTCCAACTGGGCGTTGAAGGCTACGGCCGGGGAGGCGTCCAGCTCGTCTCCTTCGCCAAAGTCGGGTCTCGCGAAGTTTTCGCCGAGGGTCTACAGGGATCTGGCCGGTCGGCAAGTGGCACAAACTTCCTCACGGCCAACGAGTGGAGTAAGTGGAGCCAGCATGCCAGGCAGGCTTGGAGGACATGAGGCCGAAGCCGGCGTGGCGAGCGACTCGGATGCTGACACGTCGCGATACACCGGTCAGAATTCCAGCCCCGAGTTGACCCCGCGAAGACAGCGGATGTTGGTCGCAGACCAGGCCGATCCGGACATCCGGGAGATGAAAGAGACTGAAGAGCTGGAGACGGTCGCAGGTGAGGTCCATGATCGGCAAGAGCACCACGTCCGCCACTCCTTGCGGCATAAGCCCAGACTGGTCCAGGAATCTGTGGATGCCTCGTCCTTGGTGCTGGCAACAAGTAGCACAGCACGTGGCAGAACCCATCAGTACCCACAGCCTGGCAAGCCCAGATCCCAGAGCCCCAAAAGCACCAGCCCTCCACCAGTGCCTTTGCACTCTATGCCGGATTTGCGCCCGCCACTGCCGGATTTGCGTCCGGGCGCAATGCAGACTGGATTGCATGTGGCGGCTGCAGAGGTGGGCAGTTCGGCAGGCGATGAGCCCAATCTGCAGTCTACCCCGTCTGCCCCTGTCACTTTCACTCTAGAGGAACTTGGTGAGCCCGAAACAGTTCATCCCACGACAGCCCCGCCAACGGAGTTCACGGCGGAGCCAGGCAAGTTCAACAAGCAGACGATGATGCGAGCGTTCTCGACGAAGCACCAGACGACGGAAGACGACCTTCCGATGGAACTGGATGACGTGGAGGAGGCTGAGACGGCAAGTCTGAATACTGAGAGGGTCCAGAGTGGTGACATTGCCATGGGCTCCATGGACAGGCCGGTGGAGAGAGCAGAGGAAGCTCCAGCTGGAGCGGAGGCTGCGTCCGGTATTTGTGAAGATGGCAACAGATCTGTAGATGGGTCGGAGGCTCTGGAAGATGAGATCGCAGAGACGGAGACCTCCAAAGCCGGACCACTTCACTCCGGTCGGATGCATCACGCCAGTTTGGAGAACATGGAAAATATGGAAAGCATCGACCCTGGAATCGACCCTCAGCCGGAGTTGCTCCACAGCCAGGATCCTCGGCCTCGTGATTTAGTCAGACAGTAACCACTTAGCATCAGCTGGCGGCTAGTGAGACGGCAGGGTAGAGCAAGAGTCTGCAATGCGTCTTTCCCAGTCGGGCTCCTACACCAACGTGGCGCCCCCGTCCTTGGCAAGGCCACCCTACCAGTACTTGTCGCAAGATCCCACGGAAATTTGAGCTTGGGTCGCAGGCCGCGGCCCCGGACGTCGGAGAAGGCTCCGCGACATGGCCGTGCCTTCCCTCCAGGCTGCGCGGAAGCCACTCGGCGGGACCTTCGAGCGTCTCAGGTGCGGAGTTGAAGGGGCATAGGAGAATCCTGGATTGTTCTGTCTTGATCATTATCATGCGGCTTTGCAGCTGTCACTTTCCGATCCCCGGTGTTATGGGCGGCCAGAGTCATGACGCTAGCTCTCGCAAAAGATGCTCACCAATCCATACCTCGTGACGATACTCAGCGCCCCTGAACAACAGTGTGCCGGGGTGTGGACTTCGGAAGGACATCCATGTATATATGGGCATCCTCTTCAAAGTCAGAGGGTTTTGCATACAGGGACGGCAGTTGATGTTCCTGCTAGAAACAGTTCCGTAGTTGCAGAAGCAGTAAAATAGGATGCATGCGATGTCGACTTGGGATAAGGCACCTGCCAGGAGCGGACTGTCTTAAGCCTTAAGATTGGCAGCTTTTCGGAGATGTGTGCTGGCTGTGATGTTCCTGTCACTCCCAGTGCCATGGCTTGTATCTTCAATCTGGATAGTACGTTGTGATGCACAGTGCGCTCAGCAACATCGGATTCTGTCTCCAAGAGTCTTTTGCACCACAATCACTGAAATCCCTTCAGGGGATCACATGAAGCCTACATTGAGGGCTTTACAGTGGCTCAATGGTTCAGCCGCGAGGGTCGAGGGTGTCGTTGAGCGTGCTAAGGCTGACAGAGCTCTGACGGGTCCGCCGGGCACTGCACGTCGACTTCAACTCCATAGCAGGCGCTTTGGGGGACTCTGCCGGAGGGCTAGGGCCGCTAGGACCGGAGAGCCGGAGCGGAGGCCAGCGTCTGCATCGAAGCCTCGTCCTGCCCGGCCTGAAGCCGTGACCGAAGAAACGGAACGTGGCTGGCTGCCTTGGCCAGAGTCCCTGGCATCCAGGCGAGTTCGGTGTGTGCTGGATTGCGGTCTTTGTCCTGTCTGCATGCTCTGGCGATTGTCACAGGTTTCTTCCCGAGTCTGAGAGGAACGACGAGCGGACACCTACTTCTGCGATCGAGACAGCATACTTTGCACCCGTTCATGTCGATGTCAAGACTGTCAGCAAGCAAGCTATGATCGTGAAGCAGTTGCAGCTGGAGCCTCCGTCAGCAGACTCCCAGCAGCCCCAACAACCGTCGCCCGTACAGCCGCAGAAGCCTCAGCAGCCCCAACGCCTGCCACAGCATCCAATGCAAAGACAACGATCCGGGGAAGGGAAGGAAGTGCCTCAAAAGGCTACCGACGAATCTGCTGAAGCTCTACCTGTCCAAATTGCGAAGCCCTGCATCTTCAACAGGGCTTCCACACCGGAAATCGGTCGTCTGATCAGTGATGGGGCCGGATCCGAGCCGCCAGTACTTCCCTATTCAGACTCCTCTTGTACGGAAGAGGTGTCGGTACACGAGAGCGGGGGAAGCTTCCCCGAGGCTCAAAATATGTTGCAGAATGGGTCGCAGGCTCATCCAAGATGTGAGGTCGGTCCAATCCGGAAAGGGCTGCCCATGACGAGACGCGGGGTGGCGCAGCTGCTGAAACAGCATGAAGTTGCCCCAGACGAGCTGTCACTCTGTGGCGAAGCTGTAAAGCCCAGCAAGACACAACGTCGTCCAGCAACGGCTTCCTCGAAAGAAGTTCAGATGCATCACGTCCACTCCGATCCGAGCCCACAGGCACGCGCCTCAGGGGCTTGAGGATAAGTGACGCTTGAGGTGGCACAGCCCGGTTTTTCTGCTTCCGAAGTCGCTCGGAAGGTACCGGGGACGATGATGCACATCAGGATCCCCATCTCGGCCGAGCTGCTTTCAAATGCATTGGCAGGCGATAGCGCAGAAGAGCATGGTGTTGGCAGTGACCAACTGCTGTGCGGCTGGAGGTGAGCGGCCGCGGCGATTATCTTCCAGTTCTCCGAAGAATGTGACGACTCTTAGGCTGGGAAGTGTTGTCGAGATCTTCTTGCGTAGGATATCTGCCCATGCTTGCGAGGCATTCTGCGTGAACCTCGGTTTGGCCACACTGAGCAGCGTTGCAGTCACTCGAACTGTGATTGTGGCGGCAGTGCCTTGAGGTCAGCGCGGTTAAGCACGACCCGCACGAGGAGTGTATATACGATGAGGGCATGCCGGTCGCGCGAGAAGATTCGTCACTGGGCCAAATTGGGCCGCCGTACATGGTCGAGACGCAGCAACAAATACTATATTATCAACAGTAGTGTTGCTGCAGGTTTGCGCTGTGTGATTCGCCTTCGACGACTCCTCTGGAATTCACGCCGACATTCCACGTCACGTGGCCAGCATTAGTCGACGATGTGCCCCCAAATCCTTTGGAGGACCTTGGACCCTGAGAGTACTTGACCTATGTGTGATGCGTTACCAAGACAAGAGACTGCCTTGACGGGTGCTGTGTTGCAAACGTTCGCCGCAGACCCCTTCATCCTCCTGCATCGTTCCCGAACAGAAGCTGCCAGACTCCCCAGCTGAGGGACCGAGGCGTACGCGGACGATGACAAAGGACGACTCCCCCTATTCTCCTGCAGATGCAGACGGGCCGGAAGTGTCGCGGCATGCAAAGACCCGAGTTCCGAAAGCTTACCAGGGCGGCCTGACCTCGCCTGGCCCGCCTGACCTCGCAGGGAGTGTCCTTCCACTTGGACTCGGCTCTTGGCACTGACGCGGACACTTCGAACTTGAATTCGAGAGTTGTGACCGCGACGGACTCCATTGAAACAGCGAGTTTCATCAGACCGCCGTCACAGAAGGCCGGGTGCCAAGCCCGCATCAAATCAATCGCTTGGTTTGTCTGTTGCACGTCACGCGAACCTTGGTCCAAAACCTGTGAGAACACCTAAACTCCTAAACAATCTGTACCATCTATGAGCCATCCTATCGCCACCGCAATGAGCGAGAGCACAGCGTCTAAGGGCCCAGTTGCATCTCCGCCTCTGGGGCCCTAAAGCAAGAGTATCAATTGTATAAAGTAGGGGCCTACATATTTACCTATACTATTTTGGGGGGTTTCTTATTGTAATCGTAATATGATGGGCCCCAAAAGCCTTATTATTATCCGATATCCCTTCTGACAGAATCTGTGGCTAGTTGAGGTAGACCCTCGACGCATAGGTGGCCCAAATTTGGTCGGTTTTTGTTGCAGAGATGCTGCCTTCTGCTTCAAGAAAAGGGTGCCTCGAGGCAAGAGTAAGATTCTTTCATAGCCCGCGCCTTCATGCATCTATTGGAGTGACGGATGCTCCTTGTGCGGAGGTTGCTGGAATGCTGATGCGATCTCGATATGCGCCGATGTTGTCGATCCAAACCGTCAGCATCTCCGATCACATGAATCGTTCCAAGCCTTCAGAGGACCCGCAAGGATTCTTCAGCTCACTTAAGTACCTGCTTGCGACGTGCTCGCAGGAAATGACTACCGCACTGCCTCAGCACAACCACAGAAATGCTGGGAGCCCAGTAGATGGAAGCCAGTGAAGCTGGCTGGTATTGAGTGATCCGTTTTTCCGCTTCGAATCCAGTCCGGTGGTTGGCAGTCAAAGCATGTGCAGGAGAGCCATCCAAGACCAGCTCCAAATGTCGCAGCCGGACGCAACGTCCGCGCTGCAGACCCGCGTCAGTGGGAGGGCACCTTGACCGCTTGAAACTTCGTCATGTTGTGGCAGAGCACAAGAGCGGCTATGAGCGGCTTAAGGCTGGCAGCTCCGACCGCCAAGTCTGTTGCCCAGCGCTCCGGTCGCGATGGCGACTGTACCAGAGCATGCAGAGGTGCGGATGGGATCACGTAACAGCTTTAACTCGATAACAGCTTTCTGGCCGACCTGTTGCAGACTGAGCTTGGATTCTAGACTTCTAGGGTGTCCTCCAAGAAAGAGCAACACACGCAAATTGCGACATCACGTTTTGGTCGTTGGTTCCTGAGTTGCCAGGGAAGCCAAGGCAAGCAGCAACGCCCAAGTTGAGGGCATGGCCAAAACGCCTCTGAACCCGGCGAAGCACAACATGCTCGATCCGCAAAAGTAGATTGCAGTGGAATCAGCGGTTCATTTTGTTTTTTGATTTTCATGAGCCGACGGAGGAGAGCTTGCGCTCCTGGCGGGTCAATCGACCCAGCTCCGCCTCAGCTCAGCCCAAAGTGCGTCCGAAGACGCCCAGGCACGGAGGTTGGAAAGACCAGGAAAGGGAACTAGCAGCGTTTGGCAGCGGAGTCACAGCCCGCAGGCTCTTGTGATCTTGGGCCGACATGGCCCGGTCAAACCATGTGGATGGTGCGAATCTCTGAATGCATCGTTTCAGTTTTACACATAGACACATGGCAATATTGATAGATAGATTCAGATAGATGAGGTTATGTTAGGTTAGATTAGACTGTTTGTGTACATATGTATATATAGACCTATAGGTTTTAATGCGAACAGCATACGTCGGAGCTTGCAAGATTTTGTCGGCATACTGTTTGGTCCATGCTATGTTGGTAAATCCGTGATGGCAACGGCCCATGCTGCCCTAAAGCAAGGGCTAGCGTGGGGTGCCAAAAGAATCTCGGAATGTTGTACATAGGTCGCCAGGGTGGCAGCCACAGATGTCCGGGAAGAGTACCAGAGTATGATGTGCATGGAAAAATTGAAGCCGCCAGAAGCGCAGCACAGACAGACATCCCAGACGTCGTGGCTTCGGTCGACCATTCCTAGGGAGCAGCGAGCCTTAACACGAGGCTCGCTGCCAAGCTCCTTTGGTAAGAGTTTGCGAGAATGTGCAGGAAGGTCATACCGAGCTAGTAGCCATTGCCATGTCCGTTGAAGTCCGTGAATCTTGCATGCGCGAGAATCTAGCAAATGTTAGCCACTTGGCTGCCAGCAAGACCAGAACGCTGTTGTCTGCAGGAGTGTCAGTATCTGCTTTATTCTGGGCAGTCGGTGGCCCAAAATATCGGCTCCATTCCTTTCTCCTGTGATCCCTTATGTTTCCCCGGCTAAGCTAGCCCGAACATGCCTGAGCAAAAAATGCCATGATCGTGGCCTCATCCCTGGCGCTTCAATGGCGGAGACAGCTCGCTCGTCGTTCGGACGACGCCACAAGGAGCGGGTGCGCGAGGAATTCCTCAAGCTGGTTCAAGGTGCCGGCCGCAGCTTGTTGGACCTAAATGTGAACTCTCGCCTCGCCCTTCAAGCCTCGTGCCTTACATATTGCCAACTGTAGGGGCGGTGTACTCGGAACGATCCCAGAAGATCCCTTGAGGCATGTTGCAAGGGAATGGAACGGCGGACAACGTGGCTACTGCCCTCGCCTGGTGCCTGGAGCGCGTCCGGGACCACAGATGCATGGACACAAACTCCTCGGAAACTTGATCCTGACTTCAGAGTGGGAGCAGTGCAGCTAGTATCAAAGTGTGCTTCCTCTTTACTAGATAAAACGACCGGGCTTCCTGCAAAGCCAGGAAGTCAAACGAGACTTTTCCGGTCTTCTGGAGAAGCTGCGTGTGCACTCGCAGTTGGATGCTGCGGCCTACCTGGAGGAGCAGTTCAATTCGTTCATGATGTGCGAGCTGAGAAGTCAATTGACTGTGGAGCCCCATGCTGCCATCCTTCGTGCCCTGCTGCTGTTGGCCTGCGCGCCTGCGCAAGTTCCTGGACGTGTTGTTCGCATGCTCCGTGGAATTTACGAGAGCCGGAAGAAGCGTGAACAGCAGCAGCAACGCCAAGCTGGCGAGCAGGCACAGGATAGGAAGATTCTGATGGAGCTCGAGCTGCAGCAGGCCTGGTCCGGCAGCATGCTTGCTCATCGCATGCATCATCTCACGGAAGGTTTTCGGGCCCCAGCTAACAAATTGCTCGTCTGAGCAAAGACACTAATTGCCGATCAGGTGGCCGACAATGCTTGCGAGGAGTGGGAGGAAGCCTGGTCCATCGCAGATCTGGTGATGGATGAAACCGTTTCTCCTTCGCAATAGCTCTGCTGGCTTGACTTGCGGTTGACGCGTCTGTGCCATGCCTGCCTGTGCTGCATTGGTCTCTTCTCAGGGGTTTGTTTGCACTAGTCTACAGGTGTCACCTCGCAGTGCTGGAAGTGGGTCCGTCAGCGAAGCTTCAAGCGAAGGCCAATCCGAGCATGAGAACCTCGGACTTGGGTTTAAGGAGCCTCGAGTGTTGGGGATTGGGGGGCGAAGGCCTCAGCGACCACGAGCAGCAGGAGGAGATCCTGCCTGAACCGTCTGCAGATGATGTGGCTCTCCGAGGCAAGGATTCGAGCAAGAAAGCTTGCCACGGTGGAAGCAGATCCGAAGTAGGGATCTCAATCTCTTGAGTTTGCACAGTCAGGCAGCTTGGATCACGAGCGCCTGCCGCTGCCTCGCCAACCTTGGCAAGATGCTTTGCAGGAGGAGCGCTTCCTCCTTGAGAAGTACTTCCACGGCCAGGATCAGGAGGGGAGATCTGCGATGAGAGATGATCTTAAAATCGTCGTGATGGCATGAGTATGAGGTATGATCTCCCTCCCTGTCCAGGACTACCTCATGGCCTTGCCGCTGTCTGAGGAATCCCTTCTTCAGGTCGCCACTCAGATGCTCTGCGGCTTCTATGGCGAGATGGTGGGGCCCGACGGGAACGGGAACCTCCGGTGGCGACCGCTGCACCTGCCGGGCCTTGGGCTGAGCTTTGAGGCCCTGGAAGCAGCGCTGAAGCAGCTCGCAGACTTGGGCTCCTTGCTTCAGGAGCTTCGGGGTGCCAGCGCTCTGCTTGAGGCCCTGGCCCCTCCCTTTGCCCCAAGGCCGCTGCTGGAGTCTTTGGCTCAAGGCCTGAAAGACGGAAGTGTCTCTGATCTCACCGGCTTGGTTCGGATTTGGGACTTGTGGAGAAGCGGGCTTCTGAGCCAAGGCCCAGATCGCTCCGAGCCTGTTAATGCCTTCGGCTTGTGCTGGCAAAGCATGGGCCTGATGCTGGCTGAGTTTCTCTCCAGGTTTGTGGAGGAGTTACAGCAGTTCGAAGCATCAGCTCCAGATTCAGCCATGCCGCGAACGTTAATGCGACTTCTGCAGCTGACGCAGCCCTGGTCTGAGGCTGCTGATGCTGTCAGGAATATCTTTGATACCGTGCTACAGGCAGTGCACCGGCGCTGCCAGAAAGACAGCAGTTCAACGCTTACGAGCCTTATGGCTGAGGAGCTGCTGTCGGCACTGAGCTGCTGTGTGAGCAGCCAGAGCTTACACTGTCCCCCGGGCCCAGAAGCCTTTCGAGAAGGACTTCTTCGCCACCTGGTCTCGGAGCTTTGGTGTGGGGCCGCCCGACCACTTCTGCGTGCATCCGAGCAGTGGGGGAGCCTCGGAGACCTTGGTGAGCTGGGCGCCTCCGAGTTTCTTTCCGACGAGGCAACGGTCGCCGGTCGCGGTGGCAACACGTGTCATAACCTGAACGATTACCTCCGATGTGCAGTTCAAGCATGTTCCAGCCAAGATGGATGAGCAAACAGAGGTTTTTCACTTGAGGGTAGCCTCAGGCCGCATGCGTAAAGGGCCTATGTTTTCAGGTGCAGGATTTGCTAATTCTAGAGTCCCCCAAACCGTGCAGCCTCTTGAAATTTCCCGAACAGATGGATAGAGGCAAGCCGGCAGAATCTATTTGGCAGGGGTTGCCGGCTCTTCTGCCCCCGGCTGTGGCTGGTGCGGGCCGGAGTGTTGGTGCCTTGCGGGCTTGGTCCGAGGCCCTCGCACCGTGTTGTTCAAAGTAGAAGCCAGCACGACAGCAGAGGTGTGCCGATCCTTGCCTTGGCTCAGACGCGTACACATCACAGAGATTAGAGCCTAGAAACGGCTCGCGCCATGGACTTCGTGGTGCCTTTGGCTGCAATCGGACAGGTCACAGAGGTCGAATGCCGCACTGCACACCACGGCACACAATTCTCGCACTTCTAGCCTTTGGCCTGGCCATCTCTTCGCAATGCGGGCCTGTTCGTGGAGCAAAGGGGCCACTTAGCAAACCTTTTCCAATATCGCTGGGCCGACCTCTTCAGGAATGCAGACTGCACCCCGGAGCCTACATGGCCTGTGTCCTGTGGACCACTGTAGGAGGCAAGCTGGTAAAAACATCAGCTGGTGCAGCAGGGTTGCTGATCACGCACGCTGAGAAAGATCGAATCTGAAAGATTTCAACCCCGCCGCTAAGCCGAGATTTGCGGACAGAGATTAAATGTGTTTGCAAAAGGTTCCGTTGGAATATTTCTCCAGCCGACAAGGCGGGGCTTTGGAAGGATGCGCCTGCTGTGACAAGAGCGCTGACGGCCGTCCCACTGCTTCTGCATGTGGCTGGAAGCAGGGCTGCAAAAAGAGCAGTCGTCACGTGATGCGTTTCATTCCTGAACCTGATGACCAGAAAAGGCTTCACCTTACGGATTGCAAGCTAAAATTAAGGGCCTCTCAGGTAGGCCTGTGCAGTGTTTGTCCGAGCTAAGGGCACTTCTGCGGGCAGCTGGCTCTTCTGAACCTTTCATTGCTGTCCTTCAGGCCCGCCCGCGCTTCGAAATTAGAGACTGCTGGGAGAATTTGACGTTTTCACTAAGGTACGGATGCTTCTGGGGTGTGCTGACTTCTGCTGTCTGGGAGCCTCCGGGCGGCTTGCTGCAGACTCTTGGCTTTTCTGGCCGTGGACTCTGATTTTGCAACAGCGGCCTTTCTCTGAGGAGCCTCTTCAGCCTCCTCATCGCCTTCTGGGTGCTGTCCCAACTGCCGCGGGTTGAAAGAGACGCTGGGCTGCGGTTGGGGAAGAGCTCAAGACACAAGACACCAAGCAGTTCCATGGCCTCGAGTTAAGGCCCTTGGCTCCGCCAAGCTTTTGTTGGGTGCTGCCATGGCCGCTGTGGCCATCAACCTCCTCTTCTTGCTGATGGCTTTCCTTCTTGACTGGCTAAGCGCCTTGGGGTGCAAGTGCCCTCTGTTCCTGCTTAGGGAAGTGTGCGCCTTGCTCAAGTGAATCTTCTGATTAGAGAATCCTGCTGTCCCAACTTCATCGCACCTCGCCCTGTTGCATTGGGTCGTGAGGGTGACGGCGAACGAGCCGGCGGAACGCCTGTGCCCCAAGCCCCAAGCCGGAAACGATGAAATTGCAGGCCAGCTCAAGGGCCAGGCCTCCGTGTGGCCCTTCGTGAAAAGCAGCGGCCTGATCCCGTTGGCGATCTACGGGATCACTTTGCAGAGCCTTCAGGCCGGACCGAACATGAACCATGCTGTAGATTAGAAAGACTGCGTGTGTACGTTTGTGCATGTCTGCAGGTGTGCGTGTGTACATATCATATAAGTACATAGATGTACATGCGTCTACTTGTGTCTGTACATACCTCTCTCTCTCTCTCTCTCTATATATATATATGTGCACATGTACATGTATGTGTGTATATTGTATGAATAGGTATATGTTTTTATGTATACATGTATTTGCATGTGTATATATATAGGTATAATTATATGCATAGGTGTGTATATACATATGTATACACACATACATATTCGTATATATATATATATATATATATATATATATATATGTACATATGTATATAAGGGTACGCACATGCAAATGTATGTGCTTATTGTTGTGCATCTTCAAGGAATGTCTGTGTGTATGCCTGCCTGTATGTAAGTCCAAGTGCATATGTACATGAGTAGGTATGCATGTATGCATGTGTGTGTGTGTGTGCGCTCAGTACATTGCATACAATGGCATGCATGCATACATTACATACCTACGAGCTGACATAGATTCATACATACATACGTAGCTGCATACACAGATACACAGTACGATCACTACAGCACTGTCACCTGGTGTGTGACATGGTAGCATAGTAGGTATTCTGCCGAGCGACCGGAAGCTTTGGCTATCACTTGCTGCATGGCGGTTCGCAGGCAGGGGAGGCAGAGACCACCTTCTTTGGCATACCCATGAAGGCGCGGCCCTGCACTCATGAAGATAGTGAGCTACTCTCGGAGAGAGCCCGGGTCTGAGGCCAAGTACTACCCTCTAGTTTTGGTCGGCGTCTTCACGCTCCTGAGTGGCCCGGCCGTTTTGTGGCCCAGCAGCATTTCAAGCACAAGCAGTGCGCGTGCACATCAAGTTGAGACCAGTCCTGATGAAAGGGGCAGCCCAAGAAGCCTTGCCCAAAGTCTGTGCTGAACTGCATAACCTTTCCGAGCTGCAGTCTGATGCTTTGAAGGCCTGATGTCGCGGCACTGGCCATGGGGTATCTGCATAACCGCGCTCGCCTGGATGCCATGCTCCCCTCCGATGGCAAGTTGCAGAGATGGGAGCGATGATGGGGTTGCTGAAACAGTACGTTGCTATGAAGGAACCGTTCAGGAATAGTACTACTTAATTGTTGAGGCCCCTAGATGAAGTTCAGGACTCCTAAACCTAAACAAGCCCCAATGTGTGGGTAAGTCCTCAACGCTTTGATGAGGGTTGAGGATGTAGGACAGAATCAGCAGCATCCACGGCCTGGGAAAGACACAAACCCTAAGACCATCTCAACAAGGCGCTCGCCGTGTGGCCAAGTAGATGGCTTGGGGCCCAACTCCCGTCTTCGCTCTTTTCACCCTGCGCAGGAGAGCTCGCGTTGGTCCTTCTTACTTGGGCGGCGCCTGTTCGGGGGCCACTGGGTCCCGGTTGGCCAAGCTGGCACGGGAATCGCTGCGTTCCTGGGCGGAAAACGGGGACAGGGCGGAAGGGAAGTTGCAGAGCAGTCACCAATTGTCCCGGCTGAGCTCGGCAGGTCACCCCCCGCTTTCCTCTTTCAAGGGCACATTCAAGCCAGCTCCCTGGCAAGGTGGGGTGGTGCGCAACTTCCGCGCCATCATGTGATCCGTCCCAATGCTCCAGCTCGACCTGCACAAGGCCTTGACATCTAGTGGGGTTGGCAAAAGAAATCAAACTTCTGTGGGAAGAACGTGCTGCTTTGGTCCAGCGTGTGAAGCCGGCCGACATGTGAAAGTAGTTTGTGCCTGGATTGGGAAAAGCAGGAATGTGCAGACGATTTCAGGCGGTTTGGAAACTCCTAGCTGAATGCAGCTCAGCAAGTAGATGCAAGCAGAACGTCGATGACCAACCACAAGCCGAGCGCTTTGCAACTTGCTGGCCTGTGCAGGTACGGAGTTTCGAGCTTTCCAAGGGTCCGGGCATCGACTGGGCTCCTGATGAGATAGTTGGGTAGCAAGAGCGGCGGTGACTGTACAGTATCTAATGGCACCAATGCACTTCCACAGGGTCCGGCCCACTCTGAGGTTTGATTCAAGTGTCGATGTGTGTTGTCTTGGAGTTTGAAGATCTTTTCACGAATGTTGCCTCATTGCCCAAGCCGGATAGGACATCCTCACAGGATGCTGCAAGGTCGCGAAACCGCGGTACTCAAACCATATGCGGCACGGGATCAAAGAAGTACATGCCCTCGAAGTATGTATTAAAGAAGCCAACACTGCCAGAGTTCCGCGGCCCTGCCCACAGAAGCCGCGGGCAACCCGTGCGTGCACAACTCAGAATCAGGCCTGAGTCCTGCACCGTAGCAGGTGCACATCAACATTTTCTAATTGTGGTAGCCACATTTGACGTGCGGATGCCATGTGATCCCAGACGGCTGCTCGATGTACCCGAGAGCTAGAACCGACGTGTAGCGCCTGCAGAGAGTGACTTTCAGAATCGACTGACTGGGGGATGCCCCAAATTGCGCCACATTGAGCAGCCTGTGCCTCCGTCGCACCTGAGCGAAGTAGCTGGCGCTGCCAGCGGTGCAGATTAGCACTTCATACTCTTTTTCAGACCGAGTACAGGCGGACGAAAGTTTGCCTGTGCGACCAGAGTTGACCAGCAGCGTAACTCTCCCAGCTCCCGGCCCCTCCCGGCCCGGCCCTTGACATTGGCTTTTGCTGTCGGAGGTTTCTCAAACAGCGAGCCACTCGCCACCGCGCAGTGCAGAGGAAGAGCTGACAAGTTGCGTGGCCAGCGCTTAGAAGAAGAGGGCTTTGCGGGTTCAATGGTTCGAGGCCTGGGTTAGGGGACGTTGAAAGCCTAAAATGCTTTGCATGTTGGGGGTGACAGTGACCGCCCAATACCACCGCAGTGGATAGCAGCCAAAGCCGGAAGAGGCTTGCGCAGCTCCCTTGCGGGCGCAGCTCCTGCCGGGGCCTTTGCTGTGAGAGGTTGAGCTACTCGAGGCCCTCCGGCATGGCTTCAGTGGAAATCACGTCCTAGGTGGATTTGACAACGGGGACTGCTCGCAGTGAGAAGCTCAGATGCTTTCATAAGCCGTGGGTGTTCTTGGCGATGGCACTTCCATTCTTCTCTTGCCCTGCATGTTTCGCAGGCTCGACATGTAGGCTCCGGCGGCAGGACAGCGCCCACGAGGAGTTCAAGTTTGTTCCCTTCGAGGCAGGGTATTTTGCTAGTTTGTTGGCCTTGCGGCCACAAACATTATACCAGGCTGCGCTAGAGGCGCGCGTGCTGCGGCCGCTGCAGCACATTGCGGAAATGGCAGCGAGGCGGAGTTGGCAGTGAGCCACAGGCCAGAGAATGGAAGGAGCGGGACACTCGCTGAAGCTAGGCCAATCCTCTGGCGGGTCCTACAAGACGAAAATGGATTGCCAACGGCTCACTTGAGCTCTTTGCCGACAATGCCGGGCACATTATCGATTGTGAGCTTTTAAGGTTGCAGCATTTGGCTGCCATTCGACTGGTAGCATTCCTCGATCGTGAGCCTGCAGTGAGCACGCTCGTGAAGCGGATTCCTCCTCAGTGGTCTCATCGAGCCATTTGCAGCGAAGTAGTGTGACAGCCTGTGAACAAGGCTGTACCGGAAGCTGCAAGGCTATCAGCGGGGCTTTGCAGGTCGACCCAGCCTAGCACTAGTCCTTCAGGTGCATCAATGATAAGCAGTGGACTGATTAATGCTCACCTGGTGGAATTCGGCAGGCGTGCCAGCAGAGGAGCTTTCGCTGCTTGCCGTCGAGCTTCGTGCTGCACTTGCCACAGCCTCAGATGCGTGAGAGCAAGGGCGCTGTGAGGGAGTTGTTGAATTTGAGAGTGAAGCGGGTTGGGTTGATTGTTGGAACAGCGGAAAGGGCAGCTTTCGTCACGCAGCCTGACGCGGGGAGTAGTCCCCGGATGACGTCCACCGGCAGTGTCCATGCAGGTGGAGGGCCTGGAATCCCTGGCCGGATCACATCCACAGCAGATTCGCAGCGATCCATTCGCACCCAAAGGCAAGCTGCAGGCCCGGCTGGGTATCGGTGGGAGCGGAATATGCAAACACTGCCATGTCGTGCAGAGCTTGCCGAGACGGCAAGACTGCAGGTGCGTGTGGTGGCGCAGCTTTGCTTGCAGAACCTGTCCATGGACCTGTTGAAGGGGCCTGGCCTAAGCGACTTGGCTATCGGAACAGAATGCTCGGCTGCAGCTTGTGCCAAGCAGGTCCGTGCCCGCTTGGCGCAGGTGCCGATCCTTTCGCCTTGCTCGGCCAGCTGAAGCTGAAGTACCAGTCGCCAGCGCCGCTGCCAGATATCCTGGACACCACTGCGCTGGAAGCCGGGATTGCAAGGCATTGCAAGGCCTAGCTCTGATCCTCCTCGGACCGCGAGTCCTCGAGCCTCGTCGAGCCGCTGAGGAGGGATACTCGGCCATCTGGGCGCTTCTGCTGCGGCTCCGCTGTGGGAGCCAGGCGCTGCAGGAGGCCGATCCGAACATGCGAAAACAGAAGGATCACGACGAGGGAAGTCTGAAGCGTAGATTTTTGTGCGCTTTTCTCTGCTTCCGCAGGTCCACCAGCTTCCTCTCTTCGGAGTCTCTGGCATGTTTCGAATCGACCAGGTGATGCTGCTGCAAGGATGCCCCTCCCCTCAGCCCCACCTTGCAGAGAGACGTTGGGGACAAAATCCTGCTCATGATTTGGTGAGCACCGATCGAGGGTGGCTTGCGAGGTCTTGTGCTGGGCCTTCACCAAACGTTTTTTGGTGAATGTCAGCAGAAGTCCGAAGCAGCTTGCCCCGGCAGGCTTCAGCGGCCGCGGTGTTCAGCGCACGCCCATTGCAGCCCTTCAGCGCAAGGCCAGCCTAATGAAGCCCAAGCCGATGACCGGACATTATTTCGACTTGCTTGAGGTGGACTTGCTCCGTGCCGAACTCGGGCATTTACCTCGGTGGTCCAAAACTGTTTGTGCCCATTGTGATTGTGATGAAGTGGACTGCTTGCCCAGGCATTTCCTGTCCTGTTCGCAGCTCAGACTGGAACCTCGATCCTCCGGGAGAGAGTGGATCAACAATCCATCTACAAGCGAGCTCATGTCAATAGTGGAGTGACAGATGCGGTGGCCTAGGTCAACTCGAGAGAAAACCGGCCACCTGCTTCTGCGTTTCGTTGCGAGCGGTGGCCTAGGTTTGGAGCACTACGTCCACGTTGATGTCCTGCAGAAGGCACATGACGTTGCTTTGCCGGGTCGTCTTGACCAGCAATTTCCATCTTTGCTTGGTAGGAGTCGATCATCCTGGAACGTCAGATCCGATCTCTAGTGAGCGAGGCTGGCCGTACCATTGAAAAACAGACGACTGGGGTGGTCGCTGCCTCCTACGGCAAAGGCGCTAGAGGGCCGGCTGGCCAGCGGAGCCAGAAGCGAGGACTTGACGGAGAGAAGCCCCACTAGTCCCGACATGTCCCGGCACTGCATTCACATGGTCAGCCGTTTAGTGCCTTATTGCCAGGAGCCTCCTCGCGCAATGGACGTGCTCCAAAGAGTGCAGCAGATGCACCGGCAGCATCTCAGGCAAGTCTTGCAGGCTGGGCCACAAAAAAGTCTGGTTGGACGGTTAGACATGTCAAGTGTGCGAAGACACGTAGGCCGCAGTCCACGACTAAAGGTTTTGAGTCAGTCGGCACAGCCTTTGCTTGGTAGGCTTGCTTGCTGATTCCCGACCTGAGCGCCGTTCTTGAAGATCTGCACCAGCTGCTGGCCATGGGGGCGGGCTCCCAAGTGTGGGGCTCTGAGAAGATCTTCGGTGTTCTGAGATCGAGTGTGAGGTCCGCCTCAAGGACGTCCTGGAGCAAACGCCCGGAGCTCCAGCCCTCGAGTGAATCGAAGCGCTTGAGGTCACAGTGGTAGCAAATCATGCTTGTGTGCTGCAGCGGCCGGTCTTGTTCTCTGTCTTGGGCTACATCTCCATGGCGTCTTGCTTGCCACAAGGCTTCAGCAGCTTCAGGCCCTCGAGTCAGCAAGGCAGTTCGCTATTCAATAATTCATGAGCGCTGCAGAACAGAACAGTGTCGACCAAATCTCCACTCCAGCCATCGCTTGTCTGCTCTGAGAGCAGGCGCCATCCCGCAGAAGTTGGTGCCGTTGAGCAGGCTGCCTCGGTTGCACAGACTTCTCGAGTGGCGATCAGGTGTAGTTTTGGCTGTTCCCGTCTCCACAGGCGCTGCATGCTTGTGAGCCCCTGGATCGAGAGTCCTGGTAGAGCTTTGTTTCAAGTTGCGGGCGTTGCCCAAAGGCACGCTCAAAATGAGCGCAGCAGAGATATCGAACATGTTCGATGCATTGAGGGACATGGTGGTTTCGACCCTTGTTGCCGAGCAGGACCAACGAAGCCTGCTTTTGAAGCAGCAACAGGACCAAGATGTCCTAATCCAAGAGCTGCAAGAGAAAGTTTGCCTTCTGGAAGAGGCACTCTCGGAGATGGCGAGCGAGTTCCAGCTGGTCCGTCAGCAGCTCGCTGAGCAGGAGAAGCAGGACAATGCAGCAGACGCTGCCGTGGAATGGAAAGCTGTGAGAAGCAGCGTGGCAAGATTTGTGCGCTCCTCGTGGTACAGAAAGGCCGCAGAGAGAGAGCAGCAGGAGCTTCCGAAAGAGGCCGGCGAGGTGAACTCTACCTTGCTAACCAGCCGCGCACGAGAGCCAGAGGCGTCCCAGCAATGGAAGCCGGAGCCTCCGGGCAAAAGTGTGTCTCACACACAAGAAGATACAAACCAGACAGTGGCAGTGAGCCCACCACAAGAACAACAGATTCCCCAGCAATGCAAGCCCCAGCCCCAGCCTCCAGCAACTCGCCGCACGTGGAAGTGTGTGTGGAGGCGGGGCATGGACGTGAGAACCTGGCCACAAACGGCAAGACAGAATATCGTCGGCTACCTCAACTTTGGTGAAATCTTCGAGGTAGCGGAAGAGCGCCGGTTCCGAGACGGAAGTGAAGGTGTCTTCCTGCGACTGGCGAACAGGAAGGGATGGGTCTTTTCAAAGACTCGGTCGGGCACTTTTTGCATGCCAATGGACGAGAGGAATCGGCAGCAGTACTGGAGTTACCCCACGCCACAAGCATCGCATGAAGCCTGGACCTGGGACAACCGCCCGACGGAGCACCAGAGTGACCGGACCTCGGCATGGCAGGAGATGTCAGACTACCCCGATTCATTTACTTCTACATCGCGCTGGCCTGCTGATGCCAAGTCGTGGGATTCGTGGGCATGGCGCAAGGACGAGCACTGGAAGACAGCTCCCAACGATTGGCGCTATGAGGCTAGCGGCTAGCTGCACGTCCTAGCGAGGAATTCGCAGACTGTGCCAGTTCCAAGATGGGCACACGGCCAGTCTAGCATGCATGTACTGACTTGACCCTTTAGTCGGAGACATGCTGAGGCTCCAAAGACTTAGTTTGCCTTTTGAAAGCTGTATCATAAGACCTACGTACTTTCTGTACATACAGACTTAGTTTCTGAACCGTCGAAGACCTTGAGTAAGACAGCGCATTTTGTGAAGAGCTGCAAGAGTCCCCAGGTTTTGCGAGAGATTTCGTGCGAGGATGGAGAGTAGCTTTTGCGCCGTGCCTGCCCTCTGGAGGCGTTGGATGCAGCACAAGCTTCTGGTGCCGCCTCCTCAACCTTTCGAAGGCTTCATTTGTGGAGCTTGCTGGAGTTGTCGTTTACCAGGAACCTCAGTACTGTTGTAGTGAACCATGCCGGCTTTGTTCGTGATAGCTTACGTGGCCCTCTTCTCAAGTATGTAAGAATGGCACGTAAACAGGGGTAAACGCGGGGCAAAGCCTTTGTGTGTTCTTCTGGTGCCCGCTTGCTGCCGAGGACCTTGCAGCTGCTGAGGGCTTGGAGCCCGATGGTCAAGTTGCGGCCGGATGCTGTAAAGTGCCGAACTATGCAGAGATTTGTGTTCCCGAGTGCATCAGAGGCCGCAGCCAGTGCAGCTGCCGATGCTGCAGCCGCATTGAATTTGCCGATTGGAGCTCAGCTCTCTATTGCTGCGGTGGCAGCTGCCAAGATAGCCACCGACCTCGCGATTTCCCAGGATGATGCTGCTGATGCAGCGGCCTCGTGCACAGAGAGAATCACTCAATCCATGGGGCAAGATGCGGACACGCGGGCGCAAGCAGCAGACACCACAGCCATTATCACTGGGTATTTGGTTGCATCGCATGCTGGTGAGGGGCCGATCGCAGCGGGACTGGAAGCAGGCAAAGCCATGAGGGCAGCAGGCAGTATTCCGCAGGAGCAGCTGTCGGCAGCTGCAGATGCAGCCCTGCACGCCGCTTCCGCGGCAAATCTGCCCAAGGAGCTGCAGCTGGTGGCTGCAACGGCTGCCATAGGTCGCGCCGCAGCAGTGGGTCGCATCCGAACCTCCAAAGAAGAGTTTCGCAAGCTCATCCTGCGCCTTGCAGCGCAGTTGGCTATTGTACTACCAAGCTACGGAGTGGACGAGGCGTAAAGCAATCGGGGTTTGCTGTTTGTGAAAGTTGCGCTTGTTACATTGTTCAAGCAGGCAACGACTTTCGCAATCATCACAGATTTTCCCTGCTTCTTGTCAGTACTGCGTAGATGTAGGCGGCAGCTACCATCTCCGGCAGGCGACGCTTGCGACGACTGCGGAGGCTGCAGCTGTGAAGGTCCAGAAGAACCAGTTAGCACCGATCGCCTTAGCTTGGTTCCTGGTGCTTTCCGCTATTCCCAGAAACGCGTTGGTTGTTGATGAAGCAGCTTCCAGCCGCAGGATCTCAGCGACAGCATCCAGCAGGAAATCGAGAACGAAGAGAGTCAGGACCATCCTGCAAATGTGAGTTAAGAGCTCGATAGTTGCCCATCATAGCAGGCGCTGGTCTTGGCAGGGCATTTTGAGAGTCAGAGCCTTCCGCTACTGAGACCTCAGCCATCGGTCAAGCGAGCAGTGGCAGCCCTCAGCCCAAGGAGATGCTGATCAGCGAGATGCAGAACGACCTGGAACTGCGGAGAGCCCTGGATGCTGCTTGATTGCATCCGGTCCTCGCTCTCTTCCCTTAGCTGGTTCCTGGACCATGAAGACAGACCTCGGAGCCGTTTATGGTGCTTTATGTCCGGCCTTGGCATCAGCATGGCTTCTGCAGGCTTCGGATCAGAAGGCAGCTGCCTCGGTGGCAGTTCTTTGCTTGTCGTGCGGTCTCTGCAGGAAGCGGTGCAGAAACCAAAGATTTTATTAGAAATACCATGCGTAGATTTGTCTGTGAAGGTAGCTGCGATCCGAAGTGACTTCCAGCGCGGCATGCGCCACGCTGACCTGTGCCATTAGCATTGACATGAATTCACTCTGGCGGTGGGGCTTGAATTCAGGCATTCTGAGATTCGTGTCAGCATCAAGATCTTCAATGAATTGCCTTTGGCTATTGCGGTAGCTAGTCTTAGGGCCACAGCTTTGAGTCTGCCAGGTTCGCTTCTCACGGTTCTCCGCAACTCCGTGGCACTGGGAACTCCACAGGCGAGGCGAGCTTAGGACGAAGTGGGAGCGCATGGGCCGCTCCCAGACAGTAACAGGATAGTCCTAGGCATTGCTGCTGTCCGTCATGGGAATTTTGCCCTGCAGACTGCAGATTTAAGATTCATGAGTCTCTCAAGAACGGCCCACTGCAAAAGCGCTTGATTGAGAAATGCTCTGATCGATCACATACCAAAGTTGGAGGTACTCTGGCCATTTTCAAAAATAAACAAAACCAAGTAGAAATTGGAGCCGCAAAGCTTACCAGATACTTGTGCTTATCCGCCATGGCAACGGTTATCGTCGGTGGAGGAATCGTTGGAGTGACTGCTGCACACTACTTACTGAAGAAGGGCAGGAAGGCGCGCGCGGCCGTCTGTTCTGATCAGAACGACGTCCACCGAATTAGCTGAAATCTCTTCAGGTGACCCTTATCGAAAAGTGTGCCATCGCATGCCACTCCTCTGGGAAAGCTGGCGGTTTCCTGACGGACGGAGATTCAGGTGAGGAAGCAGTTTGAAGCCGTCGCATGCCTGGACCCTTTGAATTCGGTTCCATATTGGAGCAGGGGGTTAAGGTCGAAAGTAGGAGAAGGTAGATCAACCTCGGAGCCGGAAGAGGAGCGCATTGGTCCGAATGGTGGCGCACTTCTTACGGAAGAAGGAATTGGGCCGGACCTTTTGAAAGGATGTTGGGGCACAAACTCCTGGATAGGATGGCACAGCGGCTCCATCGCTCACTTGGCCAAGCGTTCCTTCGCACTGCACGAGGCCTCCAGTGCTGCTGTCAGTTGCAATAACTCGTTGCCTCCTTTTGAGAGGGAAGGTTCCGGGACATTTCGTAATTCGTCTACTTCGGATTTCTGTGCGCAGAAAGTTAAAACCTGTGGAGTCTCACATATGGTTGATGACATAAACGTCTGTGAGTGGAAGCCACCTTGCTGTTTGCTGGCTCATGCTGTTACGTGTTTGGCTACTCGTGTCTCATCCCTGCTTTGCTGCATTCGGAGACGCAGCATTGTCGCATGGAGGGGTTTACAGTTTACACTCGCACGTCCCTTGAGCACCGTGGCGTGTGCATGGTCAAAGTGTCACGATCAACAGGACTTGGCCAAGGAGTTCGGGGCCGACACGATCGGTCACAGACGTGTGAAGTGTCTGGGCCAAGGACCTGCAGTGGTTGCAGAGTTTGAAATACATGGCAATGCCGGTCTGTTATCTTGAGGACGAGATGCCAGCACTGCACAGCCGGCCTGGCTGGCATCGGGCCAGTACCAGAAAGATCTAGGCTCAGATCGCTCTTGTTGCACAGTCACCGAGGCCTGAGGCTTACATGCTTCGCAGCTTTCCAGCTGAGGACATGGGCAACGAGACCGGGCTGGCACAGGTTACACCGTACAAGCTCATGGATGCACTCAAGGACTCCATAGTGAAGCGAGGCACGAGTGTTCGATCGAAGTTGACGTGGCTGGACTGGGTCGTCTCTGCAAATGCGTCATTGCATGGCTTACATGACTCGGTGCTTGAAGCTATTGCATCGTTAATGACGCCGGACCTGTACCGATCATTCTCTTGTCGTGTAGCAGAAGCATCCTTCACCCCGAATGTGGGATAGCTGACGGCCGAAACTGGCTCCAGGTTGCGAGATCATCATCGGCAAGGCCACTGGTGTGGAGATGGAAGGCCGCACTGCGATGCTGTGTTACCAGACCATGGGTGAAGTTCCTCCTCTCCCTACCCGCGCACGTGTGTGGCAGGATCCACCGTGAAGGCCTTGAAAGTGAACCAGGACAGCGAAGGATATGCATGTGAGTTTGCTATTTCGGGATGAGGAAGCCTCAGGTGGAGTTGTTGCGCACAAGTCAGCGGCTTACTAAGCTGGCCCCCCCCCCCCAAGTCCTTCTGCCAGGACGGCAAGGAGTCTTCACTCCCATGCACATCCTTGATCCTCGGGATGGGCGCATGGGCGAGCGAAGCGGCTGAGTGGTTCCCTGGGAGCACGCTGCCTCGGCGCACTGTCTCGAACCGCTACACCAGCGTGATTTGGGATGATGTTGAGGTTGGCAAGGATGCCACAATGGTGTTCACAATGGGCGAAGACCACACGGAGATCTATCCAAGAGCAAACGAGTGCTATGCCAACGGATGCCCAACGGATCCCCCTTTGCCAGATAACCCCATGGAGATCGAGCCTCCTCAGGACGAGATTGACAGGGTTAAGGCGCAGGGGATGAAAGGAGATGCAGCGGGGGCTTAGGCTTAAACGCCCAAACACCAGTCGTACTCCTCGAAACCCTGCAGGCCGAGAGCATCGCCGCCGTCCCCCGGCTCAAGGATGCGGCGATCCTTCGAAGCACGGCCTGCTTCCTCGCAGGCTCTGAGGACCACAGACCGGTGCTTGGGCGCATCCCGAAGACCGAGAACGCGTCCTGGCCGGAGGTCAGAGTTGATGACCTGAGACCCTCAACTGTTGGATCCAAGGCTGTTATAGCATGTGGTGGAGGATGCTGGGGTATTCTGAGTCCTGGACTGACTTCATTTCGCTTTGTCAACAGATTGAACAAACGATCCAAGCGACTGTGTCAGTACTTGTAGGGGGCTTTTCGTGAATACAGTACTTAGCGCAGTTCGTACTGCGGCTGCTAAGCTTGTACTTCCAGCGTACGGTGCCGGAGCTGGGCAGCACATAATCTTACAAAGTCTCATTGTCGCTGTGGAGCGAATCGCTTAGTTTTCGAGGAATGGCCCGGCGATGGGCGAGGCTGCTGCAGCCCTGGCAGCAGGGGAGGCGGGCGGGCCGGTAGATGCCAGCAAGGGATAGCGGCGGGATTGCCTGGACCACTACGACTACGAACAATGTCACAGATCGGAGGAGCCCCCACTGGACGTCTCTGCGTTCGATCCTCTGCGCTTTGACCGGTCCCACATGTCGACTTTCATCAAGGGCTTGCCCCCGAAACTCACGGTGCTTTGGCTCGCACGAAGGCCTTCATGGAGTCTTGTAGGAACGAATGCCAGACGACACATATTCGTAAGCAGTTTGTGACAGAAGCTACGATTCGTTAGTTCGTCGGAGAATGTCGGAGACAGAGACTGGGCAGTTCCTCGTTCTAGGCTTGCTGCCTCAGCTGACGGCTGCTGGGAGAACAGATGATCGCCTGGTGAATAGGTTTCAGGCTTAAGCTCCAGGTGGAAGCTCTGCAGTTTCTGCTATCTCAAGAGCTTAGGCCTTGGTGGCTCAGCACCCAGAGCTTGCGGATCTTGGGCTTGCTATAAGCTCGAGGGGCATGCTCAGGGACAGCCTGTGACCGTGTTGTCGTGTCAGATCGCCGACAAAAACCCCACGAAGCAGCTAAGCAGACCAGGGCAGGATTTCGACATACAATGATACAATGTCACGATAACCTGCTTTGGGGCACCCTGTATATCCATGCGGAGCCAAGGAAGCTTTGCGACAAGATCCGGAGAAGATTGCGGCTCTTGTGGCCATGATGGAGGACTGAACGCTTTCCAGGAGTGCAAGGTCGGTCTGCACTGCGGCAAACCCGCAAACAACACTCCTTCCTCTACCCGAGCCGATGAGAGAATCCAGTCTGAATCCTCGGAGCAAGTGCCGCGCTTGTCAACCGATGCAAGGCATTTACCTCCTAGCAGGCTCGGTCTCACCGGAAGTGTGCCACGAGCGGTGCCCCAAATCTGTTGGCACGATGAAACTTCCAGGATTGTGGAAAGTTGTGCATCGTGCCACTAGAGTGTCCAGCAACAAGCCTGGGCAGCTTGCCAGCCAGAACTGGCTCGCCTGTGCGTTCGAGAAGATGCGTGAGAGTTACATCCAGCAGGCTGCAGACACAGATCGGCCGCGGCCAATGCCTTCGCCAGGTGATGAGCTTATGTGCGCATCTGAACTTCAGCGGCTTCTATGGCGATCAATTCTGAGCCACCGCTGAACCAGCACCCGCTCGCATTGCACGGTGCCGAAAGCTGGTTTGCCATCCAAACAAGCGTTGAGATGCATTGAGAGTGTGAGCACATTTGACTGTTTCTGCTCACCCGCAGCATCTGGGAAGAGTGGACAGTGCCAGAGATGTGAGAAGTGCAAAGCGCCGCGGCCTGGAGGCAGGGCTTTGGGTTTTCCACGGCTATAGACATGGCAAGACTGTGGGTGGGTGCGAGGAGAATGGGGTTAGCGCTCTCTTTGTCTACGTCTTTGTACTTTGTATCTCTCTTGTCTTTCTTCTGCGCCTGCTTTGCTGTGGAGAGGCCATCTCACGCGATGGCCCAAAAGGGCGACTCGCTCTGCCCCCAGCTGCGACAAGCCTCGATTGCCGCACGTTGGGACTTGGGGGCCCGGCCGAGGCATCACTTCGGCCCGCGAGGGCACTTGGGCGCAGTCCAGGACACCACGGTGCGCCCTTGGAGAGACGCAAGAAATTTGCAGCTTCGTGTGCGCCCGCTGCGCTTGCAGGCCACCCTGGTGTCGGGCCTCTACCATGACTGCTCTGAAGGAGATGGAGTCACCCTGATGAGGTCGTTGGCTGATGTGGGCACCGGACGACCTCACGCCTGACTTAGACTTGGTCTTGACATGTCTTTGCCGAGTTACTGTCATCTTCTGGCCCACCAACGCCTCCTCTCGTTGGACTTCGATCACAAGTCGATGCTCGAGGCACAAGTCGATAGCATCTACAGCTGGGGGTGAGATCACCGGATCCTTGCACATTGATCGCAAGAGGGAGGACACAGTCCAGCCGCAAGCTTCTGACTGATCTCTATCCTGAATGAAAAATCCACGTTTTAGCTAGATTGGTCGGGCCCCCCTACCTCCCACTGCCTCGCTCCCCCCCTTTCTCAAGAGAATCTGATGAATTCCTGTGCAGATGCTGGACAGGTGATGCATCGAAATTGCTAGGGCGGCCCCCCAGCCCCTCGTTCCCCTCAGCCTCGGGCACGCCCTCCTTCGCTTTGTTGTTCTGGACCTCTCTTCCAACTTCCACTGCCGAAACTAGCCGTACTGTCATCGCTTTTGCTACTGTGGTTATACCGCTACCACCGCTGCTTGTTCACTACCGCAACCAACTGTTGCTACTACCCTTGTTGCAGTTTCCTCTCCGGCAAGTTGGCGCTGCAATCACATGTTTGAGAAAGCATGCTGTTCGCAAACCTTCAAGCTTAAAGCTTCGACATTAGCCGTTATTGTAGACCTCACACGCCCATGCTTGGATGATGAGCTTTGTCTTCGGATGATAAATCGGGGTTCTCAGACCCCCGGACACCTCCTTGTCCACCCTTCCCCTTCCACTGCCGCTCCCAGCGCTGTTGCCAATCCTACTGCTACTCGACGGCTCCTGTTGCCGCGACTACTCATGCTGTGTTTTAGCTGCCCTGGGCGCGGACTATACAACGTCCCTCCCTTTGGAAACTCCAGATGTTTCTGGTCTGGATTAAAACGTGCCCCCACCACTCTCTGTTTGCTGCCTCTTTAAGATCTTGTGTTTGATGTTTCTCTCTAACTACCAGTCGTCGCTGGCAATCTGTTCTGGCAGACCTTCAAGCAGCACAGCGGTGGCCCACTCTATCCGGAGGAGTGGAGCGCGTAGATCTCATCATCAGACACTGGCAGCTAAATGCAGCTAATTGCCCGCAAGGAGCCTCTGGACAGCCGACTTCTGGACTCCAAGCAGTTTCGTCAAGCCCTGCAGGCAGCATAGTTGGGGAAGGGAGGGACTGCTTTGCTGAGACTTATGTTCGGATGGACAAGCAAAGGGTGAAAGGGAAGAGAGGAGAGCGGATAGGATCTACTTCCATGTGTCCTATCAAGATTTCAACCGAAGACTCCTGCACATTCTTGCCTGCGGGAGTTTACAATTCACATCACATTTAGAAATCCCCCGCACCCGCCCTAAGCATGCAGGCCCCTCTGCCCGTAATTACGCGCCAGTTGGGGCTGTGTGACCCTCGCAACAGTTCTGCTGTGTGTGGTATGAGTGTCCCACAGTCTCCACACCCCATCCATGATTTTTGCATCCGCTTGTCCGCGTCGGGTGGAGCAATTACTGGGACCTGGATTTGCAATCACGGCGGCTAATGTTGGGGGAAGCCAGAGTGGCCTCAGCAAGGCAGTAAGGTGGAGATGTTTTGGGGAGGACGTCCACGGGGGCCTTGGACCAGCATTCCAATCCGCGTGACAATTGGAGGCTACCGAGGTCCGTGCTTAGCGAGTGCTTGGTGAGAGCTTAGCAGTCGCGGAGTGAGCTTTAAGCTTTTTACAGTGAGTACTCGTGTGTTTTAGGGAGTGTATATGACTTTAAGCGAATGCGCTGCGGAATCCCCTAGCAAACTCAACGGTGGCACGAACCATTGTCAGCCCGAAACATGTTCACAGAGCGGTACTTGTACGTCTCATGAGTCTCATGGGGAGTGCAGAGCTCGGGGCTGTGGCAACGCAGCTACTAGTAGAGTCTTCTTCCTGTCACGTCCAGGCATGAAGAGCTTGTTTCCTTCCTGACATATACATAAATATATATATATATAACACATATATATCTAACATATATATATATATATCTAACATATATATATATATATATATATGGTATAGGTACTCTGTCAGAGGGCTGCGAGAAAGAGCCTGAACAGGCGCTGGCCAACGAGCACTACGGGGCCCAATGGGGTCTCAAGAAGGCCCGGTCACAACTTGCAACGCGTGATCTGGGAACGTTAGCCACTCTGCCTGTTGTCTATCTACGCCTGCTTGTGCGGGTGCAGGACAACGCTGTATACCGGCGCAATAGTACAATACCAAACCCACTTCACAATTCAAGAAAGGGAACATGTGTGCTTGTGCGTTGCTTTCGACGTGGTGTCAACGCATCTTGGGGCATGTAGCCATGCATATCCACTTTGTTCTACCGCGACAAGCAAGGAACAGTGTTGGGTGCGTCAGGACACTCACTGTCGATTGACTCAAACATGCCACACATACAGCACGGCTTGAACACTCTTTTATTGCAGGTGCATGCTGTCCTGATATGACCGGTTTCCTCGAGTGTAAGACTATCACGTGGACGCAGAAACACTGTCGCCAGGCAGGTGCGGACAGCATGGATCGGCAAACAACAGAGTCGGCAAAGTCCTCAGACCCAAACATACATGAGCCGGTTTCTTTCGTTGCAGTCCTCCAAAATAGTGAATTAGTACATGGCCTCCGTTTGCGTCAGTATGTGGGAATAAGACGAGCTATAACAATCAAGCAACATGGCAATCTAGCAATGTCGCAACACGGCAAAGTAGTGGTAGTAGTAGTAGTAGTAGTCGTAGTCGTAGTCGTAGTCGTAGTAGTAGTAAGTGCAATAGTATTAGTACGAGTAAAACCCACAGCAATAGGACCAGTAATCGCTACAGCAGCAATAATTAATAATTTGTAATACTATCTGCGATGAGAGTAAGGAGTCATATCGAAAACCCCAGCCCGGGCTCCCGAACTCATTCCAGTTCACCCCCCGCCTTCCAAGGCGGACCACAAACAGAAGTTACATAAGTCGTCCTCCTCCTACGTCCTGGTAGTGGTAGTGGTACTGGTGGTAGTAGTGGTACGCAACTCCCAATGTACCGAATATGTTATGTGTATATATGTCTGTGTATACTAATTGATGTATGTGTCGTTATGTGTCTATACTTATGCATTCACACACACATGCGTGGGTGTACAAGTGTGCGCGTGTCTGCATACATGGTTAGGTGGGTCTGTATACATGCATGCGTGCTGCAACATGTTTTATCGCTTTACTGGTCACCCTGGTGTGTCTACTGTTTCCCATGGCTGTCCGGAGAGATCCTTGCATACGTGAAGGCAAGAATTAGATAGGTACTGTATGTAAACAGACGCGAGTATGTACGAATTGCTGCGCGAATAGAGAAAGCTAGCTGACTAAGTAAACATGTACGTGCGCGTTTATCACTGCTTCATGTTTGGACAGTCTTGATATTATGCCAGGTGCTGTTTCACTAGTGCGGGCAGTGTTTGCAGCGATCTCTGTGTGTTTATCCAGTTTTAACCGAAACTAAAGGGGACGGGCATGAGTATTGATTTTTCTGTTTTGGACATTGGCCCCCAGGAAAGCCGCCGCCCGAGTGCAAGTGCTTCCGGTGTGGAAAGGCGAGGCAGCAGGCCCTGGTGCCGGAATTCTGGTGTTTGCAACAACAGAGTCAGAAGTTGCACAATTAATGCATATCGGCATGCTGTCATGTTTATCGGCATTACGATGACTTTGCTCATTTAAAGTTTGGTCTAATGGTGATGACTTTGACTCTTCGATTCCTGTTATTAGGGCCCGTTGTGCGACGACCTATGCCGGACATAAGATCATGGGACAGCAACTGGAATCTAGCAATTAACTGGAATCTCGCAATTCAACACTAGCAACTTCTGATCGGCTCTTGGCTTGGTAACTTGGCGAAGCCAGGCCAACAGCAAGAACTGTAGTTGGGCGACTCCTGGCAGTCGACGTCTGAGAGCAGGCTGTTTGCAGCGGAGAGCACCAACAAGATCTCGGCGCTGCAGGACATGTCATTTTCGCTGCTTCCAATCAGCTCAGTGGTCAGAAGTTTCAGAAAGCTCCGAGTCAGCGTGCATGCTGGCAGACTGCCCATGTTCGATGGTGTATGTTGATTAATTAGCTTTCTCTCCCTGCCCGTGCGACAGCCCCAGGTCAACTCTTTCTGTTTGTGTCGTGGCCTGCTTTGTGTACATGGCCGACCGTCACCGGCGATCTTGTCAGGACTTGCTGCGAGATGTCAGCTTACGCAACAGCGAGATCCCTTTCAACATCAAGACGGCACACGTCTCAAGAGAGTAGCAGCTGGTAAGTCTAGAGAGTAGGACAAGCTCTTTCCGGAAGAGCTGCAGACTGTTGCACAGGACATTGTGAGCACGTGTATGGCTCTTCAGATGTGTATCAGCTAGCATGTCGGCTCAAGATATCCAGGACTCCCGGACTTTCGTGGAACGACAGTATGAGCCAGCGGTCACTGCTAGCTTGTGCTGTTCTGATGGTACTTGGTTTAATCTTTTCTGTGAACAAAGCTGTGCCAGAAGCCCGCGAAGCTCGGGCGCCTTCAAGCCCCGATCTTTCTGGTTCGGAGCCCTTATCACGGGAGCAGAAGATTCATGCAACCGAGCCCTGGAATTCGACAGCACCCAGTGCTCTTCTCGTGGCATCCGGGGCGGTTGCCGGCAGCCCATTCAAGGTGGAGGATGGCGACCTGCGCAGGGAATTGTTTCTGCCGGTATTCCTGGAAGCGGATGTGCTCCACCGGAATACCTATCCTTTCAAACACATGCCTACTTTCGAAGGCAATTGGACGGTAGCAGATCCTGCACAAGCGGTTTTCCACATCGTGTGCTGTGGTCCGATCGAACGAATGCTGCGCCTTCCGCCACGGACCCCCGAGCGTCCTTACTTGTGCTACGACTGTGACGCGGCACTCACCATCGCGAGGCCTTGCTTGAAAGAGGTGTTAGGGCAGGAAGGCGAATTTGTTGGCTGTCCTTTCGCTAGTACTAGTAGCTGTTTGCAGATGGGGGGGTGTCCCCGTAAAAGTAGTTGCGAAGTGGAGTTGCGTTGCCCATTCTTAGTGTTTCAAGCTTCTGCAGGTTGGAAGGGGGCTGCTGGCAGAACTGCGCTGATATTTGGGCTTTGCTGTCTCGACGGGACTTCATGTTTTCCTCGGCAGATCTACGATTCTGGAATAATGCAAACGATTCGGCCCTGCTGCTCCCTGGTGTGACCCATGCTCACCATCTTCCCTGGCCAGACACACTCCGACATGACAGGGTGCCGCCGTCCATTCCACCGAAGTACTTCCTGACGTTCCAGGGGCTTTGGAATGTTGGCAAGGGTGGCACGTCCTTTGTTCGCTTGAACATGGCAGCTATGCTGAATAGCACCAAGAAGTTGCCGAAAGCCATGAAAAGCCCTGCCGGCGAGCCACTGCCCCTGCCCTCAGTGAGCTACGAGCCTCCTTCGGATGTCTTCATATCCATCGCGGGCGAACAGTGGCATTTCAAGGAGAAGCGCCATTACTACTCGCTTTTCGATTCTGCATACAGCCTCGTCATGCACGGTCATGGCAGGTGGAGTTACCGGCTGATGGAATGCTTGAGTGGGGGAGCAATCCCGGTAATTATGGCCGAAGGATGGTGTCTGCCATACCAGGAACTGATTGATTGGGAGCAGATCTCGGTCCAGCGACCAGAGGCCATGGGTATGAATCCTCGCGCTTTGGTCGAGGGTCTGACACGCGATCCTGAAAGGATCGATGCCACCCGAAAGCGAGTCGCCGAGGTTTATGAGAAGTACCTTGGAACATATCAGAGCCGCATCACTGCCATGCTCCGTTCTGCTGTTGTTTGGAAGCAGACGTGGCAGGAGAGAGAGAGGAGCACATTGCGAATGCTGGCGGACGTGTTTGCGAAAGAGCACCCAGACCAGGTGCTGAAGTACCTGTCAGCTGATAGAGCAGACGAAGCCAGAACGACGAATGACACTAGCATTCGCTAGCAGCAGGTGCGCACGAGCGCCTCCCCAATCAACATCATGAGGGCGTTCGGAGGCTACGATACTGGTTCTCACATGCTGCAAACGTCTTCATATCCATAGCGGGCCAAGAGGGGCATTTCAAGGAGAAGCGACGTTGTTCTTCACTTTTCGATTCTGCGTACAGCCCGTCGTCATGGCCCTACCGGCTGATGGAATGCTCGATCGGGGGACCAATGCCGGTAGTCATTGTCGGCCGGAGCAGATCTCGGGCGACCAGAGGCTGCGATGCTCCGTTCTGCTGTTGTCTGGAAGCAGACGTGGCAGGAGAGGAAGAGGAGCACATTGCGAATGCTGGCGGACGTGTTTGCGAGGAAGCATCCAGCTGATAGAGCAGACGAAGCCAGAGCGACATGGAGTGCAAGGAGAAACAACATTACTATTCACTCGTTGATTTTGCGCCTCATCATGCACGGCTATGGCAGGTGAAGCGATCCCGGCAATTACAGCCGAAGGATGGTATCTCCCGATTGGGAGCAAATCTCGGTCCCGCGATCCTGAAAGGGTCAAGTAGAGATAAGTAGAGTGGACCATGCCAGAACGAAAAGTCATACCTGCATCGGAGTGATGGCCATGAGCAGAACCACGTGCTCTCCCCCTGAAAGCCAATGAACTCGAACTGCTGGCGTCTTCTGTAAGAATAGCAATCTGGGCGTATGTCGTTCAAGCGGCCGGCGCTAGAGTAAGAGTTTCGTGAGCAGTGGCTGCACATTGCACTAGCCGTCGGAGCATGTTTCAAAAATGCGAAACACTGCTCAGAAGTCCCTTCAGCTCGGGCTGGATCTCCTCAGGTCAGTCCCATGCGCACAGCTCTCTTCGACGACGAGGCGGATGCCAACGATAACTGGCAGCTCGCATCCCATCCGGTCACCTACCAAGCTCAGCTCAGTTCCCTCAGGTAGCAAATACGTGGCAGACATCGAATCTAGAAGGCTCACCACACTCCACTGCACTCACTTACTAACTCGCACGCCACCCTCTAGGCCCTGTAGGCGTGCCACATCCCGCTCACAGAGACGGACATAAGGACCGCAAGCGAGACAGGTTCTGGAGCAAGTTCCTCACACGTCTCCTCAAGAGATGGTTTCACCACAAGCTCCGAACAGCCTGCTGATGCGGTAGGACCCCAGGTTTCTTTCAAAGCTGTAGCCATCTTCATTGAGGCACCAGACATCACGAATTTGCCTTTTCTGGCAAATGTTTCTACTCAGCAAGCTTCAAGGAGTCCTTGTGGGGCATCTTGTGCCCAGGGGTCCCAGGTGTTTGCAAGCAAACTTGTTACCAAGACGAGCACAAGTGCAGCCAGTGCAGCTGTGTGCAATCAATAGTTTTGCAGCAGCAGCCCAGCTGGCATGGCAAGAATCGTGTCAGATGACTCCTCATTACTCAATTGAAGTCTGCTTGGACTCGTCTGTCCAGCATTTAAACAGGAGTCGGAAAGGGAAAGCAAGGATGCTTTTGCTGATCGCGAATGCTTGTCGCAGGTCATCCAGGCTGCCTACAACTACGAACATGCTTTTCGCAAGCTTTTCCTGCACTATGTTCGGATCTGAGACGTCGGGGACACTGTCCCATTATGCTTGCACTGGCACGGGCAACGCGGACCAACCGAGGCCACAAGCGACCGAAGCCCTTCCGGCGGTGTGACGCTGACTCTGGAGGCGCGCCATCGTGATGATGACGACCTCATGTTTTAATGCTATCTGGTGCCAGATTGATCAGGATTCTCAATGATTTTCAGCTCTGTTTGTGCACGGACCGTCCTCCAAGTGCCTGGAACGTTCTCGCCTGCTCTGCCTTTCTGAGTTGACAGGAAAGGGCCGATAAAGGCATCACGGCCAGATCCCTCTATCGCTTGGCACGCGCGACACGTCTGATTCCAGACTGCTTGGTGCCAGGCTGGGGCTTCCGGGGCTTCTGCCATGCACGACGAAGTCAAAGTTTTATGGTTCGGGCGTTACTCCTAAAGATTCGAGAAGCGGGGATTCCTCGACGGTGTGGTCCGGGAGGATGGGTTGCTGCTAGTAGCGGATTTGTATCAGAGTCATCAGAGTGTCAAGAGCCTTTGGCAGGACAGCAGTTGCATGTTTCAGCCCGCGAGTGCTTGAGTTCATCGCTCACCCTTTGCAGCAGCGTCTTAGCTTACAGCGTGTCCACCGCAGTTGAATGCTACCCTTGCAAGCGGTTACAGTGAGCATCAGTGGGCATGAGACTTGATGCCCTTCGGGTGTCTGTCTTCGAAGCCAGGCGAGTTTCAAGATGTTGTCAATGGGCTCCGATTCCAAAGTTGCGGCCTCGGTGGAGTCACCCGTAAGCTTGGATTTTTCACAGCAGCTTGTGGGCGGATCGACAGTGCTGTGTCCGAAACATGTCGCCTCAGCACCTGCAGCGTTCATTTGATCCAAGGTGCTGCGCGCGCCGCAGAGAACCGTTTCTTTCAGGCGACGGCTCAAGCATGTGTAGGATCGCAGCGTCGGCAGATTGCTGACAAGATCTACAGGAATCGCTCTGGTGATATGACAGACCCATCCTTGTGTTCTCTTGTGGATCGCTGACTGGATTGCCACCGCCCTCTCCATGTGCACGGGCAACTTAGACTTCTGCGTCTCCGAGGAAGAGTGCGTCCTTAATGTCATGTCAACTGACAAGGAAGGGCGGATGCTGCAGCGCGAAGAGGACAGAGAGTGTGCCTCGTTCTGAGAGGCTTCATTCACAACTGGACTGCATGACTGTACACAGTCTTCAGGAGCCGAAGTGGCACATGCCAGCCGAAGGGATGCTGACTGGTGAGCCACGCGGAGCTGGCGCAGAATTCTGGGGAAAGCCCTGTGTTGTCCCATTCCGACTTCGGCTGCATCTCCCGTCCTGCGGCATCTCATGCCAGTAGGAAAGGTTTCTCCAAGCCACAGTGTTGATCTGCTCTAGTCATGCTACTTTGCAAGGGCTTGGCCAGGCTTCTTCTTTCCGGAAATGCTGGAGATTCTGGTTGCTGTCGCAGCCCCACGAAGCCCTGTGACTCTGATCGTGTCCATGGCGGCCTCTTGTGACAATCCGCTAGCCAAAGGCATCCTTCCACACGCCTCCCCGGCTTTATGCGGAGCCCGTGCAGGACTGGGCGCTCCGGTTCCGCATTTTTTGATCGCTTGGTGACGTCCTTTCTGATCTTGCCTGGATGTGCTACTTTCCACATGGTGTGACTACACAGATGGTTCACCCGCTGAGTTTGACGCAGAGTGTTCGAACGGTTCAAGGAGATTCGCGTCTCGCTGCGAAAGGACCGTATCGAGCGCATCCATGAGATCTTTGGTGACTTGCTGCAGCTGCCACGGGAAGAGGATGGGAGAGTCCGGAGCTTGGACGCGGTTGGCACGGTTTGGCCAAAAACTCCTGAAGCAGTGACGCCAGATGGTGGTGTCTATGAGGGTGCCGCGTCGCAGCTTCAGCATGTCCTGCTTGTTTCAGGCCTTCAGGGTGGATCTTTACTTGAAGGTGGGATGCTACCGCCAGTGGGCACGATCTCTGGCAAACAACTACCCTCGACATTCGATATTGGCAATGCCGCTGATGCTTGAAGGTTTCACCAGCTGCACTAGACATACCGTCGTCCGGAATCCGCGCAGTGAGAGTTCTCTAGCTTTGCGGCCTCCAGCTGAAGTACGCTGCCCTGCCGCATCGGGCAGGCCACGACAGGCTTTCACGACACGTGGGGTGCTTGGATGTGCTGCTCAGAGGGTTTTACGGCTTTACGCAGCTGCTGTGACTAGTCGCACCGGTCACCTGAGTAGAGCCTAGGTAAATTCAACTGCCTTTTTAGGCATGATTGCACTTTGCCGGTCGGTCTGCAAAGCAATCCTTTCCCGCATCCAAGTTGTGCTGGGTCCCTCCTTGCAGTCCTTCCGTCTCGAGGCAGGAGCTCGCAGAAGACTTGGAGATCAGTCCCCAGAGCCTGGATGAGGTAATGCAAGCGCCAGATCCTTGGATATCCCTGGGATCTGTGATGCTCCATCTTTCCTGGCGAAGCTGCACTGCTACATGCATCCTGCGTTGTCAGGATCGATGCAGAACTGCCTTTGCTCGCCGAGAGAAAGGCAGGGGCGGGGTGCATTGGATGCGCGTGGGATATGTATTCGTTGGACGCAGGGTCGCCGGGTCTGAACATTTAAGCTGTGAAAAGTGGGGCTGTCCAGCGGGGCTGCCGAAGCTGGCGGTTAAAGCAAGACAAAGTGACTTCTCACACTGCTTTTGTGCTCAAGGATCCCCACATTCCGAAGCCGCCTGCACACGTGGTCGATAAGCTCCCCGTCCAGCCGATGACCGCAGACGAGCGAATCGCATCAGCCTTAGCTGCGGAGCATTCTCATTCACACAGACACACACACACACACACACACACACACACACACACACACACACACACGCGTGCGCGCGCGAAGGGTCCTGATGCCGTGTGAAATTGCTGCCGTTCTCACACAAATCTGAGGACGACATGCAGAGGACGCCTGAAATCGTTCGGCAGAGTGCTCTGATCACAGTCGGTGGCAGCTACGACCGGCTATTTTCGGCAGGAGAAATCCCTTGGGCAAGACAGCAGCCGGTGGCAAGAAGAAGGGGCAAGCCCGACACTCCTTGAACTTGGGCTGTGGGCGACAGGGTATGGGCGGTATGGGCATGGCTTCAGGCTTGCAAATACTTATACCCTGTAAGGAAGCCATGTTCCTCGTCCGACAGTTGCACCCGGCAGGAAGAAGGCAAAGGGTGCCAAGCAGCCCAAGAAGCGGGAGCTTTTCTATGGAAGGCTTCCGGTGAAATGGAACCAGGCCCGATCGTTTACAGGAGAGAATCGCGTTTTGAATACGATCTCTGGTGTTTGGGAGGACACTGTTGAGTTTGGCTGAGAAAGGTACTGCAAGTGTAGGCTGCTGCTGTTGGCCTCGCCGTTTGCGCATGCTGCCCGTCATTATCCTGTTCCTCTGAACCCGAACCCTCGGTATTTGGCGCTTCAAGCTGTCGGAATACAAAGAACGGATTATGAGCTGAGATTCGTGCCTACAAGAGGTTTGTGTACAGAAACCCAAGCCAAACCAAAGCGGCGTTCGACATCACTGTGTCCCAGGTACAGTGGCTGGGGAAAAGACCGGAGCCACCAAAAGTTGTGATCCCTCCGATGTGGCGGGGACTCGGGTTGGGATGTGAGACAACCTGAGCCTTCTCGCTACGCTGCTGCGCTAAGTGACAAGTCTGATGTGGCAGATTGCGGCAGGCAGACGGACAGCAAGGCAGCGATGCTGCGGCCGCGGCCTCCGCTCTCAACAATCCCTTAAGAGCCGGGAGTCCATCTCAACACATGTTCATGTTTCTATGGCAGCCACAAGGAACCTGGACGAACACATCCTGCAGGAACGGGAGGAGGCAGCAGCAATCTACGTTTTGAGCTGAAGCGACTGCCCTCCGCAGGGTTACATGACATCCTTTGTTAGATTTGTCCATTCTCTCCGGCATGATGCGGTTGGATGCTTTCGTTCGTCCTGATGCAAGCCTCATAATGTCGCATTTGTTCAGAAGCCCACCAGTCTCGGTTCGTTGACATAAGCATGAACCCAGCTTCCACAGACAGAAGCCCAACGCCTAAGAATGGCTGGCCGTACGCATGTAATTTTCCTGCAGACCTTGTTCGGGCTATGGCAAAGGCTATAAAGTACCTTAGTTGGGAATCTCAAGAATGTTAATCGTAGTTGGCTACTAGCCTGCCGAATCTTCAGTGATTTTCTTGCCCTGCCGTTTCATCCGTTTGACTTGTAGGGAATGCCTTTGTTTTTCTTCTACTCGTCATTCCCTAGCCACGCCGTGACACGCCCTGTTCCAAGCACGAATAGATTTGTTTGAGCCCCGTGCCCAAGAACAGGATGTCAGGAAGACTCGGATGGTTGGTTCAGGACTTTTATCTACGAATGCAACAGGAGGAACTGTTTTGTCCGGTTAAGATGTTTATGACCCTAAACCCCAGACGCGAGACGGTCCCCCTGCAAAAATGTAAATCACAAGTCCTTCTCGCCAAGTGCAGGCGTGCAAACACACACATATTCACATTGAGCCATGTCGTCATGCGAGCCTCGTGACACCGGCCACAATCAAATATCCAAATATGATAAAGTATTAATGTCACGCTCGAGGGCCCATATTGAAACCAGCCGCTGTAGCCACGGTCCTTGAGTGCGCGTGCGCGGGCTTGCTCCCGCTTGGTTTGAAGTGGGCGAATCTGCTGGCCATTTGTCCCTTCGTGTCAAAGGCGGTCCTCGACGTCGTACAGCATGAGGCTGACAAGAAGGATGCGGCCCGGGAGCGTGCATTAGCCTTCCTCTTCGTGTCCGAGGTAGAGGCAATGCCGAGGAGCACGTATTCTCACCCATGGAAGCGCAAGGCAATCTTGTCTGAAACCAGGCCCCAACTGGAAATAGAAGAATGCCTTCAGGTGCTCGCTGTGGAGAAGCACATAGGTGAAGGGGCCACAGCGATGGTTTACCGGGCAAAGGAAGATGACAGATTCCGGGTGGCTCTGAAGAGAGCCAAAAGGCCGCAGGAACATGACAAAAGATGCCCTCTTGAAATTCGGGAGATGCAGGCTGTCCAAGGCAGAAAAGACATCTTGCGAGAGGCTGAGATGTTGTGGGGATTGGTCCACCCTCACATCGTGCAGGTGCACCATGTGTACGACACCCAAGTCCTCGCGGGCTATACCTTAGATCTAGCAGACAGCACTTGCAAAACGATGGTGCAGCAAGGGACGCTGATGCACGTATTGGAAACTGCGCAGCAGCTGGCGCAAGCCCTCGAGTATCTGCAGCATGCCAGCGTGCTTCATCGAGACATCAAGCCGAGCAATATCCTGATCATGGCATGGCAGCCGCATGTTTGCATCAAGGTGTCCGATTTCGGAGATGCATTGCAGCTGCCGGCCCGCTTAGACACGAATTTGGGTGGAACGCCTGCCTACTATCCTCCAGACAAGCTGGGGATGCTACACCTGCGCCGCGATGTTTACGCACTTGGCTTGGTATGCCGGGAGCTGCAAGCCCCATCCATGATGCAGCCGTGTAAAGAGCTCTACTTCCTGTCTAGTCTGATTGCTTGGGCGACGGCGCCGTTTGATGCCAGACCGCTGGCAAGTGCCGTTTGTCAAGCCCTGCATGGCGAGGTGGGGAAGCGCCCCCGGTGCCAGAGTGCATGGTACCGCTGGCGCTTGCATTGACCATGCAGTTCAAAAACTTTGCGAGCGCTTCGTTGCGAAGCTTTATAGGGTCTACAGATCCACGCCCGAAAACCACCCGAACCAGGCATTCGGAACAGTTCATAGAGTCATAGAGTTTGGCGCTCCGTATCCGATTGTAAGATGATGGGACATAGCATCTGGCATGCAGCCAGAGCGGGCCTTGATCGTGGGTTTGCACAAGCTTTGCCTCACTTTATACACTCGTTGCACGTTTCTTCTGCAGATGCGACTGTGTTTGACTAAATCACCGTGCAACTAGCCCTGGAGAGTCTCAAGTGCTGAACATTTCGTCGTGCGCCTTTTTGTGGGTTTCTGGAGCGGCAAGACACGAGATTGGAGTGAATTCCTCTGCTCCTCTTGCAGTCGCGGGCCTTGAACACTCCGTCCACTGGCTGGGTTCTTCGTCTACAGCTCATTGCACCTTGGTGGCACTTCGAGGTGCTTCTGGGTGTATCACGAATCCGAATCCGCTGTCCCAGGATGAGCCCTTGCGTGCACCTGTCTGCTCTAAGAGCGAAGAGGCTAGGCATTGGGGGGGCTCCTAGGTTCCCACCACCCTCGCATTCCGAATTCCTCGGAGCCCTGATGTTGCGACAGGTGACCACGCTAATGGAGGCAGCATCGGCTTCCCGGAGGCGCTTTCTCTGCTCTGCTGGCTTTTCTTTGCTACTGTAAACGCCTCCTTTTCGAGGCTGAGGCAGTACGACAGCGCCATGGCCCTCCTTATCCGGGCCCGCCAGCTTTGGGTGGCTGTGGAGGCACGACGATGGGCGTCGTCTGAAGGGAGAGCACCATGCAATGTTGTTGTGAAACCCTGAAGAAACACGGTGCAGTGTGTTGAAAGAGAGCCTGCGTTGCCGGGGCTGGGTTCCCAGTCCTGCTTTATGGGACGCGGTTTTCCCACTTACCGAATCCGGTCGGCCAAGTTCTGGAGATTTCTGGAGGCCTGGCGCAAAGATTGCTGGATTCTTTCTGAGGCCAGACAGCCGAGGGCTGCCGAGTGGGAAGACGTGCAAGCCTTGGTGCCTACGCACACCCCTCAGCTTGGGGCCGAAGGGACGCAGCAGAGACACAAGTCTGATGCAGATGATTCTAAGGCCGTCTCCTTGGAACTCAAGTGCAGACAGCGCGAGTCCAATGCAAAGGCCAGCTGTTGCCACAAAACTTGCCACCACCCGCTTTTCATGGAGGTGGGCAGTAGCTGCCGAAGCCGGGAGCCTGGAGGAGCCTGGAAGCTTGCGAGAACTAGGGGGGCACCGCATTCTTGTGCAGCTTGTAGGCTTCAGAGTGCTTCGAGCCGGCGACGAAGCCTTCGTTACAATGCATGGGAAGCTCTTATTTCGTGTTGAGTCGCCGGTACATACCACGGAGAGAATATTCGGCGGACCGACGTGTGATACGCCTCGCTCATCTTGAAAAGCTCCCGTCCGACTCTGAAGAGACCGAGAAGAGGAACGCGACGATATTCTAGCCCCGATTCTAGCGAGCAGGGCGATTCAAGCATCAGCGTTGCAAGCACACCTGCTGGTCGAGCACCGCCGATTCAAGCCCCCGATCGGAGGCACTCAACTCTAGGGTAGGGTTTAGGGTTTTCCGGCGTTGAGGGTGCTGGCTTGGGTTTTTTGCATTTAAGGTTGGGAATGCTTGCAATATCATCAGGCACAGAGATCCGAGTGTTTAGGGATTTGGTGTCTAGGAGTTTCGGACTGTGGGACTAGAGGATTGTATGTAGGCGTTTCGGCTTGAAATTCTCGGCTTTCGCATAAGGTCTGTAGGTTTCTTTGATGTTCGGTATCTCGACCACAGGTCTGTTTTCTTCAGAAGGCACATCGTCACCCCTTGCAGCTCCTCGTTTTATTTGGGGTGTTATATTCGGGTCGCTGTTGCTCTATGAGGGTTTTCTGTGAGCGCAAGCCTACATCGATGTTTTGGCCTGGTTGAAGGGTGTATGAGGCCTGAGTCCCTTCTGTTGTGTCATTCAGCTTGAGGGCTTCGTTTTAAGACATCCTCGCCATGAGCCCAAACTATTCACGGCTGCCACAGTTCCGTTCAGCCGGAATGCAACCAGACAAATGCTGCCGCTGTTCGCGCTTTCTTACCCGCTTACGCAGGAGGCAGCTTTCGAGAGCATGCAAATTCAAACTCATTGCGAGTGAGCACGCTCGAATCCACGCCACCGTCCGCAAATCACGGTCAGTGCACGAATCTGTGGTTGCTTTGAGGCGTGCGAATCCTTGCTCCAGTTCACAATGGGGCCTCCCCGTCTGGCAGACAAACATCCTTTCCTCGTGCATAAGTTCCGCTCGTACACATGATGTGGCTCGTCTTCAGATGCAGTACTGACTAGGACCAGGAGGAACTGGATCGCACCATTTTTCCGGATGATCTCGGGCGTCGAGGGCTCAGCAAAGGTTTCCAGCTCGGCCTTGAGAGAGGTTGTTGACAAGCAGAAGTCATAAGTGTCGCATCGCGATGAAATCCTCAGCAGAGCCGCTCGCGTCTCAGGACGGCACTCCAAAGGCATGTCTTTTGGTCGCAGCCGCACAGAGACTCTGTCACGCGAGATCCGTGCAGGGCTCGGATGGGCCACTAGCACGTGCAGCTTGGGATTCGATGTCAGTTGGCACGAGTAGGCACGCAGAGACGCCGTCAGGTGCTGGAGAACAGATTCACCGGAGCATGACTGATCGCTTGGGGCGCACGAGCCCGGTTCCCAGCGGTCGCCCTCCCCTCGCCCACGGGAAGAGCAAATGTCATCCTCAAACCCAGGGTCGACATAATGAGACTGTGTCATGCTGCTGGAGGTTGAACTATCGTAGCACCGGATGACGTCTTGTCTTGCAGCCCCAAGGTCCGGACGGCGATGACCGAAGAACCGGCCTGTTTTGCCAGTTGCCGGTGTCTCGTCGCGACTTTGAACAAACACATGGCCGGCCTCTTTACCTTGATTTCCTATTCCCTGTCTCGATCGTGGCTGCTCTGCAATTGTGGCATTGTCCTCACTCTCAGGGTCAGTTTGCCCGAGAGTGCCTCAGCCGTCTCCATCTCTCTCTGTCTGTCTCTCTCTTTGAATATTCCGTGGCAGGGGCTATGCCGCATGCGCCTCTGGACTCCCTCGAACGCCGGCGCCAACGAATGGCTTCACGTGGCTCGTTTCAGCAGAGTCGGCGAACCCAGTTGCCAGTGGTTAATTGTGAGATGCAGGGTGTTTCCCGGGTCAAGTGTCGTGATCGGGGCTGTGGTGCGGCTGTAGGCCTCCTGGGCTCCTTGCCATGCCTGGCCTTGCCGGTTTCAGGCGACGCCCCGCAGTCAGCACGGGGGCGCTCACCTACGAGTCGAGCCGCCACTCGGAGCCCCGGTGCAACAAGGCCGGACAGGGCTTTGTCTCAGGCTTTCCACTTTACGGGTCATGGATCCTGCACCAACGCAGTTCTCAAGTCTTGTGCGCAACAGGCCAATGGAGCCAAGGGAGTTGGAAAAATTATCCTGATGTGGCAATGCGTCACTGAATGTTCGAAACAGAGCCGCGCAGAGTTGACAAGAACACGACTGCTCTGACTGCCCAACAACAACCGCCCTCCTCGCAATAACTGCGATGCCTCGCATGTGTACCAAGCGGCGTGGTCTGTGTTTTGCCTTCATGAACTCCACCGCGCACACCGTTAAACGACGACGACAACGACTACTGTTGCACCCAAACTAAAACCATTGCTGCAACAACAACAACAACAGCAACAGGTACTAGTACTAGTACTAAACATACTACTACTACCACTACCAATTACTACTACTACTACTACTACTACTACTACTACTACTACTACTACTACTACTACTACTACTGCTACTGCTACTGCTACTGCTACTGCTACTGCTACTGCTACTGCTACTACTACTCCTGCTACTACTACTACTACTACTACTACTACTACTTCTACTTCTACTTCTACTTCTACTACTACTGCTACTACGGCCACTGCTACCACCGCTGCTGGTACTGCTGCTGCTACCGCTACTGCTAATGCTGCTACTACTAGGACGACGACTACTGCGACGACGACTACTACTACTGCGTCCGTGTGTATGCGTACAAGTACATCTTTACTGCACACACGTGTATGCATACATCTATCTAAAGGTGAATGTAATGTGTGTGCGTGTGTGTGTGTGTGTCTTTGTGTGCATGTGTTGATCTGTGTCGCCGCCTTCGTTTCTGTGCAGTTGCATGAGGTTTCTTCAGCGGTACTGTCACTGTCTTGACATGTTTATTAATTCATACATACATGCATGCACGTATGCATACATATAGATGCATGCATATCTACGTACAGACACATAGACATACACCTATACAGATACCCGTACATGTGTATGTGTATGTCTGGATAATACATGAGTGTTTTTCATGCATGTAGGTATGTGTAGCATGTGTATACACATGTTTACATATGTGTTGGCATTTGTACGTCTGTGCTGACACATGGTTCTGTTTTCTCTATGTACGCATACGTATACATAATGTGCTTAGATATGTTCACATATGCATGCATGTATGCACATATTGACACATGCATTTATGTGTGTATATCTGTACGCACGCTTTTCCTACGTACACGTTGAGACACGTACATACATGTGTTCTACAACATGCACATGCGGTTTTCCTCGAATAGGCACTCCGAGAGGGAGACATTACCGGAAGCGATTTGGTCATCAAGATCCAACAAGTGGCATGAATGTTCGCGCCTTGCGCAAGGAAGTACAACCCAAAGACCGACTTTGCGTCTGCGCTGGGTGATCAGGAGGACCTCGAGCGAATACCTCCTCAGGCCTGACGAGAAGCTAGCAAGTTCATACATACTGCCAGAAAGTTCACGCTAGGCGGCACTCTTCTTCTTCTGTGAGCTGGCATCCCTGCATTCTGCCGTGCAGGAGGACGAATCGTTTGCATTGTTTTCGGAGGGAAACCGCGAATGAGAGAGGCTTTCAAAGGCTCTTTGAGAGTCGGGCCTGGCCGGCCGTCCTTGCCAGGATGAGCTCGCTGCGCAGCTACTTTGGCGTGCTTTGGAACACAGCCGGAGGCGGGATGGCAAGGAGAGTCCGTTGCAGACAGTGTGGGAATTGCCGAAGACTCCGGACTTATGTCTTGACTTTGTGTCAGATGTGTCAGTGACAAGTCACAGGCTCCCGGCACAGGATGCAAATGTGGCGATGGTGTGGAACGGTGCCGAGCTCGGCCCCTCCGTGCAGTTGACTTCCGCACTTATTGCAAAGCCAGTCTTTCTCAAAGTTGACATCCGGGGCTTAAGGAGACAGATGTTATGTCCATTTCCAAAACATGCTGCATGTTTGCAAGATGCTCTCAGCGCCTGCACAGAGAACACGAAGCTGGAACAAGGTTAATGGCAAGGCTCAGAGAAATTCCTAGATCCTGGCTTTTAAGCATAGCTGGCAGTAAACCAATCTAAATAATACTAATACTAATAGTACTAATTAGACTAATAATGCTAATAATGCTAACAATACCAACAATACTAACAGTACTAATAAAAAAATACTTAATAATACTTCCCAATATAATAATTCCGGGGGTCAACGGCCCGAGGCCTCGGTCGTGTGGCTTTTCACATCGGCAGATTTGAAGATGCCACACGCCTGCACATGCAGCCGCCTTACAGAACAGGGGAGCGGGCCGTTCGTGTCCTCCTGATGTCTGAATCGTACCTGCGATGCATGACGTCAAGAAAAGACTTGCTCAACTTTCGGAGCAGGTAATAGTATCAGCATTTCAATTCGCCGGCGTGGTAGTCGCGATACCGCCCTATGCCGTCTTCAGTGTAAACAGACAGCATCGCTACGTTTGAACGGCTTATGAAGTTGGCGTTGGCTGCAGGCGGGCCCGCAGCATTCGTGAGAAGGCCCTCGGTGGGCCTGGCCCCCAGTCATGCTGGGGGTTGGTGAGTGGGCTCGCGAGCTACTGGATCCGGAGTTACTACGTGAGTCTTGCTTTACCGAAATGCTGCCCTCTGTTACCCCAAGGGATACCATCGACACGGCCACTTCTTACAACAATCTCGCCTGCTGCCTCGCTGCTTTGGACCGGCACACCGAGGCTCGGGCATAAAGTCTGCTGCAGCACTTGCTCGGACATCATCTCTAACGTCTGGAAAGCCTTGCAGGCAGTCACAACGCTTGCTGTATTTGTTACGCTTCCACAGCGATTTAACGTATGCATGCTGCTTTTGGTGCTAGCACGAGTGCAAGAATCAGGCAGCGGCATTTACAGAGCTTGCTGTGGAGATCTTAAAGGAGCTGGCCGGAGAGGACATCAGATACTGCATGATGTCAGCTTCATCGCACAGTCTTCTGCAGAAAGCGCAAAACACACTTGTTGCTGTCTTCCACAGCGTTGAAGAGTAGTACACGAGATGTCCTCCACACAGTACACCTGTGCTGCTTCCTGGCGAGTCTTTGTCGTAGCAGGAACCGTCCGACCGTAATAGAGCCGTGTACCCGACACAGCGATGCAAACCAGCTGCGGTTCCTGTAACAGGGTGGGGACAGCCTGATGTAACAGGAACTGCGTCCCGAGACCTTCCTTTCAAGATGCAGAAGGCATCTTTGGACGTCCTTCATTAGCTGGCCGTGGCGGACCGATCTACTATGCTCGGCCTCCTGCCAGCGCCTTGCTGGTTTCCAGTGGTAGTTCCTGGTACACTGGTCGCCTGGTTGCTGTTGCTACGGGAGCATGTTGCTAGTACAACTGTGCGACATTGGTATCCGTCACTCCCAAAACAGTTCCTGTTACTCACACACCCCTTCATGGCCGTGGGGCCAATGCTTCTCCACAGTATGCAGGTGCCGTGTCCAACTGTGTGAGATTCGTCCAAACGCATGGATGATAACCGCTGCATTCACGTTTGCCAACAGCCAGTGCCGAGACGGCAGCCTCATCGTGTCTGATGCCTTGTGTTAGAACTGGCGTGGATGCCGAAGAGGTCCTCACCCATGCATGCAGAAAGTCATACATGTCTGGCGCTATCCATTCTCCATAGTTCGACACCTCCATTCAGATCAGACTGCAAGCACTGGCCACAGGACGTTCCATCAGAACACTGATAGGCCGCAATCGTCTTCTGTCTGTTTGAGAGCTGTAGAGCAGGACCATCCGAGGACCTTGACGGCAAGCCGGAACCTGGCCAAGGTCCATTCATACATGTATGCATGCAGTATGCACATATGTATATGTGTGTATGTGTGTCTGCACCTGTGTCTTTCTCTGTGCATCTTACACACATTGCTTGTATTGTGTCATAAGTTGTTATGATGTTTTAGTTTGTAGCTTTGTTGATGTCATTTGCATGCATTGCATCCGTCCTGTGATGCTTTAATCTGACAGTGGCGGGCCTCGCTGAAACAGAGCGATTCGACGACTCTGACCGGCTTGATTACAAACGAAGGCTCATGATCAGGGAGCTCAGATAGGCCTGCATTTTCAAGATCGTTGTTGCAAACATCAACAGCAACTCTTGTCCGTGAGCCCTCGGATCGAGATTGCATCCGACAGTTGGTAGAGCTTCGTGTTTCAAGTTTCGATCTTTGCCCAAGGCATGGGCAAAGCCCGAAGCTTGAAACACGAAGCTCTACCAACTGTCGGAAGTGTAGTCGAGATGATTGCCGTGGACATCACCAACATGTTCTGATTGCCGTGGACATCGCCAACATGTTCGATGGATTGCGGCTCCTGGAAGTGTTTGCCATGAGCTGATCGGATCCTTGTAGAAACGAGTTCAATGCCCGGAAGAAGCATTGTCAGAGATGGCACGCCAATTGCAGCAAGTCCGTGCGCAGATCGCTGAGCATGACCAAAGTGAATGATAAGACACCAAAACAAACCCTGCTGAGAAACCGCGCGAGCTAGCGTGACAAGATGGTTGCAGTCGGGATGGCACAGAGAAGCGGCAGAGAAAGAGATGCACGAACTCCCGAAGGAGCCGGTCGAAGCAAGCCCGACTCCTTTGACAAGAAGATTCCTAGGAATGGCAGCCCGAGCCTCCAGCGGTTCGCTGTACTTGGAAGTGCATTTGTCGAGGCATGGATGTTCGACGATATTCCCACTCAGACCCCCACATCTTGTCGGTTACCTCAGCCTCGGTGACATCTTCGAGGTTGCCGAAGTGCGAACGTTCCGTGATTCGGGTGTCTTCCTTCGCCTCGCGAACCCGCAGGGCTCGGTGTTTTCACGGTCTCAGTCAGGCACCTTCTGTGTGCAAGTGGATGAGTCCTGGCGGCAGTACTCCATTGTTGGGGCAAGTACAAGTCTTTGTACATGGCATTACATGGCCCAGTGGTCTGCAATGTTCCTGGCATCATGCGATGCATCTTCGAGTCCTGGTGCTGTCATCGTCCCCACGACTTGGCGGGCCAGCGCGATGGAGATGGTCAGAGAATTTCTCCATCGCGCTGGCCTGCTGCCAAGTCGTGAGCATGATGACGGCCAGGACTCGAAGATGGCTCCCAAAGCTTGGCGCTGCTGAAGCTGGCATGGTCGTCCGGCTCTAGCAAGCAATTAATGCGAGAGCCGGACCATGCTAGCCTCAGTAGCACCAGGCTCGTTTAAGCGTGTCCCAGCGAAGAATTCGCAAACAGTTCAGTTGCGGGTTAACATGGACACATGGCCAGACTAGCATGCATGTGCTGATTTGACCCTTTAGTCGGAGTCATACTGAAGCTCCCAGTGGAAAAAGCTGCCCCGTTCGGATCTAGTGTGCGGACATGTAGCGGCGGAGAATTTAGCGAAAGCAGATTTTGAGCTGTGTGAGTTGCTGGGCTGGCTTCGGTCTTGATACCGTGTCCTTCGACCGGGTCAACATGCAACATCATGTATGTAAATGCATGCAGGGCCAATATGATCAGCTGTTTCAGAAAAGATTGATCGATGCAACGGGCAGAACCTTAAACAGGGCAGAGTGCCAAAGTCGAAAGCGAAAGGTACGCACTGCTCCGAAAAAGATGTCGTTGGAGGCACGGCGCAGAATTGCATCCACCATCGTGATATCGGAATTTTTTGCAGTTGAAACAGAGGGTGTCTGTCGTCTCAAGCAGTGATGCGGGCTTGTTAAGGGGTTCCTTTAAGCGGAGGGATGCTGTTTTGCTGGTGCATTGCAGGCGCCCCATTTGTTCAGCTTACCTTTGCACGCCTGCCCCTCAGGGTTTGCAGAACATGCGTCAATGAAGCAATCTGTCATTAGCTTTGAAGCAGTTCGTAGCATGTGGCACGACGGGTGGCTAGAATGCAGAACTTCCACTACCCTGAACAACCTGTTGAGCTAGAGAGCTGCACCTGTATGCTTGGGTGTGGCACTGGAACGCATCTTTCTGCGTTGAGGACTTCACAGCAGCTTTGCGAGGGCCCCTGCCCCAGGTTCCCAAAGAGTTGCTTCTACCCTGAAGTCTTTAGCTGTGCATTGTTTGCATCCGATCGAATTGAGACAGACATCGAATGTTCTCCATTGTGCTTGCGATTGCAGCTAACAACTTTTGTTTCTGGCGGTGTGTAGTGGTCAAGCCGCATTTGTGCCTGATGTTTTCAGGACGTAGACCAGGGCAGTTAAGCAGAATTGAGAGTTCATCCCAGTCCTAGGCGGCGCAAGAAGAAGAAAAAGAAGTCTCGAAGCGGGCTGCAGCCTCGGTCTGGCCAAGTACTTGCAGCAGGTTGCAACCTCCATCCAGAGGAGAAGCGCCCCGACACCAACGCTTGAATGCTTCAATTCGTGCTTCGATCCTCCTGTTCAGTCGAGAAGCCCCCTGGAGCGATAAGCAGGGTCTGATTCCGAGCAGCAGGTCGAGCAAGAGCAGCAAAAGCAGGAAATGAGGTGGCAGGGTTGAGCAGACCCATCAGAGCGCAGTCCGAAATCAGCATCAAGCCAGTTCATCGTTGCATCAAGCGAGTGTTGATTGAGCTCGATTCAGCTCTGATGCTGGCCGTCCGAATGTCAGAAAGGTTAATATCTGGCTGCCCGGTGAGTCCGTGCAGTGTCGTTAATGGCGATCCGTGCCGAAGAACGGCGTGGGGGTATCTGATAGAGCCGCCTAAGGCGCACAGATCAGAAAGTTGCGGATACCGCATCCTGCCGACAAAAAGCTGAGAGTTTTCGGTTGCTTCTCCTTCGGCATGATTTTGCAGGAATTGGCCTGCATCCTCGCTAGCTTTCTCGGCTTCGCCCTCAAGCTTGCGATGTACAGCCCCATTGTATCCATACTGCTTGCTGTTAGACACGTGCAACTCAAGTTTTGATCCCGCTGGCATTTCCCAGGAAAGGACAGGGTGTAATAGCAGACCCACCAGTCACCGCATCCATGAGGTTCTTGGCCACGTGTTGCTTGTGCGGCGTGGTTGGTGCGCAACAATTAGCGCGACATTCTCTGCCAGTTTCTCAATGGCGAATGAATTCGAGGAATTATTTGCAGGCTGGCGACGCTCGCTCCTTCTCGTTGTCCGAGCAGACTGGAGATGCTGACCGGTTGCTGTGTCAGGTGGGCTCTGTCATAAGCGCTGGCTTGCCGGGACGTTTGCCTCGGAAAGAGCTGTTTGAAGCCCATGCTGTTGCATCTGTGGCGATGCTAGGCTGAACTGCTCGTTCCAAATCGGCAGCAGACTCTTTACTGGTACTTGTCGAAATGCGTTGGGGGTGGCAGTATCATAGAAACCCGCGAGCCAAGGAACCGCTACTTCCCCTCCCACCTCAACATCGTGGAGCCTTGTGCTGGCTGCGGTCTTCTTGCTGTGTTCCTCGTCCTCCTAAACCGACATCGTCATGTGCGATGCTCGGACAAGCAGCGACCCCGCATCGCACGCGAACTGTCACAGTGTGTTGAGAAGGAATGGCCTTTCCTTGCCCATCAGATTCGATGGGAGGAAGCAGACCTTCGCAAGTCGACTTTGACAGTCGCTCCAAGCGAACTAATTGTTTCCTGCCATGCCTGCAGTTTTCTATCTGATGAAATGATCCGAGCTGCAGAGCAGAACCGCAGACCTCTAGTCCTGGTACCTTGCTGCTACGAGACGCAGCCGAATCTTCCCGATCGTCCCTGGCTGCCAAACTGGTCCTGGAGGAGGTGGCCCTGGCTTTTAGAGGGGGAAACCAATCGACTCGGGCGCTCAAAGATCCACGAAGCTCGCTTAGAGTTCTTGAAAGCAAAAGGCTACGACGTCGTGATGGATGAGATTGACAGGCAAATCACTGAAATGAATCGCGTCATCATAGCACGGCCAGCCTAGCGAAGTCTCAGCTTCACCGTGCCACCTTTTGCTTGAGCAGAATGATACCTGCGGATGCCTTCTCCTGCATTTGCCGGAGCAGCACCATGAGCATCCAAACAGACATGCTGAACGTGGGCGGCGTGGCTGCAGTCCTGTTCGACAAATCATCAGGATTCTTGCAGTAAGATCTTGAGAGAAGGGCGAGGTGGTAAACCGGCTGAACCACGGCTCTCGTTCTCCAAAATGCTCGTCCGTGTTTGAGTGTTGTTTTTTTGCAGAATCTATATTTCATATATATATATATATATATATAGAAATGTAGTGAGATTCAAGAGGTTACAGATTGTTTAAAAAATAGAATATATATATAATTATACATATATATATGTAAGAGAACTCAAACTGAACATTTTTAGATCTCACTTGATATCGAAATCTTTATACTTCATTTCATAGTATCTAGTTTACGAATGCGTAATTGAAGGGTTCTCGTTTTAAGATGGGGTTCTAGCGGTGGGGCGACGACCTGACATCGTGTTCGCAAGCATTCGCAAGCGTTCGCTTGGGACGCGGAGGGTGGCGCGCCCACCAGAGCTTTCGGGAAAGTTGTAGGAGGAGTGTTTTGGGATGGTTTTAAGCCACGGGGCTTACGGGAAAGCGGCTTGGATAGGTCGCGGGGAATGTTGTAGGTCACCGGAGTTTGTGGTAAAGCGGTTTGGTGAGTGTCGTCGGGATTTTGTGAGGTGGGTCGCGAGGAATATAGTAGGTCATGGGAGCTTGCAGGAAAGCGGGTTTGGATCACGTCGTGCCGAATATCGCGGGATGGTGCGAGGATGGTTGGAAGCTACGCGAGTCTGTCGGAAGTCGTAGTGAACGGGATAGGAGTTTGAGGCCATAGTAATTTACGAGAACGCGCTTTGGGGCGCTTCGCGGAGAATATAGCGTGTGGGGTGAGGTCGCGGGAGTGTATGGAATGCGGCTTGGGAGGGATATTATAGGGAATGTTGTTGGATGGGTTTCGGAGCTTGCAGATAAGAGGTTTGGTAAGTCTTGCGGCAAATTTCGTGCGATAGTTTGAAGATATGGGACATTGTGGGACCGTTGGAGCGTAGCGGGAAGAGGTTTCGTGGGATGGTATGAGACGATGCGTAATAATGAGAACATGGTTTGGGAGATATCAAGGGAAATATAATATTCGTGCGGAGCTTATGGGAAAGTTACTGAGGGCGTGTGGCAGGGAGTATCGTGAGTGGTGGGTGAGGTCGTCGGGTCTTTGGGGATAGTGGTTTGGGGGAGGTCGTGAGGAATATCGCGGCACGATATGAAATTATCATGAAAAGCAGCGTAGTATATGTAGTACGATAGTAGTGAAATTCGAAGGATTTCGAATAAAAGAAAATCTTGATATTTGAGATTAATTTTCTTTATCTTTTTCTCTCTCTTGTTCTTTCTGTCTCTCTTTTTCTTTTTATTGATTAGGTTTAAAATATTGTCACCCTTCATAAATGCGAAAGATAATTTAATAAATATGATATCTCTATTATGATAATTATTTGAATAATATGGGAATTTGATTATTATAAGAAATTTAATTTCTATATTTAAAGACGAAATATTGATATAAATGATATCTCGAAAATCGATAGAAATGATATATCGAATTTGCGCGGAATTAGATGAACGAGAAAGAAATCTCTTTCTCTTTATCTCTCTACTAGTTATGCTATGCAAAATAAGAAGAATAATTAAAATTTGAATTTTCATTGGAGATATTAATTTTGATGGAGATTCGTAGATTTTAGAAAATTATTGTATTGATTGCGAATATTCATTTTTTACGAAGTATTTCTATAAATTCTTTGGAATGGAATTTTCTATAATATAATATGAGAATAACTAGATTTCGTAATGATTCTGAAATTTATTTATGAAAATTCTAAATTTTTTTATATCGAAGATATCATA